CAAATGACATATGGTGGCCAACGATAGCTTTAGGTAACCCAATCGGAGATTTTAAGACATTCCAGAATCCATACGGGGTTTTTCGCGTTTCTTCTTCCGGTGATATAGAGTGGATTCCTGGCGGTTTATATTCAGTTGTGTGTGAGTTGAATTTAAGAAAGTATCCTTTCGATACACAAAATTGTGATTTTATGTTCGTAGTAATTGGATACCTTCCTGGTGATATCATAATCAACGCGGATTCTAACGTCCTCCGGGTACGAGGAACAACCGAGTGGGACGTTGTGGCCGGCAGAATTTCCCGAATGTCGTACGAAATGACTGGACTGATTGCTAGCTTTACTCTACAAAGAAAACCATTTTTTGTGGTATTGACAGTGTTGTTGCCACTGTGTTTGCTCTCTGTAATGAATTTGTTTGTCTTTCTCATTCCTGTAGAATCTGGTGAGAAAATTTCTTTTGCGATAACCACATTTCTGGCGTATTCGATTTATCTTTCCGCCATAGGGTCTTCTCTCCCTGCTAAAGACAATGTTCACATGGCGGTATACATAGAAATACTGATGGTTCTTAGTATTGTTATCATGGTATTAGTCATTGTTCAAACAAGGCTTTTCTTTTATTACGGTGACCACAATCTGCCCTGTTTTGTTGAAAAAGTTGGCGTTGACAAAAATATTGATAGATCAAATTCAGGTGACGCAAACAAAACGACCCCTTCAGAAAATTCAAAACTGTTGAAAAGAACATGGGCAAATAGTATGGCAATAATTGATAAAGTTCTCTTCATCTCTTTTGCGTGTATCCTAGGATCAGTCAGTATCTATTATTTTGATTTGATGATGCTCAAATCCTAAAAATGAATGAATCACTTGGTAGAATTCTTGTTCTTTGAATGTTAAAAGGTTAGTGATGAAATGTTTAATGGTAGACATTCTTCTCTATTTGGATTTCAAAATATATCTTTCCTTTGTCTTTGTATTTACAGATTGTTTCAAATAAAAGAATCAGTTGAGATTTTTTTTTGTGATTTACTTTGTACATTGATGCAGTCTTACATATACTGCTCAACTTCATTAGAGAGCGTTGCTACCTCTGGAGATATCTGACTTGAGAATAGAAAACGGATTGGTGGAGGTTGAAACATCCGTAATAACAGCTCTTGTAATGAATGCAGAAATGGTCATACATTTGAAGTAAACGAGAAATTCATCAAAATAGATAAAAAGAAAATAAGAATACATCTCGCTTACATTTATATTTTCGAGAAATATGGCTGAAATATTGCCGACTCGGCCTTAAACAATAATAATCAATCAATCAATCGAGAAAAACTATTTAAAGGGGAGAAATTATTTGTCAGTTGCAATATTTTTATGCTATTTGATGAAAATACAGGTAAATTCAGTGATCTAGATGTGTGCATACTAGTATCTTTCTTCACGACTATCTTCTATAGCGAAATTCAAGGGGATGTGAAATACGAAATTTTTCTTTAGAGTCTGGAACCTGTATTGAAATAGAAAAGACACCAAATGAAAAACTTTTCGTAAAATATATACGTAAGCAGTTTGTCTCTCAATACAAAAAACCCAGAAAACATTCCTTTATTTTGGATTATCATATGAATCGATTGAGCAATTTTAATTTTTCATATCTAAAAATGTCCGTATTCAACCTTCTCAATAACATCCAACTACCATTCATTTCAGGTATTATTTGACAATTGTTTTTGGCAAAAAAAGGTGATTATTAATATTTTTATTACATCCTATTGACATTCAGATGTTTCCATTAAAATCTCAAATCAGATGCTTATGATTTACTACTTTTTTCCTACTCCTGTTTTAAGTTTCGATTTTTAAACTTGTGGTTTGGATAATTCTAAGGTAATGAAGAAATACTTTAAAATACTATAGTTTATTGTTAACAGGTTCTCGTGGGGTTTAACAAGCTTATCTTTTAAAAAGATAGGTGAGCTAGCGCTGTAGCTATCATAAACCACAGAATTAGATATCTGAATTATTGGATTTATTTGCTGAATCGATTAAGGGGACGATCATTTGATTCTGAGGAGGGGGGGGTCTGGCAAAATCTTTCGAGTCAGATTATTTATTTTCATGCCAGTCAAGGACAGATTATTTATTTTCTTCTTAATCGAAAAAGTTTGACAAAAACAAAAAAAAAAGTTCAAAGAGGGACGGGGAGGGGGGGGGGGGGCGTTAAGTATTAATAGTCAATGACAGATTATTTATTTTCTTGCCGGTCGTGGAAAGACAGTTATTTATTTCCAACTTTTTTGAGGACAGATTATTTATTTCCAAAATCTTTCAACCCCCCCCCCCCCTTCAGAATCAAATGGTCATCCCTAATTATTAATAGGAAGACACAGTGGAACACTGGAGGTAGTGTTGGGGTGTGTGTCTTAATTCAGAATGGTGAATGTATCAGCTATTCAGTGTTTAATACAGAATATTCATCAGACTATTTATAAAAAGGCTATTGTTGGATTAAATTCGGGATACTGTGCTTTAAGCATTCTGTAGTTTACTGTAATTTCAATTTTGAAGTGAAAAATAAGAGATAAGTAGAACCAATGAACAGCTGGTTAAAAACAGTCCAGTGTGGTACTGTTTTGTAGCAATCGCATCAGAGTCCTTTCGGGCCTTTCCCGGCAAGCTCGGAAAACATATCCGATATTGTTATTCCGAGCTTGCCGGAAAGATCCAGGAAGATAGTTAAAAATAGCTAGTTTTTTTAATTATAATTTTAGAAATTATAATTGATCTGTACAATTTTGGCATTTACTGTTACCTTTTGAACGTTTATTTAAGATTAGACAACAAAACGCGAAACTTCAGATCATATGTATTTTCAGATTAAAAAACGAAATTGACAATTTATCTACAAGTAGTATTCCCAGAGTGCCCTACCATGAAGTCGAGCATACATCTCGAGTTATTGCTAGCTCGAGAGCGCCAGCAATAACAATCGGATCATTACTCGGGCTTTTCCGTCAAAAAAAGGAAAAATGAGAAATTAAAGAATTATAATCATATCAGTGCTACTGCATTGTATCAATCGTTTCTCGTGTCTTTCCGAATACTCTGAAAGATTTCCTGGGTTTGTTTCTGAGCTTGCCGGAATTATCTAGGAAAGCTAGGTTTTACCAGTTGATCTTGGCATTATATGACCCAAATTTTCTTGTACTTTTAATCATAGGTTAGACAATAAATTAAGAAATTCAGAATTCGGACCATATCAATTTTTTTATGATAAAACGAAATTATCATCGTACAGTCTATCTTCAGTAGTTTTCCCAGAATGCCCGACCGTGAAGTCAAGCATGCGTATTCCAGAAATATAGACTAACGTAGTTGCTAGCGCTCGAGAGCGCTAGCAATTAATGCATTTAGTAAGTGTTAGTTTCCATGATTTTACAATATCCACTTCTCCCCTCATTAACGTGTCATCTGAAATTTGCTTAATTGATTTGATCTTTGCTGTAATTGAGTCGCCATTCCTGATTTATAATTCATTTCTATTAATTTAACCTTTTGTGAAACCGTTTAACACAGCAAAAACCATCAACTGTTGTAACATTCCATGCTTTCCTTATCAAGTCATGAAGGTCATATCACATTATGGAAAAGTAACAGTCTCCTGGTAAATAGGTTGTGGAGCAATAAAGCTTTTAATTGATATCTCATTTAGATGGCTAGGAAACAGTAGTCAACGTTAGAAGAACTTCTCTGTGCTAATACAGTTAATTCTCTTGTGATGACCCCTGCCTTTGAAAACAGATTCGAACTTCGTAAATACACACTTTTATTAAACGTAATTACATAAAGTTGTAGATTGGATGTTGACCATTCTTGCAATGAAAAGAAACATGCTTGTTTTGAAAGTTTATTTTGACGCAAATTTCACATGTCCTTAAGTGCAGTCATCCTTTAGTCAAATGTTTCCCAAGCTTAACCAATTCTAGAGTATTTATCATACAAATTTCCTAGAAGATATATGAATAAAATTACTTACTAGTAATTTATTACATTTTCAACAGTGAAATACTGTGATTTATTTATTGAATTAAAGTGAAATTCTCTGACAGTGTGAAAGGATACCAAAGTGATATTCTATCACAGTGTGAAAGGATGTCAAAGTAAGTAAAAAAAATTATTTTTTGGCCTGTCGTAAGATAGAGTTAGTAACTAAACTGTCTTGATAGAGACTAAAACTGCCAATTTCTTGTTGCTAAAATCCATGTTACAATGTTATCAATATCACAACTTCTAAGCTATATGACTCAACCGCTCAATTACTATGTATGACGTCACAGTCCATGACACTGTTAAGACAGAGGCAAAGGGAAAATCAAAGAAAATGTAATAAACAGACAAATCAATGTTTTGTAGTTGGATATGGAAATTATTTCACTCGTGAGATAGGATTTTTTTTTTAATTTTTTCACTCGTGCTTCGCACTCGTGAAAATATCAAAATATCAAAAAAATCCTGTCCCACTCGTGAAATAAATTCCATATCCAACTACAAAACATCGAATATCCTCTATTTATTTGATATATTAGATAGAAAATTAAAAAAAAAAAAAAAAAGATTTGGATCTTCCCCGAAAATCAAAGACATCGTCTTTGCCTGCTAGTAGTAGAAATGACATTTGTTTTCATAGATCACACATTAAATTCATACCCGAGACATTTACTAATTCAAAATTATCAGAGCATTAACCTAATCCTCACGTGTGTAAACTCTATTATGTGTTTTTTATCATTTCCAATCAATGTTTCCATTATCTTTATTTATTTTCCATAATGGAATGATGTAATATGAATGTCATTGATTAAAAAGATTTTGTATTTACTTAATGCCTTCTTCACGAAGATAAAAAATAAAATAAAATACAGGACACAGAATTCTCGCCAAATACTAATGATGCTGTACATCGGGATTCTTCTTGTCTTGAATGTTATTCTTTTGATGATGAATGGATGCTTAGGGGGTGAGAATGTTACTGCAGAGAAAGTGACGTCACTGAGAAAGACTTTACTGAGGGACTATGACCCTTACTTACGACCGCGCAGACGACAGCTTGACACAGTTGTCATCAATGCTACCTTTACTGTGAAGCGTTTCCATGATCTCAATGAAAAAGAAGAAAAAGTTTCTCTGCTCGGATACCTTCAGTTTCAGTGGAATGATGAATTCCTTGTCTGGAAAAGAGAAGACTACTCGAATATCAGCGACATTGTCGTAAAAACAAATGACATCTGGTGGCCAACAGTGAGTCTGGGTAACCCTATCGGAAATTTTGAGAACATACGAAATCACTACGGCATCTTTCATGTCTCGTCTTCTGGGGAAATAAACTGGTCTGCCGGTGGTCTTTTCTCTGTAGCTTGCGACTTGAACTTAGAAAAGTATCCATTTGACACCCATACGTGTGATTTTGTGTTCGTGGTACTTGGATACTCTTCAGATGACGTCATCATCAAGGTAAATCCGAACGTCCAGGAAATAAAAGGAACAACGGAATGGGATGTTGTTAACGCAAGCATGTTTGGAATATCAGGAGAAAAATCTGGATTGATTGTCAGGTTCGTCCTTCAGAGGAAGTCATTCTTCGTGGTTTTGACGGTGTTGTTGCCCTTATCTTTGCTCTCTATGTTGAACCTTTGTGTCTTTTTGATTCCGGTTGAGTCTGGAGAGAAAACGTCATTTGCTATTACAACATTTTTAGCGTACTCGATTTACCTCTCAGCCCTGGGGTCCTCTCTGTCTGCGAAAGACAACATATATCTGACCATGTACATAGAAATTCTGATGATCACTGGTGTGATTATCGTGTTGTTTGTGATTGGGCAGACAAGACTTTTCTTCTATTACGGCGACCACCTCCTGCCTTGTTGTCGTGGAAAAACTGTGCATGGTGAAAATACTGACGTCAAAAAGACTACCACAAGGAAGCTATCCAGAGATAATGTAAAACAGGCTAGAACATGGGCCAGCAGCATGGGGATATTAGACCAAGTGCTCTTTTTTCTGTTCCTCTGCATTCTAGGCATAATAACTGTATATCACTTTTGGATGATGATGTTTTGATTTCTTGAATATTGACAGAGTAATTGATAATTTTATGAAAAACACTTGTTCATCAGATTTTAGCATTGTCTATTAGATCGAAGACGATTCCGATTGAATGATCATCATCAACAAATATTATTAGTTCGCCTGTGGACCAATGTTCTCTCTCTCACTCTCTAAATGCCGAGAATTCCTGCAATCACTGATAGTTAAAATAATAGATATATACACCTGCAATCAGGGGCGTAGCTAGAATTTTGATGAAGTATAGGCACAAATTACCCTGTGTGCGGCAAGGGGTCTGTTGTTCGCCTAAGGCCCTTTTCTATAGTATTTCCCTTACCTAATTAGTCATTGAATGTTATGCTTTCAGCTCATTAGATTTTCGAAGATTTTTTGCTGCAAAAATTTTTGTACATGTAAAATTTATGACAAAATAATTTATGTTGCAATTAGTTTGAAATCGGGTCCATATTTTCGGTAAATTGACTGGACTTATTGACGGGCGGAATGTCAGACGAATACGTAATTACGAATGTACTAGATGTGATTTTTAGTCCCCTACCGGTGAAACCGGAGGGGACTATAGGTTTCCTCTGAGTCTGTCCGTCCGTCCGTCCGTCCGTCTATCTGTCTGTCCGTCCGTCTGTCTGTCTGTCCCTGTGTCTGTCTGTCAGTCTGTCCCACTTGGTTTTCCGCACTTTTTTCCTAAACGCTTGCAGATATTGAGCTGGTTTTTGGTATGTGAGTGTATCTTGATGAGTTACAGATCAAGTTTGCATTTCGTTCCGCTTCATTGATTGACGGAATTACGGCCTTTTCAATTTTTGGGGGTTTTCCGCAATTTTCTTCTAAACGCTTGTAGATATTGAGCTGATTTTTGGTATGTGGCTTTACCTTGATTAGTTATAGATCAAGTTTGCATTTCGTCCCGCTTCATTAATTTTTGACGGAATTATGGCATTTTCAATTCTTAACGGGAACCAGATTACACTTGCCGGTAGGGGACTAGTATTGCAATGCAATACTCTCAGAATGCTTGTCTTTATTTCATTTCTTTCATGAAACTGTTAAGATGAAAAATATTTGTTTTCGTGTCATGGAAGATGAATATACATATGATGAATTTAAAGGTGTCTTTATCTAATTGCAAAGTATATCTGTACGTTTCGATGAAAACTGAGTTATCGCGTCACCAAAAAGGGTTCATGGAAGGATTCCTACACGGCTGCTGCATTTCATGCTGGGGCCCTAATGAGTTACTATCATTCCAGTAACAGTGTGTCACTTTATTTGATCGAGCGTTCAAATGTTCATTGGGCCATTCCAAGTTTTTTCTACGTTTAGCGTCCGCGTCCGCCCTGGTTTTTGACACCCCATATCAGTAAAAACAAACGAAATCAGGAGTCTTAATATTTAATATTCTAGTCACAGTCTTTTAATTCTGTCAATATCTCAAAGTATTTGCCTACAATATATCATATTAGGTAAACATTAAGCATTTAGTAGTTACACATTGATTTTGCTAAAGAACAGATCTTTCTACATGAAAAATAGATTAATGAAATCAAATGCTTTGAATGACGTCATTTTAAAGACTATAAAGTCTGTGTTTTATTTTTTGGCTTGTGTGTGTTTAGCGAATATGTAGGTAGATTTTTGAAAGATGGGTGGACGCTATACAGTGAAAAAACTTGGAATGGCCTTACCATATTTCTCATTGATTCGATGTGTGATTTCAATGAAAAAAAAATTCTACTTTGCATTATGAACAGAGAAGCCAGCAATGGGCTTTGACTGATCACGTGCTGTTGATTATTACAAATGCCATACCCGTAAACAATCATTCAATGCGATTGGTCAGTATTTAATATCAGTGTATTGCTGGGTTCTCTGTTTCATATGCAAAGTAGTACTCATTTCATTGAAATCAAACACCCAATCGATAATAAATATGGTGATCAACATTTGAAACCAAAGTGACACGCTGTTATTGGAATGATAATAATTATCCCGTTATATCGAAGTCGTTATTATAATGTATCCTTACAAAGAGAAAATTAATTCGTTACAACTTTACAAGTATCTCGTTATTACAAGAGTATGAATTCCCTATAAAGAGAAATTAACTCATTATAACGAGATAATTATGATAGGGCCTTTTAAAAATGTGAAAAGCTCCAAAGATGACAATAAAGTAGATAGACATGTGAATGTTATCATCTTCTATTGTAGCCAATTTATTGTGAAAACAATTACTTTAAAAAGAAAAGTTTTACTCAAAATTTCAATGATTTATTGTAATGTTCAAAGGATCAAAGGTTGTAAATCTTAACCAATTAACATAAATTCAACTGAATTATATCATCTACGATCTGGCAAGGGCTTATAGTTAGATGGGATTGAACCTTCTTTAAAAACTATAGTCTGATTAGTTATCAAGAAATATCTAGGTCATAAACAGAATTCAAAGAACTTGGTAGTGAGTATCTCTGGATGCAGTGATCATCCCTAAAAATTTGGTCCTTGCAGGATATATATGTAATTACTTAAGAATGGACAAGGTTCGGAAACCTAAAATTATAGGCCAGACACAGCATCCAAGGTAAGAATGGTAGTAAACAGTGAAAAACAAAATGATTAATTTTAATTAGAATGCATATGGATGGACAAACCCTATCATCATTCTTCATAGTACTCAAGACTTGTATCCAAGTTTATTTAATTGTTACTTGGCTCTAAGCCTGCAAAAATCTGTTCATTTTTGTGAGGTTAATGATGACAGTCAAGAGACATTTACAATTTATCTCTTTGTTGGTAAAAGACATGGTAAAATAAAATTTAAATTATTTTTATTCAAATGTATAAAATACATTAATATAATAAAGTATGTAATAAAAACTACACAACCATTTAAAATGTGCTATAAAAAAATAAACAAATTTATTTGTAGACATATTTCATTAATCATTAACATGTGTATAATCAAATACCTGATTCAAATGATATGCTCTTTAAATGCATGATATAGTAATGAATAAAAATGTTGAGCGAGCTTGTGTCAAAAGAACACATGCCAATAAATATTCATATCAGTAAAAATTGTTCTTGATATTTGATAATTTCATTTGGGAAAGTGTGGCATTTAATTTACCAGATACATTTTTTCACATGACACAGCCTGGGAACTCTGTTGATTGGATACATTATCTGCTTTATTGATTGGATTGGATGATCTGTCACATGACTCAGTCTGCTAACTTTGTTGATTGGATGATTTTGTCACATGACACAGTCTGCTAACTTTGTTGATTGGATGATTTTGTCACATGACACAGTTTGCTAACTTTGTTGATTGGATGATTTTGTCATATGACACAGTCTGCTAACTTTGTTGATTGGATGATTTTGTCACATGACATAGTCTGCTACCTTTCTGTTTGCTGATTGGATGCCAGAAACTTACACTTGTCATATGTTCTGTCATAGCCTTCAATGAAAAACATTGACATTCACATATAAATTCACAATTTTGGAAAAGGCACTCTTGCTCATCATAACTATGCATTTATTTTGTTTGGTTAGTATCCAGAGCAGAGGAGAAGATTTTTGAAAGAAATAATGCATTTTCACTATATATTCAACAGACCTTGCCCGAGCACCAGAACCCCTTCCCCTGGGACCATGAATTTCACAATTTTGGTAAAGGGCTCAATGCTTATTACAATCATGCCAACAGTATGACTGCTTGATGTCCAGGAGTAAAGAAGAATTTTGAAGACTGCATTAATTTTGATGATTTTAGCCCCACCCCTCAGGCTCCAGGGGGGCAGGGGACATAAACTTCACAATTTTTACTCTCCTTCACCCATATATGCTATATGCCAAAGTTGGTTGAAATTGTCAACTACATATTATTACTAGATATGACACAGGCTAATACAATATGATATATATCTGACAGTCATCATATTATTATACAATTAATTTATGGACTTAGAAGGGAGACATCCCATATTATCAGGTCTGAATAGGGTTGTCACCTGAGGGCACCTGCGCCTAAGAGTGACAATTCTACTCAGACTTGATAATTTGTGATGTCTCCCTTCTAAACAGTCCATAGTAGTTTTATTATCCTGAAGAATCTAAATTTAATTAAACTGAGTAGAAAATATCTGCCCAACCTCTTGTGTTCTCCTACCCACTGCTATGATTCCATGCTTTCAAAATATGTCAATTAACGTCATCGTTAGAATTTACTGTTCATCAATCCAACATTTCTATAAATTATATGAGTTATTTAGCTTACGACACTTTATTTTCATCTAAAGTGAGACAACACAGTTGTCACCCTGCATGTTCCCTTGGGCTATTTTATTGTCAGCTGAAGAGAGACAACACAGTTGTCACCCTGCATGTGGCATGCTCTACAATCAGATCGAGTGTATAATTCTGAAGGATAACACTAGATATGACACATGCTAATAAATATATACATGTATTTACATCCACTGAATATTTTCTCCTTTGCTTGTTAAGAAAACCATTGCGGTTCATCAGTCAGTAAACAACAATAAACATATCACCTGTAATGATTTCTTAAGCAGTGGCTGTTCCATCAATGAAACATATGATGATGTACATATAAATAATACAATTTTTAATCTGCTGAATCCTACTTTTGATTACCATTTGTACAGATATAAATATAAACAATAAAATGTCTTTCTTTCTTTGTTAGTACGAATATTAACGGCGCAGCTATTGCATAAAAAAATTACATAACCAGCGTGAGCTGGTTAGGTATTTTTTCTGCAACAGCTGCAACATTAATTCCCGTACTAACAACCAAAGAAAGCATTTCATTGTTTAAAACACAAACCATACGGGAAGAATCTGACTGACATTTGTATCCTAGTGTTCATCTTCAGGACTCGGACGGCCTAAAAATAACACTGTAGAGTGAGTGAAAAAGTATATAAGGATTAATCAATCGGAATTCAAATGAAAAAGAATTAAAATCTGATCTTATTCAAAAAATTCCTGTATTATGTTTGCACATCACAATATTGACAAATTATGGCCTTGTTGTGGTTAAGGATTTTTCTACATTATCCCCTGATTTTCAGAGATTTTCATTTGAATATTTCCCTTTGTTAGAGAAGTCTCACAAACCTGAATACTTTCGCCAATGATGTTTGAGATAATGGTTTAAATATCAAAAATAATTAACAGAGGGATGACAGACTCTCACTTTTCTTACAAAGCAAGATAGATAAACTATAAAGATCAGAAAAGCTCACTAGGAATCTCAGATGAGTTACCTATCAAAATAAAACTGATCATAGATTTTACATGTATTTTTTACATTTACTAAAAAGATAAATCTTTAAGGTAATCTAGTTTGATTTAAAAATACATTTGAATTCCATTTACATAAATGTTATCATTACCACATAATAATTATAATATCAGAGAGGTTTAGTTGCTTTTTCTGGAAAAATTAGAGATTGAGTGATTCCCTTGCCTTGTCTACAGTTTATTATGGATTTTTAGTAACATCTAAAGAAGGAAATTTCATAATATATAAACATAAGTACTTCAGGGTTATCCCTAAGACCAGGGGGGTCAGGGAATTTCTCCACCTATAATGATGTAACCCCTGGTTATTCTGGTATCCTCACTCAACCCCGAGCTAGGTGAGGAACCCCATACCCCCTTCTACTTTTTTAATGTCCTCTGCTAATTCAATTCTTAAGGACAACCCTGGTACCTCCTTCCTTATTTCAATAAATATGAGAAACATGTTCAAAGTTCAAAGTCATAGGGGGATCTAATGCCCTTAAATATGTCTTTTCTTACCTCTGCATGGTCTATGTTTGTGAAGTCTTTTTTGTTAACTGTTAAAATCTGCAAAGAAAAAATCAGTATGTTTATATTTCATAAATGGATATTTTTGTACACTAGAAAATGAGACTTATAACAATTATATCTATATGTATGAGAGCCTTTCAAAAATTACACAGACTCCTTGCACAGAAAAAAAGATTTGACAACATAATTAAAGACAGAGATTTTTTACCGGGTGGTAAATTCCAGGTGAGGGAGGGGCTTATTTTGTACAGGTGTGAATGCCTTGAGGGCTAGCAGTCTGCCTGTGGTCGTTTGTCTCCCAATCCCTATACACAGAAAGTGATTTAATACACAGTAGAGTACCCAAAAAAGTCAAACTTTACCTGTGTTGGGATTTTGAGATGATTTTAAATTAGAAATAAAAAGTTGTAAATAAAGTTTAATCTCAATAATTCTTATTAATTTATAATTGAATGTGTGTCAAAGCACACCCATTAAAAAAAATTATTAATCAAAGTATTTGTTGAGCTTGACGAAAAATTATACCAAATTTTGATATATATTATCATAAAAAATAGCATAATTATTTCAAATACTAAATGTATGTGTATATATATTATCAAGCTAAAAATTCCACAGTAATACAGCTTCTCTATTGTTTATACCATGTGTGGTTAATATCAAAGGATCAAAAGTTAATTTGAAGGTCACCATGAGTGCCAAACAAGGTGTACAGGGTATACACAGGGACTAGTAAGTAAATGTCAATCAAGTTCTAGCACTCAGTGATGTACCTTAATGCACTTGATTGACGGGGGTACACAGACCAGGTATTTTTGAAGGCGGTGCTTAAAATCTCTGCCTTTAAGCAAAAAGTCACACATACTAGCAATATAAAAGAATCTTTACTTTTATGGTCACCTGAATTTCATGTCAAAATGTTGTAAATTGATATCAATCTTGGATGATTTGACAGGACATATCATAACGTCACACTGCAGTAAAATCTTCAACTTTGTAGGTGTTATAAAAAAATGTGAGCTTTCATTTTCTCAATATTTTCCCTTAATGTTTCATACTTTGTAGTTTCGGCTAACTTATCCACTCAGCATAAATATCCATATACCATTTTGGTCCAACTTGAATATTATAAAACTAGTATACTCCAGACACATGGTAACTAGTAGAGTATATTCTAATTTGTTTTAAAACCCAAAACTGACGATATTTCTGAAATATTATATGATGTTGCTCACTCTCAATCATGCTCTTAACAGTCACTATCATGTTTTAGTTGATGATCTTCCATCCCCTGCTGGATTGCCTTTTACTGAGGTCTTACCATCTTAAATTCTCTTTCACTATTTGAAGACAAGTGTCAGGAATATGTTCTTCTGTCCCCTGCTGGATTGCCTTTTACTGAGGTCTTACCATCTTAAATTCTCTTTCACTATTTGAAGACAAGTGTCAGGAATATGTTCTTCTGTCCCCTGCTGGATTGCCTTTTACTGGGGTTTTACCATCTTAAATTTTCTTTTGTTATTTGAAGACAAGTGTCAGGAATATGTTCTTCTGTCCCCTGCTGGATTGCCTTTTACTGGGGTCTTACCATCTTAAATTCTCTTTTGCTATTTGTAGACAAGTGTCAGGAATATGTTCTTCTGTCCCCTGCTGGATTGCCTTTTACTGGGGTCTTACCATCTTAAATTCTCTTTTGCTATTTGTAGACAAGTGTCAGGAATACTGCTGGTTTACTACATTAAGCATATTTTGGGTATATGTCGGCCTTTTCTTGAGCAACACATAATTTGATAAAAGTGCACTGCTCCATCAAATCACAAGACATTATATTTGCAGTTGTTTTCATAGGGATCCCATAGGCAAGAAATCACAATACTTTAAATATTACATCATAAATCAAAATTCTTAATAATAGAACGAGAAAAAGAAACTTTAAAGAAAATTATCAAATAATATCGTAATTTATAGAAAATAAATAAATAAAATTTGTTTATTGAGATTTTTGTCATGCTCCAAGCATCACCATCAGTAAAATCAAAACAGCAATTATTTTAGAAGATATTAATTAAAATTAAAACAATTTACCAAAAATATACTGGAATCTTCAGGAAATATGTTTCTGTGAAATTTCATTACTATTTGAAGTCTGTCAGAGTAAATAATAGCAGAGTCCAAGTAATTTTGAATGGCCCTCGAGTCTTAAATGTGTCTGTGCTTTTTCTCTTACCTGGTGCCCTTCCCTTAGTCCAAGTTTGTCTGCCTCACTGTTCGGCATCACCTGAAATTTTAATATAGGTAAAAACTGTGAACAGTGAATTAACAGCTACCTTTGTAGACTATTACAGCAATAATAAGCATTATACTGACCCTATATACAAAACATTATCATTGTGTAAGAAATAATATATTTAATTTTGAAACGAGTCTGACCTTCGAAACAAAAATTCCACAGTGATGTTCCTGGCCACCTCGAATGTTGAATCCTAGCTGTGAAATTAAAAATGCATGCAACATTATATATATTTTTTTATGTATATGCGTATTGAATATATACAGTGTATATGGTATAGATAGAGTAAACAACTTTGTTTTTTTCTTTTACAATTTTGGCAATCAGATTTATAAGCAATGAACTTCTTTCACTATAAGATGCTTGAATAATTGGAATAATAATGTTTTTTGTTGTTTCTTTATGTTATGATTCAGAAAAATATTGCATTGTTTACTTGTTCTGATGCTCTCATCCTCTGTAGAATTAACTCCCTTGGAAGGAACTCTCTGATGTCATTGTTGTAGTCGGGATGATGAACTCTCTGTTAATAAAAATCAGTGTGTTAGTCCATGTCACTCGAGTCTGAAGGCACATTTTGATATCCTTGTCAGAATTGAATAAGATTTGATTAGTTTTTGGTGCATGTGATATTTGTTTTTTTATTAACTACTCGTATATTTGCTCGTTAATAAGGTAATTATTTCATCTCTTTTCATCAAAATATTCACAGGTGTATGTAGAAAGAGTAGAAACTGCCTAAAGTATGTCAATATCGGTACTTTGTAAAATAAACTGTAAAAATATTATCGGACGAAACAAAATTACTCCAGACACATGGAAACTAAGTAATTATTTCTACATATATACTTGTATTGTTTATGTATGTCTGCTGATCAATATTTAAGAAATTATTTCTACTTGTATTGTTGATGTACCTCTTCTGTACAGAAAGCTGCATTTTGGCATCTTATGGTAAAAAGGATTACACAAAACTAAATTTGAAAATATGTTTAAGCGAAGCCAAAGGTCTGGTCATCAACAGGACTCTAGATATCCTGTAGTTTTAAATGTCCAATGAACTCGATTAAAGATTCATTCCCTGTGTTAATTGGCAGATGTAGCACCATAAACTGGGGCAAATAATTCTAATCTACAGGTATGTACACAAAAAAATGAAAACATAAGAAATTTTCAAATGTCAAAATGTCAACATTTAATGCAGGGATGGGGTAATCGTAATCGAATAATATCGTAATCAATTGTAATGATTACTTTTTTTCAAGTAATCAACAGTTATCTGTAATCGAAGAGATTTTCGATTTACTTGTAATCATAATTTAATATATTACTGCTAAAATTTTCAATGTAATTATAATTACTTTTTCGATTACTTTCGATTATTTCATACATAAATGGATGTTATTTTGGAGAATTATTTCCAGTCAGTCACACATAAATATCAAATAAACCACCTAGTGTAATCTTTGGATTTCCTAACTTTTATTATCATACGTTTAATAATGTTCTCAATAAAATTTGCATTATATACCTACTGGTCTAGTATTAAATAATTCAGAAGTGTATTTCAACCATTTATTAATAAAATATACAGATTTTTCATGTGTATTTTACATTTGACCCACTGTCCTCTTGCTGCATGTCCTTTCATATTTCAGATGTTGAAAAACTTTGTCTTGTAATAGAAAGTGCTGTATTACATTGTAAATATAAATAATTTGGTAAATAAACTACATTGTACTCGAAAAAAGAAGATGGAAATACTTAATCATATCTGAAAATGTTTAAACAACTTCAAACTTGTGTTTTAGTAACTTTAAAATTTGCAAAATCATTTTCAGGTTTTCATTCAAAATTGTAAGGTTGCTTTTATATCAGTGAGAGGTTATAAGTGTCTGTAAGAGAGGGAGTGTACTGTCACTGTGTTTGCTTAATTAATATGGCTAATTAATTAACTGAAAAATCCCTGATTTGCAGATAATGAGGTGTAAACTGTTAACTACCTAGTGTTTAACTTTCATTCCATTGAAGACAAACAATATTATTAAAACAATTAATAGCTCTCAAAACACTTATTTCAATACAGAAAGAAATTGTGCTATTAGTTTAATTACTTAAAGACACATTTAATTTACACGTTTATTACTAAGAGTTCTAATTTACTTATTTTTTTTTTTGAAAAAAGAATGTTTAATGTGTACTGTCAACATACGGGCGGCCCAAATACTTCTAATGAAGTAATTTACAATAAAATATTAAATAATTTTTGCAACAAAAGTCAATAAATATGGAGGTTCAGATCCAAGGTTGAAATGAAATAATTAATTCCTTGGCATATTTTATTGTAGGAATCATGTCTCCACTTTCCATGGTAGAGAATCCCTCATTTTGGCATTTAGTGAGAATGTATGCCAGAATAAAACCTTAAAAGAATCTGCACTGAAACTGCAGGAACACATTCAAAGTTCAGTGGATAACATCAACATTTACCATTTAAATATTGCTTTGACATTTGAAGGGATAAATACTTGGAAGTAATTGATTATTAATCGATTATTAATCAATTACATTTTCCAAAGTAATCGATTACAGGACAAAAATGACTGTAATCAATTAATAATCGATTACATTTTTCTTTCGTAATCATGCCCATCCCTGATTTAATGTAAATTACAAAACAAGAAAATATGTTGACTTTTCTTCTACATGGATCTTTTTTTTTTTTTGAGGGGGGGGGGGGGGGGGGGTAGAAGACATACAAAAGGGGACTGAGCTCAGAAAGGTTTGTTATGAATAATTTGGTGGTTATTTTCAGTGCAACACCTTCTGAATTCTCCAAAATTGTACTGGAGCTGATCCACTCCCTTTATAACACTGCAACTACATGTACATGGGAGGTGTTCTAACTGTGGTGAGGGCTTGTCTCACAGTTAATGAGTTAGGTTTTTCTAACTACCTGGACTCCAGTTAGATTGAATCCCCCCTCCCCCAGTTTAAATAAATTTTTGTAACCTTATTGCTAAAGGATAAATAGGGGATGTACCATAGGGTACAAAAGTATGACCTCAAAACACAGTACCAATTTCTTGCCATATATGTATTACTGTGTTGGATCTGACAGGTCCAGCACAATCTCTTGATTTAGCTATATAGCTTGAAAAAGCTATATAGCTTTATCAAGCTATTCAAAATAGCTTGATAAAGCTATTTATGTGCAGTTTTTCAGAAAAAAAAATTTTGTAAGAAAAAGACAAAAAGTCACACGTATTAGACTATTCATATATGTACTTTGGGCTATCAAAACAACAACTGAAATCAAAGATAGTTCTAACATTGCAGCATTTGAATTCTTTTAAGCAAAAGATGAATTTCCATTGTTTGAGTAACTGTACACCACCTTGTGTGCGTTGAGGCATGGATAAGTATGATTGCTTCTCATTGTACTGAATTATTACCAATCCATTATCTTGTTGACCATAATTGGCCTCTTTTATAATTTCAATGAAGAAGTAACTGTATCAATTGCTTTATATAGCCCCAAAACTTTTAGAACTTTGAATACAAAGTCTATTAAGCAGGTCCGGCACAATCTCTTGATTTAGCTATATAGCTTGATTTAGCTATATAGCTTTATTAAGCTATTCAGAATAGCTTGATTTAGCTATTTTACCACACTTTTTTCTTAAATGTGTTATTTTCTCAGCATGCACAAAAAGTCGCACCTTGGTGCAGTGATAATATTCAACCTTGAACTCTTCTGAAAATAATGCATGTAAAAATCACTTATCAAATTGTGTCTCCTTAAGAGACTTTGTACTCAAAGTTCTAAAAGTTTTGGGGCTATATAAAGCAATTGATACAGTTACTTCTTCACTGAAATTATAAAAGAGGCCAATTATGTTCAACAAGATAATTGATTGGTAATAATTCTGTACAATGAGAAGCAATCATACTTATCCACGCCTCAACGCACACAAGGTAGTGTACAGTTACTCAAACAATGGAAATTCATCTTTTGCTTAAAAGTATTCAAATGCTGCAATGTTAGAACTATCTTTGACTTCAGTTGTTGTTTTGATAGCCCATAGTACATATAGGAATAATCACATACTTGCGACTTTCTGTCTCTTTCTTACAAAAAACATTTTTCTGAAAAACTGCACATAAATAGCTTGATCAAGCTATTTTAAATAGCTTAATAAAGCTATATAGCTTTTTCAAGCTATATAGCTAAATCAAGAGATTGTGCTGGACCTGTTAAGGAGACGCAATTTGATGAGTGATTTTTACATGCATTGTTTCCAGAAGAGTTCAAGGTTGAATATTATCACTGCACCAAGGTGCGACTTTTTGTGCATGCTGAGAAAATAATACATTTAAGAAAAAAGTGTGATAAAATAGCTAAATTAAGCTATTCTGAATAGCTTAATAAAGCTATATAGGAAAATCAAGCTATATAGCTAAATCAAGAGATTGTGCCGGACCTGTCTGAGAGCCAGAGAAATCTCGGATTACACTGCAGCAATAATTCCTCGGATTTGAGGGGGGAAAAACTTAAACAAATATTTTGTTAACCTCTTGTGGTGGAATCCATGGTGGAGGTGGTTCGTATGGCGGTAATCTCGCCCGAACCAGCTCAATTCTATTCTGGTTTTGGTGCACTCCGTTCATGATCCCAACATTAATCAATGTTTGCAAACCTCTTGAGTCTGTACTGTGAGTTCTCATAGGATTAAAGCGCCCAGTCGATGAATCTACCCAGAGTTCCATATCAAAACAAAGACAACTCTTGAACTTCCTCTTCCGCCTCGAACGTGAAAATGGCAGTAGGAAAAAATAAGAGGCTTACTAAAGGGGGCAAGAAAAGCTCCAAAAAGAAGATGTACGTATATGAAAAGTTCAAGAAAATTAAAAGTTATCTTTTTCCTCCATGTCGAGCTCATGACTTACAGTGATGGCACTTAATGATCACGATATTTAGGGATTGAAAAGCAAGTGACATTGATGTCATGTGTAGTTGTAGTCTTGCATTCTACTGTAAATAAAGTCAGGCAAATTTTCAGTCACTGAAAGACATCAGAGACCTAAGAGAAGAACTTGTAGATGTATAAAATTATTGAATTCGCATGATTCTTTTCTGCAGTTGAATTCAAAAGTTCGGTTGTTGCATGAACATGAGTATGATGTATATACATGTCAGTTTCGCTTGACGGTTAATATGTAAAATTCTCTTTGATTGTAGTGTTGACCCTTTCACTAAAAAAGACTGGTACGATGTCAAAGCACCAAGCATGTTTGTTGTCCGCCAAATCGGGAAAACCTTGGTTACTAGGACACAAGGAACAAGTGAGTTTTCAGAAGTATCATCCAGCTGTATTATTAAAATAACTTTTCTTAGAAAATAGAAATAGATTTTTCTTGTCCTCTATTTTGAAACATCTCAAAAATGTGTATTGTGTGACATTCTGAAAGAAAAAGTAAATAAAGTAACATACAACGGTAATCAGGTCCCGGGGTCATAAAACTTAGACGAGCTCACTTTTGATCTCAGTTTCACTTTTCCACTATTAATTCATTTGGTAAAAGTGAAACTGAGATCAAAAGTGAGCTCGTCTTAGTTTATGGCCCCGGAGTCAGAGATTCCTCTGACTTTAATCTCTGCTTGTGCATCTCCCCTTCACATGTCCCAATATTAAAGCAGGGGTTAGAGTCAGAGGAATCTTGGGATTAATACAACGGAAGGTATTTTCAGGCATACACCTATCAATAAGAGTGTTTGAAAATCAGTAAAAATTTACAATCATTCAATCAGAACATCTTTTCTGTTCATAATTGAAAATAGTAAGAAACGCAATAGAGAATTTAACTAAGTAATTTCATTCAAATAAGTTAATCTAACATTGGTTTTGCATAATAATTTCATTCAAATAAATAAACTTAATGTTTATTGTCATTATTGAAGTAGTGTTCTGGAATTAAGGCACAAACAATAAGTTATCTTTCAGCTTGGCAACTTTAGTTTCAAAATGAATAAAACAACTCATGTTCAAGTACTTTATTATAGACTTGCTGCAGTTAAACACAAATGCAGGCCTTTAAAAATCTGTTACTTTAAAATCATGATTTTTTCCTGGCATAATATTCAATAGAGAAAAATTCGATAAAACATTTAATTAAAATCGCTTTCAGAAAGCACCTCCTATTGTAAAAGTACTGCATGTTTCGTATCTTTTTGAAAGCTCTGTAAATTACTAATGAATACATTAGTTTTGTTGTTATTTATAAATAAGTATATAAATTGTGGCTAATGTCCCACTGCATATGTGAAACATTTTTCATTATTTTAATATGACTTGCAGTAAGCAATGTTTTGTGATATTTTGATCTTCTATGCAGGGATTGCTTCTGATGGCCTAAAGGGGCGTGTATTTGAAATCTCCCTGGCAGATCTTCAGAATGACGAAGTATCATTCAGGAAGTTCAAACTTATGGCTGAGGAAGTTCAAGGTCGTAATGTCCTGACCAACTTTCATGGCATGGACCTGACCAGGGACAAGCTCTGCTCCATGGTAAAGAAGTGGCAGACCTTGATCCAGGCTCATGTTGATGTCAAGACCACAGATGGCTACCTTCTAAGGATGTTCTGTATTGGTTTCACCAAGAAGAAGCAGTTTCAAGTGAAGAAGACTTGCTATGCCCAACACACACAGGTATGAAATTGGGTCAGTTATGAATAACTCAATTGTTTTATGTTGAAACATATTTTTGAACAACACATGTAGGATGCATAAAGAAAGACTGTAAGATTTTTTATAAGGTGAAGCCTGTGCTCAAACAAATATCAACATTTTCTTAGTCAGTAATGCCGAGTACATAAGGTGGGAGATAAAAAGAGAAAAATAGTTGAGAAGTACCCATTCTTTAAAAAAATTGTCATACATCTGTACTCTGACTGGACTTACCTGTAGATTTTCATCTTGATAGACTTTTTACATAAACAGAGTTAATGGTGTGATTAACCAGTATAGGCACTGAAATATTTTGATTCTATTTATCTTCTTTTTACAAACAGTATACCTACCACATTTCTTTGGTGGTCAACAAAATTATTACATTGTAGTAATTAAGTTTATCCTAGGAGCTACCAGTGATGACATTATATACTGGACATAATTCTGTTGATGAACATACAGTTTCAGCTTTGTCTGAGAGTAGCTCATTGATGCAGCTAGTGAAAAATATTTCAACATTCTGGGAAAAGTTTTAAGCAGACTGTGCAGTCAAAATTTGGATGTAAATCTGGAAGAAAAGACTAATCTATTGGTCCTTTGGACAGGAGGTTCAGGCTTGGTTATTAGTTTTTACATAATTTAGGTGATCTGGCATAACTAGTATTTTTCCACATCTCTGCTTTTGACAAGCTACATTTCCCATTCCACTCTTCCATCTGTCTGTCCCTCTGTCAGTTTCTTTATGTCTGGGTCAAATCTTTCACAATGAGTTGTAAAACTATCAAACTTTTTATCAGCTGATGTGTGAGGAATGTGAAATCCGCAACCCAAAGGTAGTTTTGTAGACATCTTTTTGAAATTTTGGTACCATCAGGAGGAATTATGTCACAACTCAGAAGTGTGTCACTTTAGCCTCATTTTTGAATTCTTTAACCATTGTCTGGATCATTAAGTGAGACCTAGAATTGTGAAACGTATATTAGTTGATTTATCATTGCTCTTAGGTTATTTCTGAGGACCTGTTTTTCCTGACAGTAGTATCTTACTCTGCAGGTGCTCTTTATTTCTGTGTCACATAAAGCAGAAAGGAGATGTTTTCTGCTATTTCAATTGAATACTTGGGTACATACTTGGAAATTTAAAAAAAAAATGACAAGTTTAAAATGAGGATTGAGTATTTTTGTTTCTATTTTAGGTGAAGACCATCAGAAAGAAGATGGTTGACATCATTACAAAAGAAGTGACATCCAATGACATGAAAGAAGTTGTCAACAAACTGTAAGTTTGATTTTTGTTTTCTCTAGATGCAATTGTGCATTGGTCAAATTATCAAATTCATCAATTCTCTATAAGGCACATGGTAAATGATTATTGCTTGAGTAATTGTAAGTTACGTGTCTTACTTCACAAGTCGTTTTATACTAAAGGGCTTTTATAATGAACTAATTGTAATTAATTGATCTTACTGACCATTCTTTTTGTGAGACTTTGCCTTACTTGAAGTTTTGTTGAGATGAGATTCCTAGTTTTTGAATATCTGTTTTCTTTTTTGCAGTATTCCAGACAGCATTGGTAAGGACATTGAAAAAGCCTGTCAAGGAATTTATCCCCTTCACGATGTTTTCATTCGTAAAGTTAAAGTGCTGAAGAAACCTAAATTTGACATCGGTAAATTGATGGAGTTGCATGGAGAGGGCGGCAGTAAAACCGTCATCACAGACTCCGGCGAGACCGTGGCACGACCTGAGGGATACGAACCTCCTGTCTTACAATCTGTGTAAACTGCCATGGTGAAAAAAAAACTGTAATAAAAATGTACAGAAAGTATTGGTTCTTGTTCTGAGCTACAAAGACTGGAACAGGGGGTTAGTTGTCATAAATTGAAAGGTTTACATGTAGTAGGCAGGCATATACAGGGTTCATTAACGCAAGAATCTGCGTCCTAGACGCAGCAATATTCCTTGGGACGCAAGGTTCTTAAAAACGATGAGTCCGCGGACTCATGATCGGACGCGTCCTCGTTAGCGAGAAAATTCGAGTGATTTCGAAAACGGGGAATTTAGATGTTAGGATTTGTCAAAGAAATATTTAAGCGAAACCTTCATGTAACTGTCGTAAAGTTTATCCAAGAAACAACTTTTCTTGTACTTATTTCTCTTTTTTTTAAACAGGGATTGATCATAAGATATTTCATTTTTATTAGTCCATAGTCATAATAGTGTCGCATGCCAAACTTTAAAAAAAAAACAAAAACAAAAAAACGCACACTTTTGAATCTTGAGTGTTATCTACGTGTAGAAACCATAATTACTGCTTGTATACACAATGGGGCTTGATTATCTCGTGAATTTCACCCAGTGCAGACGACCGACAGGATTAGTTACGCCTCATTGCACATGACACCTGTGATTGTACACAGTCAACTTTTGGGTACTAGGTGATTATGCAACAGTTAATTTTAGCTTTATAAACACCAAGTTATTTTTATGGCAATTGATTATGCGTGTATTTTAGAATATGGCTTGAATGCATTACCAGTTTATATACTTGAATATGTTAATATTAACAAACTGATAAAATGATAAAGATTTTTATTGATGTTTGGATGGAAGGATACTGCAATATTTTAGTTGGGACTCAACATAATTTTTCTGGGACGCATCAAATTTAGCTGGGACGCAACCTTCTCAGAAATCTTGAGTCCTGGGACTCAAGTTAGCAAAATCCTAGTGAGAACCCTGATATATGGACACCCAAGAAGCTACATGTACACCTAGTGGTGGATATGTTTAATTTATAATTTGTACTTATCTGCCATGTAATTTTTCTCATTCAGGTCTACAAACTACTGCTACTTCGGCGTGGTGCACATTTTGACATCTGGCAGTTTACATGAAATATGGAATAGCTTTAAGGTCTAATTGAATCAATTGAAAAATTAAGCTTGGTGTGTTGCGTTCAGGAAGACATACCCTTCCAATGTATTTACGTCAGTATATATCGAGAGGTGTTTATAGAATGAAGGTGAAAACTGATCTTGTAGGTGAACAAGTCTTGGTAAAGTCCTATTCAATTAGGTCAAGGATTGATTTTCATATTTTATAGTTTATGTTCATAATTACTTTCAAAATAACTATATTTTTTCATGGTGGCAATACATTGTAAAACAACAAAATTTTGACACACATGTGTCTAATTTTACAAATTTTGTTTTAATTTTTCCTCTACACTTCCTCTAAATTTTGGCTGTAATTTCAAAAAGTTTATCTCCCCAAGACACTAATAAATGATATAAATGTGTTTAGAATAGGACATGATGTTTATCATTTTTTATACCTGGGAAGAGGTTCACCTTGATTAATGGTGCTGGCTTACAAAACCCTGCGCTGTACATGTATATTCAGTTTTCACACAACGTAAGTGAAGGCACATAGTAGATTTCAAAGTCAAGGCAGAAACTATTAAATTATCCATTGTCTCTGAGAAATTGCATCTCCAAACCTAATACTGTGAAAGAAAAGTTGCCTGTATATATACAGGGTCGGAGTTGAGGGACATGATAATTACCATGAAGGAGGTAATTTCTGCAAATTTTGTATTTGATCCAATTCCTGCCTCAAAAAATCTTTTAAATTTTCTGCATGTGCAATATCAGTGATTAAAGGAGATGAGCGAATTTGGCGTGAGATCTGCAGGAACTGTGTACGAAACATTCATAGTTTAAATGTCCACGATTTGATCGGCTGAATGTTACATTTAGTTTGAAATAACACATGAAATTTAAGTATTTAGATCCACTTATAATAATAATCAAACTATAACATAGTGATGCTTCACATAAATAATAAACACCTACAACATAATAAGGGTAAACGTAGTTAAATGCAATTACAAGTACATGTGTATATTTAAAGTATCAGTAGGTTGGAAGAAATGCTTTCGTTCTCGATGCAAAAGAACCAGATTTTATCCATTTTAAATCGGTACAAAAAATTATACTGAAAAAGAATAAAATTATTAATGGTCCATGCGAGGCTCGAACCAAAAAATTTCGACTCCATTGCACTGGACCACAGGCACTTGTTTCGTATATGGGCCACCCCCAACTTATTTTTACCACAAGGTACCTAACTCAATTTCAGGCACCCCCACTTCAAGCTCGTATTTTGTTATATCAATCATTAACCTACTTTAAAAATGACATCGTTTGCTTCGTAAGACTTTTCTTGTCAAATTAATCGTTTCGGACGTCTCTGGTCGAGCCTCCTAATTGTAAACCACTTATTTCTTCCTCAAAAATTATCCCGATTTATAATGACTTTGAATGGGATACAAACGCTTCCGGTTGGGGTTATAAATGTAGGATAAAACAAGAGACTTCAAAGTTTTCCATTCTGAGGTCTTTCTTTTGTCTGCACTGAGAGAGCTCACAAAATGATACCCCTGCTGCATTTTTATGTCCCACCATGAATGTGGATGGGGCATATATAATGTTTGTCATGTCGGTCCTTCTGACCTTCCATCCTTCTGGCTGTCCTCCTGGCACACTTTGCGTTTAGTTCAGTTTCAAAGAAACTATTCAAGATGTTTTTTCAAACTTCATCTGCTGATACATATTGATGAGAGCTTTTCAACTGATCAACATTTTTTAGCCCTGACCTTTCCTTTGACCTTGTCCTCACTTTTTATACCCCCCTCTGCTTGAAAAGTGGTGGGTATATAGTGACGGGGGTGTCTGTCCGTCTGTCCATAGGCTTTGGGGTACACAACTTTTATCCACAACTTCTCCAATACCACCCAAATAAAATTTAATGATACTTTCACAGAATCTTTGTTCCATAGTGCTTTTGTGCACCTCCTATTTTACTTTTTGATTGGACACATATTTCAGATTTCAAATAGCAAAACATAGACACTGCCATTCTTTCCATAATATTGAGGGGTAGTCATCTCTTATTCGCTACTCCTCTTATACCCTTGAATAAAATTTAATGATACATGTACTTTCACAGAATCTTTGTTGCATGGTGCCATTGTGCACCTCCTATTTAACTTTTTGATTAGACACAAATTTTCGAGTTTCAAATAGCAAAACATGGACACTGCCATTCTTTCTATAATATTGAAGGGTAGCCATCTCTTTTCTGCAGCTCCTCTTATGCCCTTGAGTAAAATTTAATAAACATATGGCAGGTGGGGTGTATCATTTGTGAGCTCAGTGCTCACAGTACCTCTAGTCTTAAATTAGTGTAGGTTTCAAAGACCCTATTAAAGAAGATATTTTTATCACACCTTATATGCTGATACATACTGATGAGAACTACATTGTATTCAACTAACATTTTTTGTACCTTTTCCTTTGACCTTGATTCACTTTTTTTAGCTCACCTTGACGAAGTCGAGATGAGCTTATGCTATACCCCCAGCGTCGGCTTTGGCGTTAGCATCAGCGTCCAGGTTTAAGTTTTAGGTTTTTGGTTTGTGGTGGTTACAGTTTGACTGAGATCAATGTGGGAGATGAAATCGTCTTTATACTTCTTAGTCATGGTAAGAGTGTCTGGATCATTAAATTCAAGGTAATATTTTAATAACAAACAACATTTTGTCCATGTTTATTAAGCTACAGCAAACTGTAAAATAACAATATATCATTAGCACAACTCCCTGATAAGTACAATATCATTGTTATAAGTAAAAAATGCATACACTTATAAATACAATATTGAAACAGATTGCAACTTCCCACATGTAAATTGGGACTTATCAGCATACACCATTTCAAAAGGTTCAGGGAAATTTAACAGAACATCTTCAAGAAATCTTCCTAGAAAAAGAAATTTTGAAAGATGTATTAATTCACTAATTAATTAAGGGTTTTTTTTAAATTTTAATGAAAAGTTGACTCAGTCTGTTGATAAGGGACACGACGCCTGTAAAACATTCCTTGAAATCCCTCATTTGTACATTTATAAATAAGTAAACATAGTTATAAATACCTTGCAAATTTAAAGGGGAATAACTTGAAGAAAACAAACTGGTAGACTCTGTCAATATTCCTTGTGTAAATTAAATCAGATGACAAACAGTAAAAACTGAAACAAACAAATATCATAAAAATAAATTAAAACATAGTTCATACTGCAACAAAGAAACTGAATAAATTAAAACAATTAAAAGTATGCACCACAACACAGAAACTAAATATTCATCTAAATTCTATAATAAACCAAAACATATCCAGATTAACAAATATTGCTACAAAACTGGGAATAATTGGACAGGCACCTGTTAATATTTTGATACTTCACATACTGAAGCCATTTGGTGAAAATTCATATACAGTCAAACCTTGTTATCTTGAGATAAAACTTTGAGATATCCAAGGATTCAATTCACAAGCTTAAAAAAATGTTGAAAAGAATTGTTGGGACTGCCAAATCACTTTGACATATCCCTGGTATTCGAGATAATGGTATTTGGGATAACAAAGTTCAACTGTACATATATACCGGTACATGCAATACTGCAGTGATTGATTGGATGATCAGCACAGGTTTTTTAATCATACCTTTCCAGAACAGTAATAATACATGCTGCATAAAAATATGCAGCATGTATAATGTTCTGGAAATTAATGAAACATTTCGTAACAGTATCATGAACTGAGGATTTTTCATCGATACACGATACACGAGATGAAATACAATGACATCGTATTATATAGTGTTATTAAAATGCACCTCATTCCACTTCAACACTGGTGTAAAAGACTGGTTTTAAGTCTTTCTAAAAATGTTTTGTTTAACTTAATTAAGTTCACCTTTCAGATTACACCATGTAATACCGCACATGAAAGACACCCATTGATTGTCATGTGTATATATTAGGGATGTCAACGAATAGTCGACTATTCGACTATCAGTCGAATGGACCGACGATCAAATAATGAAACGACATTCAAATATTATTTTAACTAAATAAATGCAATATATGAGTGATAGATGAGATGGAATTCTCATCAAAAAATGAGAAACAGTCTTTTCTCATAGACAGTCGATAATTTTCCTAAACAAAAAAAACGGTAGATTTTCTATGTACGTATAGAAAGTACAGCAATTATAAATGCTTCACTTCTGCGAGAATTAATTGTCAGTAACAGCCTGAGTTGTTTTTGTAATAAATTAACCAATATAATGGGCTTTGTTTGTAAAATTATTCATTGGACAATTATCTTTTGTTATTTTAAGTTTGCTCAAATGCAAGGAATAAACCTGTTTTGATACATCGATAATTATTAAAACAATGCGCTTATACATTTTAAACTGTTTGAGGACATTTTGATAGCCCCCCCCCCCCCTCCATTTTATTTCATAATAAGGTTTAAAAAATATCGGCTGGCAATTTTTTAATGCTTACTAGATAAAAAAAATGACCGCATGTACAGGCCGATTTATGAATTCTATTCATGGGGAAATAACAAATTTTGAAGAATTAGATTTCTAAATTTATTTCATAGAATCATGCTATCCACGCGTTACGTTGCATTAATTTTGATGTTACTTTTTAAATAGATTTAAGTAAAAAGGTTTCTGAGTATGTACCAAAGAAGTATGAAATAAAATTTTATTTTCAGAAAATGTTCCGAATATTCGACTATCGTTCGAATAATGCAATCGAATGATCGACTAAGGAAAATAAATATTTTGACATCCCTAGTATATATATATATATATATAATATTATCACAAATGGTCAAATACATAATACCAGTAGTAATACTGCACAAAAAGTAATTCACATATATTCCATATCTAACACCATAGTTATAAATACATGATCAATACAGTAAAATACCCATGAATTTCCACTCGATACAACAGATATGTGTAAGGGCCAATACAATGTAGTAAAATGTCAGAGATTGACTGAAACACATGATTAAATAAGTTAGATTGGCACTGGCTTTAGAATGACAGCCATAACTTTGGAGTCGGCAAAATTATCCACATTGATGTTCAAGGCCAAATGGTTGCCACGGGAACAAGTGTATGTGGGAACTTGTTCCACTTGAATAACATTTTCCTCTTCATCAAATACTATAACAGCTGCCTGGACCCTCGCCTCCCCATTCACTGTTGCTGAATCGTGGCAGAAGATCTGAAGTGTCCAGTTGTCTCCATTTTTGCGATACGTGATTTTCCACTCTCCTTCTCTTTTATCTGTCGGTACTGGTCCTGCATAAGTCCTCACATCCACCTGAATTCCAAAGCGTAGAGTGTTCTGCATTCTAACAGTATCCACTGCCAAGTCAGTGTAATTTCTAGGCATGTAAAATGGATCGCTGAACGAGATGTTAAGCTCCACCTGGGTGGGACAAAGAGATCGGAATCTGTATGCTTTTCCAACCAAAGCCAGAATTAGGGCTTTACATTCCTCTTTCTCTGATATTGCAGAGTTCTCTATCTCGTATAACTGACTGACCATCATCTGTGGAAACCGAATCAAGGGAAGCAACTTCGCTGCATTTTCTTTTAATTGTGGCAGATTAGCCTCATGGTTTAACCAGGTGAGGAGTGAATTAAACAACACATATTCATTGGGAATGACCAGTTCTGAGTTCTTTAACATGTCATACACAAAATCAAAATCCATGGACTTCCATTCCTCAAGCTTCAGAAGGTTGTCAGAGTTCCAGGCTATTGTTTTTGCACACTGATCAATCAGGTCTGTCAGTCCTAGAGCTTTGGACCAGGGGTACCACTGCACAGCATTTTTAATTTCTGGAGATCGGGCGTACTCCACCATGTAATTTGTGCACAGTCGTTTTAGGGAGGTGACATTATATTTGTCTGCCAAGCACAAAATTCCAACAGCTGTTTCCACAGTAACTGCAACTTCAGCTGTATAGAGAAATTTCAGGAATTTTTCAAACACAGGTTGACATTCTTTTGTTTCACTGAGTTCGATTTCCTTCATGTTTTCCTGAGACCAGCGACTCTCATAAAGCATGGTTCGAAACACATCACTAGACTTTGCCAGAACAAATTTGTGAGCAAAGAAAATGCTCTCTCCAACTTTCAGTTGTACATCACTTAGTGCCTCCTGATTAAAGAACTGTGACACATTGTGAATAAAGTTTACCTCATCCCGTAAAACATCACCATCCACAGGAACGTCCATATTTTCCTCCATTTTCTGAAAAAAAGTAACAATAATTAATGAACTGGAAAAATATGTTCTCCAACACAAACTGTTAAATTTATGAATACTTAATTGAAGTCTGCAATCAAATGTTCAATTATAGCCATGACCTGTATTTATTTACATGTACAACCAAATCACTGGAGAAATAAGAAACTCAATCATTTTTACATCAAGAGGCATTAAATCATGCATTTTTTACATCAACAATAGCACTTTGTACATTTATAAATCTGGTAGCTGAAAACAGATTCACATCAACTGAAAAATGCCTTTTATACCAATCAGAACTTTTCATTTTCATTGATCTTTGCTATATATTACCTGTACTGGTTTACCTGGATTTCTTACCTGTGATCAATCAGCAATATCATTTAAACATGTTAAACATAGTAATTTCTCCTACACACAATAACATCTGAGTAATAGGCTGTCAAATTGTCTGTAATTATTAGAACTTCAAGGATTTCTTAAATTATGTAAGGCAGCTTTTACTGACAGAGACACAAATGCTATGGAATAGTTACACTCTTCAAAAAATTCCAAAAATACCTTTAATTACACAAAACGTTCCACTTTCATATCCCTGGTTAAGCAAATATTTGTGTAATTAAGGTTCTGTTTTGTCCGATTCCTGACACTTATTCTTATCAGAAGGTTGGACTTTACTTTAGATCATATTGACAGTAAACACAGTAATAACTCCTTAAATATATACATATTATTCCAGTATTTCTCTGTATGTGAGTGTCATCGATTCTAATTCCTATTTGTGACCTTTTCACCACTGCCCAGTCTAGATCTTCCAATTAAATCAGCCATACTTTGTCACCTGGCGATCAATTATCCATCGTCATGTCAAATAACTCATTCCTCTGTCCAGTGCTTTTTTGGTAACTTAAAACCTACAATAGTGGTCAGTCTACTTAGAGGTAAGTCCCTTATCCACAGAGAACTTAACCTCTATACACCTGTTCTAATTGTAACACCTGTATTGAGAACTACCTTTGAGGAGTTTGGCGCCAGAGTGACCGATTCATCCACGTCCAGATTTTGTTCCTCTTGTGGAGGATCAGGATTAACATGGCCTGGATTATCTCCCATTATGTCATCACCACAGAACCAATACACAGTAGAGAGTCTCTGGCTAAGTAACAACCCACAAGTAAACACAAGCTAATCCACTACACTCGTATAAATAAAGAAAAAAAACCTTGTGGTTATATGTCCCATAACCCACAGGTGATTTCTTCGTCCAGTAAACAAATCCAGTAAATAAACAGTCCCTTCAGCCAAGATTAATGAGGTACAACTTTTATGTAGACAGGAGGTTAACGAGAACTGTAATTAATTTTTTGAATTAATTAAATTAATACCACCAATGGAGTATAAAGGAACCTGTCCGTACACAGCCAAACACATTTCCCATACATACATGATACCACGCCTCATTAAATGAAATCCTGCACTTAATTCCAACACAAAAAAATTTAAATAGATTATAATGTACAGACACAAAGGTGAAAGTAGGTTGAATGACACCATGGACGAGCGAGTAATAACACTTGTACAGGTGCTCTACATAATATATCTATACACTTGTCATATATTGTGTAATTTATCTATAAACTTGTGTCACAAAATTACTTCTTTAAAGTTAATATAAAAATTATACAATGACTAAGATTTAAAAGTTACCCAAAATACTGAATTCACTTTTTAAAATTAATCAAGAATAATAGTACATGTATTGTATTCTTTATCATGTTTATAATGCACTTGTTTTCTTCTCCCACAATTTATCTAAAGCTGCAAGGTATTAAAAATACGTCGGAGGTTTATTGGTACCAATAGATGCAAAAGTATCAAATATCTCATATAATACCATTCTTTTGCTAATTATGTTAATCCAATTGTACAATTCTTAATATTCCTGCTAAAATGAATTTTTTATTAAAACAAACTTCTCATATTGCTAGTGGATATTGGTAATCAATATTCATTTATTTAAAAAGTCATCATCAGATGTGCTTTGGGTATCAAATTATCCCAAGTGTTATTATGCACATCCAATATATATTTTAATTAATGTCTGCAAGATACTAAAAGGAAATCTTCCTGGGACTGAAATTTCTAAATATTGTCAATATGAATATTACAGACTTTAAATAAAAAGTCAATTCATTTTTTCTCTTACCTTCTTTTTTCTTTTTTAACTGTAGGACATAGGTCTTTCTGGGAATGTTACTCGAGATGAAATGCTTTGTTCCATGCTGGGAATTATGACCTACATGTAGCTGATACACATTTGATTCTCTCCATCAGAAACTCTGAATATCTATCAGACCATCAAACAAAGGAGCATGGTAACATCTGCTGGTCATGTGATCAGTGAACATCCCTGTCGATCTGCGATCCTTTGTCCAACTCCTCTTCCGTTCAATGTGATGAGCTAAAATCACAAAAAGAACATTAGACACCTCCCTGTGTAAAACACTTTAACTGCCCCTTTAAATTATCAGTCACTATATAGGTGTAATTTAAACACTTTTCAGATTTTATTTTGATTGGATCATTGGGTTAAATTGCTCAAAAGAAACAACAATGCTGATGACTGAAAATCCTAATGGACTGAGGTATGGTAAAAATTCAGTGCGAAATGTTCTAAAGAGCCAATTCTGATTATCCATGAGGTAACCTAGATATAATAGGAAACCAATAAGAGTGGCTTGTGCAAGAAATAAGACTTAGCATTGTTGGGTCAATAATGTCACATTATTACTTTGCTACAGTAAGAGAAGGGGAAAGTCATAATCATTAATTTCTTATTATTCTTTCCTTGATATCAATTAAGGCCTGTGTTCATATTCACAAAAAAATCTAACTACTATAGGATTTGACACCTTTATATTTAATCATTTGTTTAATAAGGATTGATGTAATTTTTTCTCTGCAAGATTATTCACAATACATTCTAATGTAGTAGAAAAGGTAAAACTTTTTTTTTTACCTACTAAATCTTGGTAATTGTTAGAGAATTGAATTTTCTTTCATCTTATTTGAAGATTTTGTGAAAAGGTTCACTAATAAAATCACAAAAGCACCAGTATTTTCTTCTAGTTTTCCAGCTTCATGTCATATCTCACTGGATTCCATATTAATGGTACATGGCTAATCTTGCTGGCCCATGAATTAACTCATATGGGTACATGGTAAATCTCACTGGCCCATGCATTAACTCGTATAGCCACATGGTAAATCTCACTGGCTCATGAATTAAGTCATATGGGTACATGGTAAATCTCACTGGCTCATGAATTAATTCATATAGCCACATGCTAAATCTCACTGGCTCATGAATTAATTCATATAGCCACATGCTAAATCTCACTGGCTCATGAATTAAATCATAATGGTAAATGGTAAATCTCACTGGCTCATGAATTAACTCATAAGCTACACGGTTAATCTCACTGGCTCATGAATTAACTCATAAAGCTACATGGTAAATCGCACTGGCTAATGAATTAATTCATAATGGGGACATGGTAAATCTCACTGGCTCATGAATTAAAACATATAGCCACATGGTTAACCTCACTGGCTCATGAATTAATTCATATAGCCACATGCTTAATCTCACTGGCTCATGAATTATTCATAAAGCTACATGGTAAATCTCACTGGCTCATGAATTAATTCATATAGCCACATGGTTAATCTCACTGGCTCTTGAATTAACTCATATAGCCACATGGTAAACCTCACTGGCTCATGAATTAATTCATATAGCCACATGCTAAATCTCACTTGCTCATGAATTAACTCGCATAGCTACATGGTAAATCTCACTGGCTCATGCATTAACTCATAAAGCTACATGGTAAATCTCACTGGCTCATGAATTAACTCATATAGCCACATGGTAAATCTCACTGGCTCATGAATTAATTCATATAGCCACATGGTTAATCTCACTGGCTCAAGAATTAACTCATACAGCCACATGGGAAACCTCACTGGCTCATGAATTAATTCATATAGCCACATGCTAAATCTCACTTGCTCATGAATTAAATCATATAGCTACATGGTTAACCTCACTGGCTCATGAATTCACTCATATAGCCACATGGTAAATCTCACTGGCTCATGAATTCTACTTGCTATTTGCTGAGTGATCAGGTCTTGATTTGTTGCTTTCCACAGGCTCTTACTACTTATCTTTTCTGGCCACCTGATGTTTAGTATGTGGCGCAGACATCTGTTTGTGAAGGTTTGTAGTTTGTTGGAGGTGTTGTTTTGGATCCGTAGAGGAGCACAGACTTAATAACATTACTGTTATATATACGGAGTTTGAAACATGTGGACAGTGCTGTTGATCTCCACACAGGCTTGAGGGTGATGAAGGCGTGTTGTGCTTTATTAATCCTTGCTTTTATGTCTTCATCTGTTCCACCAGTGGCTGAGACATTGCTGCCTAAGTATGTAAAGGTGTCTATGTCTTTCAGGTTATGCTCTCCAAGCATGATTGGTGTTTGCTGTTTGTTGAGGAGTCGCATTACCTCTGTCTTGTCAATGTTGACCCGAAGACCTGTCTTTGCTATCTGTCTTGAGCTGCATGTGCTCATATTTCTGGGAAACACTGAGTGAAAGTCCACTGGACTCCTGTCTTGCTATCTCTAGTTGTTTCCCGCATGATCCAGTCCACCACCACTAGGAAAATCATCGGTGACAGTAGACAGCCTTGTCTTACCCCTGTTCGCACCTCAAAGGCTTCTGTAAGCTTACCGTTGTGGATGACTTGGCATGTAGCCTCGTCATACAATTGTTGTATGAGGTTGATGAAGGTAGGTGGTGTTCCATAATGCTGGAGTAGTTTCCAGATGACTTTTCAAAGGCCTTTTCAAAGTCAATGAAGTTCAGATACAGTGTTGACTGCCACTCTAATGACTGTTCAATTATCATACGGAGAGTGGCGATCTGGTGTGTACAGGACTTGTCCTTTCTAAAGCCTGCCTGTTCTGGATGAAGTCGTTCTTCTATGGCATATTTAAGTCTTTCCAGTATTATTCTTGTCAGGATCTTGCTTGGGACAGAGAGAAGCATGATGCCACGCCAGTTCTTGCATTGCCCCAGGTCTCCTTTCTTGGGGAGCTTCCCTAAATATCCTTTTTTCCAGTCAACTGGTACCTTCCCCTCTAACCAGATCTTCTGCAGGAGAGGTAGTAACATATCTGCTGATGTCTTTATGTCTGCCCTAAGAGCTTCTAGAGGGATTCCATCAGGCCCAGCTGCCTTAATCTCATTAGTTAATCTCACTGGCTCATAAATTAATTCATAATGGTACTTGATTATAAATCTCACTGATACAATTATTATTTCATAATGGTTCATATATAACAATCAAAATTTCTAACCCACTACTCTATTTTTTTCAATAGCATCTGTTGTATATGGCAGAACAATATCAACATTTACACTAGGTATCAATTAATTAGGACCAAAAATGAAATCGCTGAAAAATCTATAGAACCATGATAATTTTAACATGAATGAAAAAATTGTGCTCATCCATTGTAAAAAGAATTTTTTATTTGATTTTTGTTTTGATTTCTTTAAACAGTTCTTTTGCAAAAAAAAAAAACATTTCGAATAAAATGCAGCGTATGCTCACAGATGAGCATGAGAGAGCCATTATTATGATGCAAGATGATTGCAGTATGAAAGAGGTCATTTTTTGCAACATTCAATGTTTTTATTGCCATTTTTTTACTGATGAAAAGTTATAATTTTTGATTCCAAGTATTTTTGCAATTATACAAACAAACAAAAAATTCTCAGATTGCTAGGCAATATTGCATCTTTACAATAAAGCAGGGTTTGACATTAACTTTTACAAGTACTAGTCCAGTCGGGCTACTTCCCATAATTTTTACTAGCCCTGACCCAAAAATCGCTAGCCCTGACCAAACAAACAAATTTAATTTTTATAATCGCCAATTTTAATGATGTAATTTTGAAGTGTCGTCTCTCGAGCGTGTCAAGATTTTGACAGACTTAGCCAATAAAGTCTGGCTAATCACAACATGGGACTATTGTAAGCAATGAACTTTAACAAAATTTTTATCCTAAATAAAAATAAATTAATTACAGAACATATTTTTTCAGTAACTTTTTATACCATATTGATACTGAACGACTCTAGTATCTACCCTGACTTGTCTATTACATTTACAGCCGTAACCACTGGTTACTGTATTTTCATGGCCAATCTCTACACGTGAGAAAAAGTACAATCTACTTGCATGAAACAAAATATGAGTTTGATTGAAAAGGAAATACAATACTTTTGAGAAATTATAAACTCTTTCTATTTTTTAAAATCAATATGGGGGTGTCGATGCACACTTCAGGTGCCTATGGCTAAAAATAGCAATTGTGTCATATGGGGATTTTTTTTCTTTACAGTGTTTTCAATCGGACAAAATTTCTTTAAAAAAGTTCTTTGAATATTTATTTGGAAGACTGAAATGTGGTTTAACAGTTATTTTATGAACACGACCAATCGGTCTAGTTAACGTACATTTTACACGACCGGACCACTCATTTACTAGATTGGGTCGGTCGGACGTGCCTTTAGTAAGTGTCAAACCCTGTAAAGGTGTCAATATGTTGTGCCAGAAGTTTCAAGTGAACAGAGCTGATATCATAGATATAATGTTTTATCGTTAAAATGATAAATGTCCTACGGACCCGGTTTAACTGTGGTGAGGGCCTGTCCCGAGACACAGTTAGATTGTTCTAACTACTAACTGATATTGATGCTGACTTGAATCGTCAACAGTCAAGACAATTTGTGTAACCACTGCTCTACAAGATCATTACAAGAATGACAATTCTGGATTTAGAGCTGTCGAAAAATTATTTGTGGTCATTTGCGGAATAAGGCTCTTCAATTTATTTCACTTCTTATTCACTAATAGTAGAATTTTCAGCTGACATGTATTAATACATTTCCATTTTGGTATTTTAAATAATTGTCAAGTCAAAAAAAAAAAAATCTGAAATCATTAATTTTCTTAATTGAAAATTTTGGACTCTCAATGATATTCTTATCTTTCTGTCCATGCTTGGTTTGGTTATTTATTATTATTCATGTTTGGTCACCATGTTTAAATGGCAAATGAAAGCAAAGATAAAGTAGAGACGGAGATTGTCTGACCGACATCAAGGCATCTTCATTCATTTTTTTTTTTTTAATAACACATTTATATAATTTATATAAATGGGTCATTTTAAAAAAAAAAAAAAAAAAAAAAAATATATATATATATATATATATATATATATATATATATATATATATATATATATATATATATATATATATATATATATATATATGAAATTTAAATGCAGCTGCTAAATACAAAAAAAAGTTCAACAATCATCATGATCATCAGATCATATAGTGTTGCTTCAAAACATTAGGAATATAACGATAATTTTTATTTTGCATTTTTCAAAAACATAAAAGGGAGTAAAATAGTGTGGAAAAAATACTTACTTATTTACAAATGTACCATCTCGTGCATTTGTTTATTTATGTGACATGCTTCAGTGACCTAGTGAATTACGCACGTGTGTACGAGTCCTCTGGCAAAAGTGAGAGATGGTCATATAACCGTCCCAGGTCGCTTTAACTATGAAAAAAAAAATGCTGTTAAAGAAGAACTCTCAGGTTCGCAACAAGCGATGTGTTGACAGCTTTCTGTGATCTTTGTCTGCACTGAGGTCTCAATCGGAAGTGATCCCGCAAAGTGAAAGTAGACTTTGTGTTACATGTTTTCGCATACGTGGAATTTAAAATGATGAATAAATGTCGCCTTTCAGAAGATGCGAGTTTAGTCGCCTATAATCGCTTAACTCTTTGGTGAATTATTTAAAGTTTTATTGCCAGGTTTGTTAAGTTTTTGCTCGAGTGGTTGAAGGAAGTCGGTGTTGAGGTGTGCATGTGTGAAAAAAGGGGGGGGGGGGGGGTACCGAAAACATTTTACAACGCTGTACAAGGCAGTTTGATCCTGTCAAAGTATTTCTTATTTAATTCTTACAGCAGTTATTACGATATATATAGAATGTAAGGACCCTCAGGGGGCATTTACAATCATATCAGTATGATCACATTAAAATATCATAAATTTATATGATAATATAATAATTAAATAAACATTAATCATTTCTGTATACGTTATATGTCTGAAGATGGTAAGGAAGAGGCCTTACTGTACCTGTCCTCTAATCTTGGCGGAGATTTGGCTCAGCTAGATATTTGGATTAGGTGAAGGCGTCAGTCCAAAGAATCTCTACCAATTAATTAAGGTTACCTGTCCTCAAGCACAATATTGTCAGTTAATATCACTTTACATTTCAGATATTTTTTTTTATTTCAGGATGGCTGTTTTACTATGGTTACTATATGCTGTCCTCAGCTGTATAAGTCTTCTGACACTGACTGTTTTACTTCTGAGAATATGGCTTACAAAGAGGAGGAGGACCTACAAAGCTTCTGTCAACGGGAAGAGTGTGATTGGCTTTTTCCATCCTTACTGTAATGCTGGAGGGGGAGGGGAAAGAGTCCTCTGGGTGGCAATCAGGGCAATACAGAAAAAGTAAGTGATACAGACAAACAGGCTGTCAAGCAATACAGAAAAAGTAAGTGGTAAAGACAAAAAGAGTGTCAGGGCAATGCAGAAAAAGTAAGTATTACAGACAAGCAGGCTGTCAGGGCAATACAGAAAAAGTAAGTTATAAAGACAAACAGGTTGTCCGAGGGCAATACAGAAAAAGTAAATGGTACAGACAAATAGGCGGTCAGAGCAATATCAAAAAAAGTAAGTGATACAGACAGACAGGCCATCGGAACAGTACTGAAAAAGTAAGTGGTGCAGACATACAAACCGTCAGGGCAATACAGAAAAAGTAAGTGATACAGACAAACAGGCTGTCAGGGCAATACAGAAAAAGTAAGTGGTGCAGACATACAGACTGTCAGGGCAATACAGAAAAAGTAAGTGATACAGACAAAGAGGCTGTCAGGGCAATACAGAAAAAGTAAGTCAAGTGGTACAGACATACAGGTTAGGGCAATACAGAAAAAGTGATATAAACAGGATGTTGGGGCAATACAGAAAAAGAGATACAAACAGGCTGTTAGGGCAATACAGAAAAAGTAAGTGGTACAGACTGTCAGGGCAATACAAAAAAAGTGATTAATAAAGACTAACAGGCTGTCAGGGCAATACAGAAAAAGACATTGATACTGACAAATAGGCTGTCAGTGTAATTTGTACAGACAGACAGGCTGTCAGAACGATACAAAAAAAGAATGTGATACATACAGCATGCGCAGATCTAGAGGGGGGTCTGGGGGTCCACCCCCCCCCCCCCTGGAATTTGCAGAGTTATTAAAAGTATATAATAAAGCAAATAAAAAATTACTTTGGACCCACCCAGCCCCCACCCCCACTCCGAAAACATGGACCCCACTATCACCACCACAAATAGGGTTTTTCACGTTTGGCTAATGGATTTTACTCTCTTTTTTTTTTAATTTTGCTTCAATGTCAAGAAATTTCTGGATAGGAGTTTTTTTTTTGACTGGGTTGGAAACCCCCCCCCCCCCCCCCCCCCCCCCCCCCCCCCCCCCCCCGGAAAAATTTCCTGGATTTGTGCCTGCATGATACAGATAGGCTTTCAGGGTAATACAGTAAAAGTAAGTGGTACAGACAGACAGGCTATTGGAAGAATTCAGAAAAATGTATACCGGTAAGCTGTCTGCTATTAAGCTGGAGATACAGATCTTTTCAGCTGGGCTGACAAATATAATAGCAAGTTTCTCAACAAGTTTTGTACAATGATATAAGGACTCAAAAGCATTGTAATGAAGATTTCTTTTTCAAAGGAAAGAAAACAAGGAAATAAATCACATTTCAATTTAATTTGGTCAAAATAAAGATTTTTTATCAAACATTATTATGAGCATTTTCAAAACCATGTAAATATGCCCATTCTGAAATGTATGTTTAAATAACAGAAATATTTTACCCAGGTATCCCTCAGTTGTTGTAGTGGTATACACCGGAGACACTGATGCCTCCCCTGGAGAGATTATGCAGCGAGCCCATCAACGCTTCAACATTGTGCTCCAGCGCCCCATCAATTTTATATTCCTGACAAGACGTAGATGGGTGGAGGCTTATATGTACCCCTACCTGACTCTGTTGGGACAGAGCCTGGGGTCAGTACTGCTGGGATGGGAGGCACTGTGGAAGTGTGTACCAGACATTTACATTGATAGTATGGGCTATGCTTTTACCTTTCCTTTATTCCGTTATCTAGGAAACTGTCGTGTAGGATGTTATGTTCACTACCCAACAGTCAGTACAGATATGCTAGAGAAGGTGTCTAGTCGAAGGGAGGGACACAATAACCCCTCATTTATCACCAGGAGTTGGTTTCTGTCCACTCTTAAGGTGCAGTACTACAAACTTTTTGCACTTCTGTTTGGTTGGGCAGGAAGAAGTTGCCATGTAGCCATTGTGAACTCTACCTGGACATTTGGTCACATTAAACAATTGTGGCAAATGGAAGATAGGACACATATAGTGTATCCTCCCTGTGACATTAATGAATTTGTGAAAATACCTCTGGATTGCAAGCGGTCTAATCACATTTTGTCAATATCACAGTTCAGACCAGAGAAGGATCACCCATTACAAATTAAATCATTTCATAAATTCATTTCAACCGTCACTATAGATCAGAAACCCCTTTACAAACTGCTGTTAGTTGGAAGCTGTCGTAACCAAGGTGACAGAGAGAGAGTGGATGCTCTACGGAAGATGTGCACAGATTTGGATATCGTGGACAACGTGGAGTTTAAGCTCAATGTCAGCTTTGATGAGTTAAAATCTCTCATGTCTACCTCAGTGGTTGGCCTACATACCATGTGGAACGAACACTTTGGAATAGGTAAGATTAAACATGTAAGAGGGTGATTTAAGAATAACATGTGCAAAAAATAACAATCATATTCTTATGTGGTCTGTTATACATGTTCAGTATCTTAGTATAGAAAGAGCTGCATTATTCTGTGACTGTCAGGCAAAAAATGTACCGGGTATTACAGATAATAGTGCCTACATGAAATCCTTGCAAAGCGTGCCATAGTCCTATAGTATGCCTACCACCTATATGTATAGCTTTCATTCAATTCTAGGTGTGGTGGAGTTAATGGCAGCAGGATGTATCGTACTGGCTCACGATTCAGGTGGACCTAAGCTAGATATTGTTGTACCTGTGAATGGTCAGCCTACAGGATTCCTAGCATCTGATGTGGACTCCTATGCCAGCTACATGTCTAAAATTTTCAAACTGTCAGAGCAAGAAAGGACAGAAATCCAACATTGTGCTAGAGTCTCTGTCCAGAAATTTTCAGATACAGAATTTGAGAATGGATTTTTAGATGTTTATGAAAATCTAGTGACAAAAACTTAAAAATTGAGTTCTCTCTGTATGTGTATTTAGATATAAAATAATATTATCATTCAGAATATATATTTTGTGCTTTAATTAAGTGCAGGGATAGACATTAACTTTCAGATTCACTTGCCCTTTGGGCAAGTGATCTCAAACTTTGACTTGTCCGAATGCAAAACTTGGTTGCCCAAAATTAGGATAGAACTTCAGAAGAAAATTATTAATTACTGCAAATGTTTTGAAAAGAAAAAAAATGTGACGAAATACACTACTGTCAATTTGGCAAGTTGAGCTACCTAAAAAAATTTCGATGCTGCATTTGTACATAAATGTATACCACTGTACTTGTAAATTTAACTTGTTAACACACACTGCCATGCAGCAATAACCCTCCGTTTCCTTTTAATAAAATTCATATTTTTGAATATTATTTGCGGTAGGATCATTTTGTGATTCGTGATTTTCTGTGAAGCAACACTTAAGGAAGATGGTTGACACGAAACATACATCTCACCTTGATCAGGATACAACGTATTACACTGTACTTATATTCTGTGCATGAATAAATAATCTAATTTCCTAATAAGAAGTTCACAAAATTTTGTTAGACGTAGAGCGAAAGAAAACGACGAACTTGATTTTTAAATGAACTGTATAATCCAGAAACGCTACCAAGGAATTTCGAATCTAAAAACATTGTCAGTCAGGTGTGTGGCGGGAATCAAGTGTTCAGTTTATTGTTTTATAAATTAATGTAAACTAAATAAATATGTACATTTGTATGAGAAAAATTCACTTGCCCGATCGGACAAGTATGTTGACAATTTCACTTGCCTGAACTGAGCATTTACTTGTCCCGGGCAATCGGACAACCGTTAATGTCGATCCCTGAAGTATTTGATGTACTTTTAGGTAATGCTTGAGGACATAAAGGAATGCATCTATCATATGACATAAAGTCAGTAGCATCCTTCTCTGTACATGCAGACAAAGTCTTAATAATGCAAGTACACTCCCAAGTAATAGTATATCCTACAAGGACCAAACTTGCAGCTTTGTTCAATGCATCTAGGATGGCTTACTACTTTTCAGGCTTTTGATGCTGCATATCATTTTTAGGGATTTAAGATAATCAGTGTAAAGAATAATAATTTGGTAGTCAGACACTGGTGCCTAGCCTAATTATAAAGCTCAGTTAATAGACCTTTTGTCTGGAGTTCAGGGGGCCCAGGTCTGAATCCTGATCTGGTCTGTTACATTTTCCATTTACATAATTTGGTGCTGTTGTCACCACCCCTGGACTTGCAGGTGAAAGTCCAACCAGGGGCAAAAAAAATCTCTTTTGAAATATGGTTGATATTAGCTCTTAGTTATTTTATATGAATTTTTTTCCCAGAGAAAATGTAAAAATTGTTTTATTTGCTAATAAGATGTTTTAGGGTAGTATGCATATCTTATAAAACATGTCAAGAAAAGTAAAAAAGACATTTTAATTTTTTAAATGAACAAGATGTGTTTGTGAAACATTGATGCCCCCATATGGCATCTTATAGTGAAGGTTAAACTTTCTCAAATGCAAATCAAATATGTTGGTACCCAAAGTAAGGACTTGTCCTGAGGGATGTACCTGTGAAATATGAAAGTCCTATCGGCAACCATTGAAAAGATATGGAAAAGGTTAAAGTTTTTCAAAAGTAAGTCAAACATCAAGGTCAAATGGTCAAAATTAATGGTGCCAAAGGAAAGGCCTTCTCACAAGAAATGCACATGTGAAATATGAAAGCCCTAGCACCAACCATTCAAAAGATATGGCCAAGGTTAAAGTTTTTCAAAAGTACATGTAGGTAAAACTCCAAGGTCAAAGGGTCAAAGTTGTTGGTATCCAAAGTAAGGTCTTGTCACAAGGATTACATATGTGATATATGAAAGCCCTAGCACCAACTGTTCAAAAGTAATAGCCAAGATTAAAGTTTTCCAAAAGTAGGTCAAAGGTCAAGGTCAATGGACTTCAATTGTTGGTATCTAAGGGGAGGTCTTGTCACAATGATTACATATATGAAGAATGAAAGCCCTAGCACCAACTGTTCAAAAGCAATGGCCAAGGTTAAAGTTTTGTAAAATTTTGTAAAACTGGTTCAAACTCCAAAGTCAAGGTCAAAAGGTCAAATATGATGGTACCCAAAAAAAGGTCTTGAAACAAGGAATACACATGTGAAATATAAAAGCCATAGCTCCAACATCTTCGCTAGCCAAGGGTTTCTGATACGCTACTCTCCTCATAAACCCTTGGCATACGGTGCTGACAAAAGACGGGATTGTTTTTGTCACGTGATCATGATTCTTACCAGGTACGCACAGATTGCGTCATCGACAGAAATAAAAAGCGTATTTTAAAAAAAATGTTTTTAAAGAATAATTACATGTAAGAAGAAGGTATTGAGTTATGTTAATTTGTTATTTAAACATGTAAAAATGCAAATCTACATCTGCAGTATAGATTCTTAGTCACATATTTTGCACGTTGCTTTAGAAATTGGGTGACACCATATTGCTATTCATAGAATGGCATGTTATCTTACGGATCATTGTTTACTTGCGTTTTACATTACCGATATTAAAGAGTCAAGATATATCCCGAACGCAAATATCGTCATTTACAAAAAACAATTGCTGATTGGTCGAACGATGTCGATCAACTCCAATCACAACTTGAGAAAAAAATCCCAACTTTTTTTAACACCGTATGCCAAGGGCTTATGAGGAGAGTATCGTATCAGAAGCCCTTGGCTAGCGAAGATGTAGCTCCAACAAATCAAAAGTTATGAGCAATGTTAAAGTTTTTGCTGACAAACAGGCAGACAGCTAGACAGACGGACGGACAGGGCAAAAACTATGTACTGCTGAATCTTTGATATGGGTTTGTGAAACACTGATGCCTCGGTATGGCAACTTATAGCCAAGGTTAAACTTTCTCAAATGCAAATCAAATATGTTGGTACCCAAAGTAATGTCTTGTCCCAAGGAATATACCTGTGAATCCTAGTAGCAACCATTGAAAAGATATGGAAAAGGTTAAAGTTTTTCAAAAGTAAGCCAAATATCAAGGTCAAGGTCAAAATGGTCAAAATTAATGGTACCCAAGGAAACACCTTCTCACAAGAAATACACATGAAATGTAAGAGCCCTAGCACCAACCATTCAAAAGATATGGCCAAGGTTAAAGTTTTTCAAAAGTAGGTCAAACTCCAAGGTCAAGGTCAATGGACTTTAATTGTTGGTAACTAAAGGAAGGTCTTGTCATAAGTAATACACATGTGAAATATGAAAGCCCTAGCATCAACTGTTCAAAAGTTATGGCCAAAGTTAACATTTTTCAAAAAGTAGGTCAAACTCCAAGGCCAAAGGGTCAAAGTTGTTACTATCCCAAGAAAGTTGTCACAGGATTACATATGTGAAGTATGAGCCCTAGCACCAACCGTTTTAAAGTTATGGCCAAGGTTGAAGTTTTTCAAAAGAAGATCAGACTAAATTCTGTATTCACTATTTTGAAATCGAGTCCAACTAAACTTCGATTTATTCCGGGTATATTTCGAGTGCCTGTGTTACTTTTCTCGTTTATCGTCTGAAAGACATATCCGCTTATTTGAAACCGTGTGTGAGTGTGAAGGTGCCCTCAATGATCTGTGAAAAAATAATCAATTTTAGGATAAATTTGTGGAAAATACTTTAAAATTATGAAAACACGGCGTTTCGACCCTGATTACAGAGTTACGACACCTTTAGTTAAGCTGATTAAGAAGAGAGCGTTAGGCATTTCATTGACGGTTGTGACTGGGATGGTGGTTTGTTTATATAGGTAATAATACTTGGAAGTTGGTAATAGTTGAGTGATTATCACATTGAAGAAATTTTAATATTTGTTTAAAAATATATTGACGGTGCAACTGTTATGGCGAGCGCTGATGCGTATTGTTTGATACCTATTTAGTTTTAACTTAGATCTGGGCCACTACTCGGCCATTTATCGTTCACGGAAATGGCCGAGTAGTTACGATGTTAGATCCCCTCTGCAAAGGACACGAGACATTGGAAACCATAAGGATCAAATCCTGAAAAGTGCAAATTTAATCAAAGAATGTTTAACAGGTTGGAGAGAATACTCGAAATCGGGTATTATCCTCGAAATCGGGTATCCTGTGCAACTTTTTATAAAAGCAAGAAAATAAAGAAATGACGCATGATTCCAGTTAATGTTACATGTACATCAGTGGAAGCCAAGAGACAGATAAATACACATACTGATACAGAATTTCTTACTTTCAGTTTTTCAGATTTATTTCCAATAGAATCAGAAAGAGTAAAACTTGCCAGACAGCGTGAGGATGAGTTAATTAAAGAAGAATACCGTTTCTTCCTTGAGGAGACTGAAAAACTGATAAAACAACAAGATGAAGGTTCTGCATTTTCAGACAAAAAGAATATAGTCTAATGAAGCTACTGCAGATGTGTATGTTTTTGTATGTTTAAGAATGTCAGACAGAAAAAGAAAAAAAAAACTTGTCATTTGAAATGAAGAAATGTTTAAAATAACTGCGTAATTAATTTCTTTTCATTTATGTTTAGGATGTCATTGTATTGATACTTGTGTTTATTATAGTAAATGGAAACATGAAGACAATACATATATATGATGTTGTGAATACATGCGTTATAGTGGATATGTCTTTATAATTTTGATATCTGATTATCAGTGTTGATTTCTGATGAAAAATGAAAACACGAAAGAATAATGAGGAAAAATCCAAGTCCAAATTATCGCTACAGAAGAAAAAAACTGGTGTGAAAAAAGAGTTGAAAAATATATTGTCAGTTTCACACAATGTATTAAATGAAACATGTGAATTTCGACAAAGTAGCAGCATAAAGGAACAAAAGGTAACACAATGTCAGGTGGTTGTCAGTGAACCAGAAAACAAAATGGTTGATGAAGAAACAGATACCAAGAAATGTCCTACTTGTGAATTAAGCATGCCCAGAGAAGCTTTTCAGCATCATGTCACTGAATGTCTTAAAAACAGATTCCAGAAAAAAGGTAGGATACTTAAATACATATACATACTTTGATTATTAATTATTTGAATCCACTTTATAACATGCCAGTGATGTTTCTTGTCTTGAAGAATGGGATTGAGTCAAACCAGTTTGTAACTGTACTGAGTCTGAAGCAAAGTATAAATTAGAGATGGGCAATATCTGCTGTAGCTATGTTTGTTTTTTTTTTTTTTAGATAATTGAGATTTTTTAATTTAATTCTAGAAACCAATGAAGATGTAGTTCCCCAAGAAAAGTTCTCGTGCCAGTTTTGTTTGAAGGATCTGTCTCACTACAATTCTGCCAGAAAAACACAGCATCTCAACAGATGCATGGACCAGGTAATTTATGCATGGACCAGGTAATCTATGCTTGGACCAGATTATCCATGTATGGACCAGGTAATCTCTGCTTGGACCAGATTATCAATGCATGGACCAGGTAATCTATGCATGGACCAGTTAAAGAAAGAGTGAACCTGGCTAGCTGAAATAGAATTTTCTGTATATATGATTATTTTTTTAACAGAAGATGATGATAAAATTGAAATTCAAATTAAGTAAACATGTAAAGAAGGAAACATTTGATACAAATCACTGTAAAAAATAAAAACAAAGAGATTTGGCAGTTAAAGTAAAGAGTTATCTCCCATAGCAGAGAATTATTGATCTGTTCTCTGTACTCAGATAGGGAACAGTCTTCACCACAGAGGAAGTGTTATTCCAGACTTTATAAGCATGCTTGATGATTTTATAGATAGATGAGTTAAAACAGAAGGAAATGCAGAAAAAAGAAGAACTAGAACAGGCACGTACAGCAGTGCTGGACTGTCCAATGTGTGGCAGAACTCTCAAGTCAGAAAATGTAAGTAAACTGGAACGTACAGCAGTACTGGACTGTCCAATGTGTGGCAGAACTCTCAAGTCAGAAAATGTAAGTAAACAGGAACGTACAGCAGTACTGGACTGTCCAATGTGTGGCAGAACTCTCAAGTCAGAAAATGTAACAAACAGGAACGTACAGCAGTACTGGACTGTCCAATGTGTGGCAGAACTCTCAAGTCAGAAAATGTAAGTAAACAGGAACGTACAGCAGTTACTGGACTGTCCAATGTGTGGCAGAACTCTCAAGTCAGAAAATGTAAGTAAACAGGCACATATAGCAGTACTGGCAGGGATGGGCACGATTACTGAAAAATGTAATCGATTAATAATCGATTACTTAGAGGAATTTTGTGTAATCAATTATTAATCGATTACACTCATTTTTGTCCTGTAATCGATTGTAATCGATTACTTTGGAAGATGTAATCGATTAATAATCGATTACTTCCAAGTTTTTATCCCTTCAAATATCAAAGCAATGTTTAAATGGTAAATGTTGATGTTATCCACTGAAGTTTGAATGTATTCCTGCAGTTTCAGTGCAGATTCTTTTAAGGTTTTATTCTGGCTAACATTCTCACTAAATGCCCAAATGAGGGATTCTCTACCATGGAAAGTGGAGACATGATTCCTACAATAAAATATTCCAAGGATTTGATTATTCCTTTCAACCTTGGATCTGAACCTCCATATTTTTTTACTTGTTGCAAAAATTATTTAATACTAGTCTTTATTGTGAATTACTTCATTAGAAGTATTTGGGCTGCCCGTATGTTGACAGTACACATTAAACATTCCTGTATGTGTCTTTTTTAAAAAAAAAACAAAAAAACAAAGAAGTAAATTAGAACTCTTAGTAATAAACATGTAAATTAAATGTGTCTTGAAGTAATTCAACTAATAGCACAATTTCATTCTGTATTGAAATAAGTGTTCTGAGAGCTATTAATTGTTTTAATAATACTGTTTGTCTTCAATGGAATGAAAGTTAAATACTAGGTAGTTCACAGTTTACACCTCATTATCTGCAAATCAGGGATGCCTCCGTCAATTAATAAGCCGTTTAAGATAAGCAAACACAGTGACACACTCCCTCTATTACAGACACTTATAACCTCTCACTGATATAAAAGCAACCTTACAATTTTGAATGAAAACATGAGAATGATTTTGCAAACTTTAAAGTTACTAAAACACAAGTTTGAAGTTGTTTAAACATTTTCAGATATGAATAAGTACATGTATTTCCATCTTCTTCTTTTTTTCGAGTACAATATAGTTTATTTACAAAATTATTTATATTTAATACAGCACTTAAATCTGTTTTTGCTATTTATAATTTTCTATTACAAGACAAAGTTTTTCAACATCTGAAATATGAAAAAGGGCATGCAGTTAGAGGACAGTGGGTCAAATGTAAAATGCACACGAAAAATCTGTATATTTTATTAATAAATGGTTGAAATACACTTCTGAATTACTTAATACTTGACCAGAAGGTCTATAATGCAAATTTTATTGAGAACATTATTAAACTTATGATAATAAAAGTTAGGAAATCCAAACATTACACTAAGTGGTTTATATTTGATATTTATGTGTGACTGACTGGAAATAATTCTCCAAAATAACATTCATTTATGTATAAAGTAATTGAAAGTAATCGAAAAAGTAATTATAATTACATTGAAAATTTTAGCTGTAATCGATTAAATTACGATTACAAGTAATCGAAAATCTCTTCGATTACAGATTACTGTCGATTACTTGGAAAAAAGTAATCATTACAATCAATTACGATTACTCGATTACGATTATCCCATCCCTGAGTACTGGACTGTCCAATGTGTGGCAGAACTCTCAAGTCAGAAAATGTAAGTAAACAGGCACGTACAGCAGTACTGGACTGTCCAATGTGTGGCAGAACTCTCAAGTCAGAAAATGTAAGTAAACAGGCACGTACAGCAGTACTGGACTGTCCAATGTGTGGCAGAACTCTCAAGTCAGAAAATGTAAGTGAACTGGCAGAACTCTTAAGTCAGAGAATGTAAGTGAACAAGGTGGAAAGTACATTTAATGCCAATTATGCCATTATGATTGCATAATTTTCTGTTTTATATAAGTCTAATATTATACGTGTACTTAAATTGGCGTATTCAAAATTTAGCGCAATCACTGGGTATGGAGTTGTTGGTGAAATCATGAATTAGTATATATAAATGATTTCTTAGCAGTATTCATCAATAAGCGCATCGTTGTCTGCGCTAAAGCCGCTTAGATATGAAGCTCGCTCATTTAAGTACACATACAGTAACTTCAGAAAGGTCTGCTAGAGTTAAATGCAAGAATACAAGTATGGAGTTTTCTAAATTGCATGTACATTATATATCATAAATACATGCTAAAATGCAGTTTTACAAAGTACATTACACATATAAACTTGGTATAACAAATTATAGATATAAACATATTTTGTAAATGTTTCACTATATCCATGTTTTATGGTAGACATATTGTTTATGAATGACTCACAATGGATAATTTTAATATGATCTGATATTTAGGTTTACAGAACAAATTTTAATTGTTGTTTTTATATGAAACATGGAATAAAACTTGGGAAATGTGTATGAATCTTTCAATAGGGAAGGAAAGTTCACATGAAAAAATGTTGCCAGAATCTTGGTGTCTCTACAGATCAACTTCTGGACCTGATCAAAAAACAGGAGGAGGAGAGGCAGATTAATATAGCAGCTGGGGTGGTCCCTCAGTCAGTCAAGTATGTATCTAGATAAATACTTATATAAATGAATAAAGTTTTGCCACATGCTACCATAAGTAAATAGTAGATAAATATGTCTAGGATGATGCCTTAGGTTCATAAATAGATAAAATTCTTTTGGAATGGTCCAGCAGCCCTCTCCTCATTGACTGCTTTTTTTTTTTTTAGCAAGTCCAACTTATTTTTTCCTCTCTGTTAACTGTGTGTCTCAAGGTATTATATAGACTTTTGAGCTTAATTTCTTCAGGGGTTATATAAGGGGAACCCACGTTTTTGTTAGAATCTATACTATAGAATGTGGCCAGTCCATGCATTGTCATACATGTAGTTAAATAATTGTTGACAATGGTCTTGCCTTTGTTTCTCATTCTTATCTTTCTGATTTGGGATTCCTGTGCATGGGATTTGGAGTCTTGCACATGACTCAAAGTGACCACTGATTGGGATTTTGATCAAGGCTAATTTTCCTAGAAGAGCTACAGAATGTATCTGCATAGTCCTGTCTACATGTTGTCCTTGAAGTTCTGTCTGCCTCTAGTTCTGTCTGTCTAGTTCTGCTTGCCTCTAGTTCTGCCTGTGTCTATTTCTGTCTGCCTCTAGTTCTGCCTGTGTCTAGTTCTGCTTGCCTCTAGTTCTGCCTGTGTCTAGTTCAGTCTGTTTTTAGTTCTGCCTGTGTCTAGTTCTGCTTGCCTCTAATTCTGCCTGTGTATAGTTCTGTCTGTGTCTAGTTCTGTCTGTGTCTAGTTCTGCCTATGTCTAGTTCTGTCTGTGTGTAGTTCTGCCTGTGTCTTGTTCTGCCTGCCTCTAGTTCTGCCTTTGTCTAGTTCTGCTTGCCTCTAGTTCTGCCTGTGTCTATTTCTGTCTGTGTCTAGTTCTGCCTGTGAGATCCGGAGAGAGAAGAAGTTTCTGTAGCAGCACAGACCAATAATTCTTCCGAGCCTCTTATTCAACCTGTGCCTTAATTTTAAGAATGTACATAATGCCCTTGTCGACCTTGCACTTGGGTACACAGAAACTCAATTCTCTGTAATTGGAAACAATCGACCCCCTCCCCCACCATTTGAAAATTATAATAAAAAATGCAATGGATTAAATAAGAAAAGATATTTATACTAATATTGTAAAGTATCTTGTATCTTGATTTGCGAAAGATTCTTTTCATATGCAAATCTGTAAACAGGGCATAAGAACACGGACCCTTGGAAATAGTGAATATTTAGACACCATTGTTCGCCAGAAAAGTAAATAATATTCCGATCGTTGTAAATGTCCACACAATAAGTGGAATCTTTTTATTTCAATATTCACACTTAATATTTTATGATAATTCTTTTATTGGCGATTAAAATATTGATATGATTGCTTTGTAGTTTTCACCTTTTTCTTCTTCTTTTTTTTTTTAATTTTACAATTTTTAAAAAAGATATGTCTTTTTTTTTTTTTAAATTTTTTCTTCCAAAGATATTGACGAAAACGCTGTCTACAAATTTTATTTTTCAGTAAATAATTTATTTTAAATATTTTCACTCAGAATTATGCACAAAATGCCTAATGTTGACCCTGATTACCAAAAGCCAGACTTCCTGTGTAATGCAGCGTGTATAGGGATTTTTGACATCTTGAGTATTGGGGGTCTCCAGGTAAATAACACCAGTACTACCAAGACCACTCCCCCTCCTCAGGTAACCGTACGGTAAAAAAATTGGGTCTTTAAACACCTGGCTTTCCTTTTGACATTACTGTAAGCCAGCATTGGTAGCTGAAATCAACAGATAACAAGCACAGAGTCACTACAACAACACATCAGACACAACATTTAACAGGGTCACATCAGGGTGAAAATAAGGCATTGTGTTGTTCAACTTTTGTATCAAAAAACCATTTGTTCTAAACTAAATTCATATCAAAGAGGACAAGTATAAAGTTCATTTTGTAAATGTCCTTTGAGAGTAAGAATAGAGCAGTGGAAGTTTGTACATTTGTGATGAATCATTATTATGCATATTGATTCCAGAGCAGGCAGTGGCAAGCTGAACAAGCAGACCAAAAAACAGAAGCTTAGAGAACCTCACAGGTAAGTCTCTGAGTTGAGCAGTCTACTCAAGCTAGAGAGCTTGTGATGATTTAGTTTCAGGATTGACTCATTCAATGTTTACTTCATAGAGCTTTAACTTGGATTAAGAAAAAAACTACTCTGAAACATTTTTTGATCTCATCATTTAGCCATGACCTGATTCAAGGCTATTTTGAGGAGGTCGGCGTACTTGAGTAAAAAAAAAAAAAAAGAGGAACATGAACAGCTTGTTGGTTGCATTAAGGTGGTTTATGTGGAAAGACCATGTGTCAGAAGAAAAAGTCCATGCATGATATTCAAGTACTGTCAGGGTTGAAATAGAAACATTTGCTGTAAAAAAAGCAATTTTAGTTTTGCAGATGATCATCTCTACTGTGCAACACCACTGTGGCCTTTCAGGCCTTTGATTTATTCCAGAAAGATAAACATTAGATGATTTCTATTTTCTCTTTCCACAGTAAATATGATGAAGAGCTACAGACTGCCTTAGCCTTATCCAATTCTCTGCATAATTCTGAATCCAGCAAGAAACTAGAGATTCAGGCCCCAAAACAAGGGAAGAAGAAAAAGATGTAAGTTTGTGGAGTGTAAAGTGAAATATTTGATGTAGTTCCTCCAGTAAGAGGATGATAAAGTGGTCTTTGTTGTTTGATATTTAGAGACTCAGCTCCACCCCCACTGGTTGTATTGTTGTCAGAGGAAGACAAACAGAAGCGGCTATCAGAGAGAGTGGCAGCCATGCTTCTTCCACAGGTAGTTATGATATATACTTTTTTCCATCAGTTAGAGATCTGCTTTATTGGCAATTTAGTCATATAGCCTAAGAAGCAGGCAGCAAAATTGTTGGCTAATCAAACATCATCATTAGGAAAGCTGGTAAAGCAAATGTAACACTGTCAAAATTATGCAGTATTGCTTGTTTTTTTCTCTTTTTTTTTTCTTTTTTTTGTTTGATTTTTTTTTTTTGTCTTTCTTTGAAAAATACACAATTTGTTAAATATTAGTGCTTGAATCCTGATTGTTTATTTCTGCAGGAACTAGAAGATGAAGAGGATGATGTGGAGTCTCTTACTCCAATTCTGTCTGAGAGTCAGATTAAAGATAAATATTCCACTCTTAATAAGCAGGTACCTTTGAATGTCAAATATCTGCAATCTTAATTAAACATTGGCTTAGCTCCTTTTTCTTATAAAAACACTACAAATATGGAAATTTAAAATTGAAGTGTATCTGTATTACTGTAGTTTTAATTATTCATTCCTGAATGTGTTTGGAAGAAAAATTTTCAGTTCATAAACAGAATGGAGAAAAAAATGCCATTCTCATATCAACAAAGTTAATCTTCATGTTCACCTTTCAAGATAATGACGAGGCTTTTTTAACATTGTTTTCTCCAGTTTCCTTCATTGTGGGCGAGATGCCAGTTAGCGACAGAAGGATTGACTTGCTTGGAAAAGAAAGACACATTTTACATAGAGAGATTAATGCCACCTATTGCAGTCAGCCAATTTGTTGTTGGCTCCAACATAAAGAAGATGGATGACATTCCAGGAAGAAGAAAGTCATCTTACAGAGGCTTAATGAAGGAACAGGAAATTAATGTTAGTCTGAATTAAATTACTCATGAAAAGGTTTCCCTAGCAGCAGTGAATGAAAATGCTTTTTCTTTAGTTATATTCAATTAGTCAGAAAAAATTTTTTAGAAAAAAATATATAAATGACAACAGTTGACATGTTTTTAACAGCAATTTTCATCTGTAGTATCTAATGCTGTTAAAGTACAGTATAGTACAGTGTACCGGTATATTTTTTTCTATTTATATCTTCATTTTCTAACAGTTGGGCAGCATTGATATCCGTGGTGACACCCTGTTGGCCTCTACACAGACTGCTGTAGTATTAGCTGAGCTAGAGGTCAGTGCCATGGCAACACCTGACCTTGACCTGACCTGTAGTGGTTTCTGTCCAGACTCTCCAATCAAAGTGCAGGTGGGCATCTTTTTGAATAAATTCATTGATGTTATTTACATAACAGTGTTTTTTTGGGGGGGGGGGGTGTTTTCCTTCAATTTATATTTTAACTTTATTGTAGGAGAGTACAAAACAGAATGTATCAGAGCAACATCAAAAGACAATGGCTTCATTGGTGAACAATCCTGTTTATAGTGATCTAAAGATTAAAACTAGTGACGGTACAATATATGCCCACAGACTGATACTCAGTGCAAGGTGTCCCAATGTAATTCAGGTGGGTTCTCAATTTACTTGGTTTAGGGTGTTGTTGCTCACAGTTGGCACCAATATTTTTTTAAAATATGTATTGTAAAACATAATTTCATAAGAGATATTTATAATGTATGTAAGATGCAATGTTTTGTTCGTATAAATGAGTTTGCATTTCATACACTCATGACGTTTTCTGAAATTTATAGAACTGCAGAGAGGAGCTAGAATTGACGGACTTTGCCTCAGACACAGTGTTAACTGTTATGAAGTTTCTGTATGCTGGGGTCATATGTCTCCCTAAAGGATCCGTGCAAGAAATAAAGGACTTAGCTGCAAGGTCGGGCCACTGGTTTTGTCTATCATAAATTTATCTAATAGAAAACATCATGCTAAAATTAATTGATTTGAACTGTGATTTTTAATCATGGCGTGTCCCTTGCTCTAAACAAAACAACATGCTACCACTGACTGAGGTGTTAATGACTTTATTTGTCGTCAAAACATGGTAGGGTGGATGATCTATGAAAGTAGGATGTGCTCGATAAGTACATGTAACAATAACTACATGTATGAAGAAATATCGCCTGATTTACTTTTTTTTTCAAGTACATGTACTTGAATACTGATTTTAGTACATGTATTCACTACTTGGTTTACAGGTTTATTAATTACACTTTACAAGAAATATTTGAATGAATATTGCTATATGTTTGCGGTTTTTCTTTTCTAGATTAGAGCTTTCTGATTTGGTGGAAATTTGCTCTTCATTTATTGATAAAAAGAAAGACGAGGACAAAATGGAGGAAAACATTGAGGAAGAAGAGGAACAGAGGGAGAGAAACTTCACAGACCTGACAGAGGATGACAGAGAGGTGGATCCAGAAGAAAATGAGGGGTGTAGTAGTGAGAACAATGAATGGGAGGAGCTATCAGATCAGGACTATAATGACATCAGGTGCACTCAGAGGAGGAACTACAGTCAGACTGATGGAAAGGGGAAAGAGGAGGAGGATTCTGAGGAATCAGTGGTGGATCCTGAGGAACTGAGGAGTGATGTCAGTGAGGAAGAAATAGCCTTGTTCTTCAATGATGACAGTTTTGATGGAACTTCTGTCAAACCTTCTGGGGATAATGATGAAGAGAAATCTGAAATACAGGACATGGAGGGTTTTCCTGAAGATGGAGTCACAGGTGGAGATCAGTCTGTTAGAAAAGAAAATCTGTTGGCAAGTAGAGAAGAAATCAGGAGAGAGGCTCCAATAGAAGACACTGATGATGAATTTGAGGAAGAAATGGATATTGATCAGAAGCAAGAGGAAGGCAACAAAAAATCAGAAGAGGAGAACAATGAAGAACATATAGTAAAGGAGAAACCTGCTGATAGTATTCTGTATCAAGATGAAGATGTGATTATATACAGTGAGACAGAAGACACTCCCCCTTGTTCAGACTCCGAGAAGTTCAGACAATCACTCAGTACTGAACATCAGTCAGAGGTTCTAGACAGGAGTGGACGTGCTAGCAGTCCTCTGGTAGTGGACAGTGATTCTAGCCACCAGGGTTCACCAGAGAGGGATATTTCTACAGAGGTGAATGACAGAGAGGTTGGATCACCTGTCCCCCAGGCTCTAGACTCATCTGGTCTGGATTTGTTTGAGTCTCCAGTGTTGTCCAGACTGGCCCCAGAAGCTGCAGACATGCAGACTGGGTCACAGACATCCACTCAACATGTTCCACCACCCAGTGAAGAGAAACTCGGGCCTGACACGCCAGCTCGTAAACGTAGAAGAACCGGGACATCTGTCAAAGGATCTCTTGGAAATGAATCAAAGAGATGTGTTAGATACAGTGATCTGGAAAATAATGCCAGGGAATTCTCTCGTCCTCAGGAGGAGGATGATTCTAGGAGTAAATCTTTAAATGATAATACTATATGTAGTAGTAAAAGAAAAAAGGGTCCTAAAAAGACTGTAACTTCCACCAACTCGGAGAGTGATGATGAAGTATCAGTGATTGAAGACAAATGTCACATGCCTCCAACTGTTGTTTCTCCAGTGTTTGGTCAGCAACAAACTAATGAAAGAAAGACATTCAGATTTACCAAGACTAAACCTGCAAAAGTCAATTTACAGCGAGTTTTATCTCCAGAGAAAAGTGAAGAGCCAGCTGTTACATCTTGTCATGTTGATCTGTCTCCACCTGAAGCTTTATCTGGTCAGCATCACCAGCAAGATGTAGAACTTGTGTCTGAAGTTGTGGAAAATGAATTGGGTATGTCTGATATACATGTATAAAGCTTTACTTTGTGTGAAAATCAGTTTGTAGATTCATTTCATATTGATTTCAATACCTGTACATGTTTAATATAGTCATCATTGGAAGACACTTTACTAAAACATTTTTCAAAAGAAATATTTACCAGTATGTGTCACAGTAAGGAAAATTGGTTTTTGATCTGAGTATTTTTATCAATAGGAGAGTTATCTGCATTGAACTCTTACACAAAAAAGGAAAAAAGTTAAAAGTGATAGCTTTTATTTTAAGTAGTTTAGTACTTCCTTTATGGGATTTTACTCACTTTTATGAGTTTTCAGAATTAGGAGAACCAGAACAAGATGTATGGGAGGACTTTGATGACAGTGGGATGGGTGGATGTATAGTTACTTGTGATGTCCCCATCCCTTCACAGTCAGCTAATGGACACAAAGAAAAGTGTGCTACACCCATAAAACCAACCAATCCTATTGCAGAATTGGACACTCCAGCAAACTCTTCATCAGGTTTAAAAGAGGTACAGAAAGTCAACAAAGATTACTGAAGTGCTGTAACTTTTGATTATGTCCATTTCTCTACTTTTGTTTAAGGAAAGAACTTATTGTTTTATTCCTTTTTGTTTTATATTGGAAAATAACCAAATTCATTGAACACATTATTAATATTAGTTCACTTAAGTCATCTGATCTGATGTTGAAATTTTACACATGTACCAATGAGTATTTTGTTGTTGTTTTTTTTTTTTAAAAAAGCTTCACATAGAGACATTTTACACTGCTGTATTGAATGTTTGTTTTTCTTTGCAGCAGAATCCCCTGGGTCATAGACCTGAGGATCAGCTGATGGAGGAGAGCTTTGAGGAGGATAGCTTTGATGTGGAAATGATAGAACAGGAGACAGAAAAACTGGTATCACATCACATTCACAAAAATCAGGCAAAACAGAAACAACTGAAATTAAACTCTGTTTCTCCTTATACACATTTTTTTTTATACATGTATATGTAGTAATGAGTGAAAAAAATATGACTTGGTGATAAGCATGAATTGGTTTAATTAGGGCCCCGTTCTGCGGGTGCCCTATAGTGATCAGTCTGTCCGTCCGAGATCTCTTGTCCAGAGCATATCTTCTCTCTTCTTGGCCCAATCTGGCTCATACTTCACCCACAGAGGGGTGTGCAGTGACCTTGAACCATGTTTCTAGGTCTAAGGTCAAGGTCATAGCAGAATTATATGAAAAATCCTTGTCCGGAGCATATCCTCTCTTCTCTTGGTCCAATGTGGCTCATACTTCACTCACAGAGTGCCACTGGTCAATGGATGTGCAGTGACCTTGAACAAAGTTTTTAGGTCAAGGGTCAAGGTCAAAAATAGCCTATCTGTTTGAATTCTTGTCCAGAGCATATTTGCTCTCTCCTTGGCCCAATCTGGCTCATACTCCACCCACAGAGTGCCTTTGGGTAAAGGGTGTGCAGTGACCTTGAACCATGTTTCTAGGTCTAAGGTTAAGGTCATAGCAGAATTATATGAAAAATCCTGTTCCGGAGCATATCTTCTCTCCCCTTGGTCCAATGTGGCTCATACTTCACTCACAGAGTGCCACTGGTCAATGGATGTGCAGTGACCTTAAACAAAGTTTCTAGGTCAAGGTTCAAGGTCAAAAATAGCCTATCTGTTTGAAATCTTTGTTCAGTGCATAATTTCTTTCCCTTAAGTCCAGTCAGCCTCAAACCTTACCAATTGACTTGGGGTACGGAACATGATTTTCCTTCCATATTTCTGATAGAGGATATGCAACAATTTTCATAGAGGATATGCGGCATTCATGATTTTGTGCCATTTTTTGATAGAGGGTATGGAGCACTCGTGCCATTTTTATGGCATCGAGCTCTTGAGCTCGAATGCCATGAAGCGGGCGACCAAACTTAACCCGACCAAATGTGTCAGTCCATGCATCCGCAAAAGAAAATAGCAATAACAATGCATCGGTTTCTTTGAAAATGTTCACAGTGAATAATAGCTTGAAAATAAAATTGCATCAATTATATCTACAAATAATTCTGTTGCATAACAAAGATACCCCGTTTTATTTTCACACAAGAAAAAGTGACAGTTTCTTGCGGATGAATTTCTAAAGAAAGGGTGTTGAATGACATGAATAACACAAATTTATGAAGGAGAACCATGTAAACACAAACAACTTAATAGGCGGTAAAATACCCACAATATTAAATTAACATGAATGCTAGAAGACTGAAAGGATTGAATTTCCAAATCTAAACCTTACTTTTACAATCTTATAACCAATTTTATCATAAAAACTGAAGTTATTACTGTATTTCACTATTTCTCCCATATCGCATTTTACCGTATAGGCCTACCACGCCCACTCATATCTCGATCGTAGTCGTAACAGAGCAAGTTACGGTCGTTGTTTAGGTGCACTAAAACAATGCTTAGAAATTGACAATTAGAATATTCATATAAATTCATTAAATTCTTGATAGTTCTTTAATTAACTGAAAAAAGATGAGTTTGATATCCAGCAAGAACATGTTCGACAGTGTCTAGTCAATTCGAACCCTGCTTTATTCGGACCATGGCATAATGCCCCAGACTCTAATTCTGACATTTTGTTTAAAACTTAACATTTTTATTAGTCACTTATTTGACCTACTGCTATCTTCAAATTAAAAAAAAATGTTTTCAAATTGGTTTTCATGTTCGATGCCATTGAAGCCTTTCAGGCTTTTGATTTATTATAACAAGGATAACATAGAAGCCCTTTAGACTCAAACAACACATCCCTTAATAGTAAACATATGTTCTTCAAAATGAACCCTTTTCAGCTACCTTACATTTTCATGTTCATTGCTGAAAGCGGGGCCCTTTGAGATGGCCACCATCTCAATGATATCTAGTTTGTGTTAGGTATAAGTATTTACTTTACTTGGAAGTTTTCTTCAAATAAATGTACTGTTTTCTAGATAAATATGATACCAATTTATTCAAAAATTTGCAAAATTTTTCAGAGTAAAACATAAATATAGTTTTTCTGTGCAATACAATTCACAAAGTGTTAATTTTTCACATTTAGAAAACTTATTTATTTTTACTTTCTTTTAAGGCACTACATGACCATTCTGTCAATTATAGAATATGAGAAAAATTGAGCTTTGTTGCAGAATTCTTTTAAAACTCCAACTGAGTGCAGGCGACCTAAAAGATCCAAAAAAGACTGGGTTCCTCCTTCTCCCTTCACCCCCATGCCAAGCTATGACAGCATGGCCACTCCACAACTCAAGGTAGGATTGAAAAAAAGGTCACTGATGTATAAGTTTTATTTCAAATAAATATTATCATGGTCCTGTCAAAATTGAGGAGTTTACAAGACATTAATTATTGGATTAAAGGTCTCCTAAGTTTCTGATTTTATAGGAAAACAATTAATGCAATATAGTTTTCTATAATTTTACTGCAGAAATTTAACATTTTTCATTAAAAACTCCATTATAAATTTACATTGAATTTCCTGAAAAAACTTCCATCCCATTTCAGACAATGCAAGTCTGTGTAAGTAGGTTTATCCATCTGATAGTTGTAATGTTGTAATCATTATATTATACCCACTTTCAGAGAGAAGTTCAGAAGATTGGCGTTAAACCAGTTGGCAAGAAAAGAATGGTGCTTCTGTTAAAGGACATCTACCATCAAACCCATCAATGTATGTGCTGATGTCTATAATTTTTTATTTATTTAAGAAAAAATGGGCTTTTAAAAGAGCTTTTATGACAAATTTTTTTTTTTGTAAAAATGAATTAATGCAAAAAATTATGTACTTATGTGTCAAGATAAGACTTTCAGAATAAGTGTGAAGTTTTCAAAATTCTTTTGAGAGTAGATTTTAATGTTGTAATGTTTTTACCTGGGGTTGCTTTACAGATGAGACAGACAGCGAGTTTGAGATATCTGTGGATGAGACAGAACAGAGGAAGCAGGGTGGACCAATCTCAGTCTCTGATGATGAAGAAGAAATCAGCAGCAGTCAGGAATCAGAGAGAAGGTAACAGCCCAACACTGTCAGTTAGAACAGCCAGTTGCCATGGAGATATAGAATTGTTACAGCCAGTCATTGTCTAGATATTATAGAATGATAACAGCTAATCATTGTCTTGATATACAATTATAACAACCAATCATTGTCTTGATATTTAGAATTATAACAGCCAATCAACATCTAGATATAGAATAATAATAGCCAATCACTGTGTAGATATTATTAAATACCGTAAATCTGGAAATTTTTGCTGTAGATAAATTTTTAGCAAATTTGCGCATGCATTGCATTCGCAAAAATATTTTTCTTAAAAATAAATCAACAACAAAAAATGTTTTTATCTAAAGATTACTTAAAGATTACATCGTTATCTATATTTTATGTACATGTGTGATTTATGAAAATGTTATGAAAACTTTCAACACTTTGGATGATTTATCTTTTCTAATATTTTCATCTGATTATTGAATGTTGGCGTAGTTTAATATTGCATGTTTATTCGTAATTTTTTGTATGTACATGCGTAACTACAAACGTTTAAGAAAATTTTAAGAGTTTTTTATAATTTAGTTCTAATGACGATTCGCAAAAATTTTAAACATAAAAATTAATCAACAGACTTTTGACCCAGATTCGCAAAAATAAATCAACGTAAAAATTTCCAGATTTACGGTAATAATAGTCAATCACTTTTTAGAGATTATAGAATTAAAACTGTCAATCACTGTCTAGATATTATCGTACCTAATCACTGTGTATTATAAAATTAGAATACTCTCTATAAATAATTCCTTTAAAATATTCACTGGTGTGAAATCAAAGAATTGTTTTATCTAAACTTTTAAGAAATCAAATTAGAATTTTAAAAAATTCCATAACTTAAAAAATGATACTCAATTTTCCAATGTTAGTGTTGTACTGGAGGAGAGTATGATTGAAGAAGAGGAGACAACTTCATCTCAGACTGTGAGCTGATAATATACTTATAATGATTTCTTGAATATTGAGCCAAAGTCTTAATATATATTTCAAAGTACAAACGGAAATATGAGATTGCAGGAATTTTGGTCAAGTTAATCTCTTAAGTTGAAAAAATGCTGAAAAATTATTTTTACAGGGATCAACAGCTTCAGAATTGAAACAAAGAATTTCCCAGTTTGTTCTTGACACTCCAGATATATACACTAGAATACTGATGTATGAGGTAGGTTTTGTGACATAACACATAGAATACAATAAAGGTTTGTTTATTTATCTACACACTGCAATTCTGTAATACGAGGTATGTTTAATGACACATTCCGCAATGTTTATGTATGAGAGGTGACAAACAGAAACCAGAAAAGTATGAGGTGAGTTTAGTTTGCTGCAGTATTATAATTTTTGTTTCTCTCAACTTCATAAAACACTTTATACATGTAATAACAATGCTGCAAGGAGACTTGTGATACTTCCATCCATAAATGTTGGTGTGTCTAGACACCTACCAGGAATGTACAGTTTCACAAAACCACTAAATTCAGTTTATATTAATTTTATTATGTTCATGTATAACAGGATAAATCTAATATTTTATCCCTCTAGAATAAAAAAGTGAACAGATATTACATGTAACAGAATCAAGTGAATCGCATTCAGCTTCTGAGTGATACATTTTCATTACAGCCACTAGAGTTTGATGCATTGAAAAGGGAGTTAACTGAAGCTGGAATCAAATGCTCCATGGATAAACTACTGAATTACCTGGACGAAAAGGTCAGAGAATCAGTCACACAATGTAGTAACTTTTAAAAATTGGTAAAATAAGTCACATTGTTCATGTTCTCTGTGATGTAAAGAATGAGTGCACTTTAGAGTGTCATTTGGAGCCTTTTCGGCCACCCATTTTAAGCCTTAAATTAGACTATATTGCTAAATTAATCTATGATTATTGTGCATACATATGCTCTTGATATTTATACTTCGAATTTTTTGTTAAACATATTGCTATAATTCCACACAACGTCATTGAAAAGAACATGTATAAGCCTTAAATTCCGGAAATTTGAACTGGACCACTTTCGAATTTAAGGTACCCGCAAATGGGCAGAGATATTTAAATTGCATGGAAGTGGAATGTAAACATTTGCACATTATTTCCAGATTGATTCTACAATATGAATTTAAATGGAGGAGAGAAAGATTGTGTAGTTTCATGATTCACACAAAAAATAAATGATTCAGGGCCATACATATTGATCATTTTCAAGATTTGTAACCATATGTTTGATGCCTAGCACCGAATTAGATCAATCTTAAGTTTTCGTATATGATAAAAAATACCCCCTCTTTTTTCTTTAGCTTTATCATTTTTCATTTTATATGCTGAATGCTTTTCAATTCAAAGAATGAATGTATGTTTTAAGAAAGATTCACATGTACATGACTTCGATGTCACACTACATTTAATCGTAATTCACTGTACATGAAGTACGTAGAGTAATACAAACGTGTAGTGAAACAAATTATACATGTATGTAGTACTCACGGTGATACATATTTTATTATATGCCTGTATAGATAAATAACATTCGGAAATGAAATATAAAATTTTAACTTAAAATTTGAGTCGCTAGGTTAACATGAAAACTCCAAGAAATACAAACTATCTGTAATTTAAATTAACATAAATTTATTGACGGAACAAGTATATTTCAGATTAAAAAACACGGTCAATGAAAATTCTACAACGTTACTATATCGATAATCACTCGCTTATGTCTTCAATATCTCTTTCATTTCGGCAATCCAAATATTGTCAGGTGTGATACTAGTGTTTAGGGATGTGTCTGTAGATTCCTGCAGACCATAATACAGAGGCAACATGAGCTAACACAGCTATATACTAATCATGCATTTGATTTGCACTGGCAATACCAGAATTTCCTTCAAAATACCAAATGAAAAACACAATTTAGTGAAAGAAGACAAGGTAAACTTTAAGACCCTAATAAAATTTTCACAAAATTCTTCATTATTTTGAAGTTGTTCAGGCTGGTATAAACGGTGAGATTTGTAGTTCCTGTATTATAATAATACAAGTATTATATTTGTATTGTAATACTTTCCTGTACACACATTTATACGTTTTATTAGATTGTTAATAGACTTTAGGGATTTCTACGTGTTTCCCTCGCAATATTTCTCCCTCTCTCTCAATAATGGAAAACGAGGTTCTGTTAGCAGTATCAGTTATCGTATTATGCATTGCATTAAAACTGAAATGGAAACAGCGGCGGAACACTCGTATATGTACTTGGTGCACACAATGCATCGCTAGATGAGGTGCAAAGAGAAGACCCCAGTAGTTATAAAAACTTCTTTAGAATAGATAACGCTGCATTTGAGCAACTTTTACAATTACATGTAGTCACTCCTTTTGATCTTCTTCCCATAAAACAACGAGTTTTTCGATATTTTTACTGCTAAAGTCAACCATTATTTACCACATGCTTTTTTTTTGTTATGATAAAAATAGGATGACCACAATGTGAGTACTTTTGATTAGTTTAAAAATGAAAGGTAAGTTAAGACTTGTATTAAGAAATAGAGCATTGCCCTATTCTTAATACAGTTTTATAATATTCAAAAAATCTTAGGATTCACCGTATTAAAAGTCTATACATAGTCAGATTTTGTACTTAAATACATATCCGTGTGTACAGCCCTGAAGTCCATTGATAGACACAATGAAAGCATATCGAACAGTGGAATGTCACGAGACTAAAGTGATTATAATATCAAACATGTCAAAATAGGTTGACACTTGGTGACCTGTTAATTTAGTAGCTAACTCGACCGTAGTTTGGAGAATTTTTTAAAAAATTACATATGAGGCGCAAATTGTCCAACATTGCCCTTTGGATATGTATAAGTTTAAATCAAAATACACATTCTGTGCAAATGAGAAGAATGGACAAGTTGCGGCTCGATGTAAACAATGTCGTTGAAAACTGGTATGCATATGAATAACAATAGAAATGTGACAAAACTGCTAGACCCCTGTCGCAAAAACCAGTGTCGCTCGGCATTATTTAATATTTTTATGTGATATAATATATCAAACCCTGCTCTTAAGATATTGTTTAATAATTCTGTTTCAAAAAGTTTATAAATTTCGGAAATTTATTATTAGTAAAGCACCGGGATCCAACTCTCATAGCTTAAGTGCACTGATCCTTTGTGATCAGTAAAAGAAAATTATTATTATTATAAAGGATACAATTTTAGTTGGTACTCTTGTTACATGCACACATTATATCTGACACTTGTAAAGTCGAGGGATGTTTACTGGTACCTCGGCACTAAAAGTATTGCTTTACAGCATTTCACATGTGAAATAAAGATAAGTCTTGGGAATTTCTGCTGCAGTAAATCTACTCAGAAGTGGTTTCTCAACAATACTTTTGGCTCTAATGGAATTGTTTACAAACCCCACAAAACTCAGATCTTGACAGAAATAGCTTCAATGTGAAATACTGCAAAACCAGGAATAACAATGTTCTACACATTTTCATTAGAAATTTAGAATACTTAAACATAATGTAGTAACATTTCGAGACTTCTTCACTGTATCCAGTGAAAATAATGATGTTTGTATTTCAGTGTATAACATTTACAATGAAGAACAGAAGAAAGACCAGCCCAAAGAAAGGGAGGGGGCGAGGGAGAAAAAAGAAGACTGCAGAGCCTGAGTAGTGAGATTTCATGGACTTGGATAAAACTTGGAGAAAACAACAGCAAAGTGTGACAGATGTGTTTGGTCACATGACTTTGGAATGAGAATGTGTTAGTAGTGTATGGTCACATGACTAAGGAATGAGAATGTGTTAGTAGTGTGTGGTCACATGACTTAGGAATGAGAATGTGTGAGATGTGTGACAGATGTGTGTGGTCACTTGACTGAGGAATGAGAATGCGTTAGATGTGTATGGTCACATGACTTAGGAATGAGATTCTGTTAGTGAAAGCTTCAATGCAAATATATAGAAGTTACTGATGGAATACACCCTCTACAATACAAATAGATAATGACACTATCTATAACTGAAAATCCTGTATAATTGTACACTTGGATGTGTTTGTGTATCTAATACTAGTATTCTCTCTATTTATTGAATGAATGAAAAGCTTATTGAATAAATTTAAATGAATTCTCTGAACAAACTTTTTTATGGAGATTCTGTGAAAAAGACACATATTGCCCCAATAAGCCTTCATAGCTGTAAAACACACATTTTTATGCCCCGCCATGAATATGGCCGGGGCATATAGTGTTTGTCATGTCCGTCTTCAGTCCTTCTGTCCTTCCGTCACACTTTGCGTTTAGCTCTGTTCAAAGCTCAGTTTCAAAGAAACTATCCAAGATATTTTTATCAAACTTCATATGCTGATAGATATTGATGAGAGCTATGCAACTGCATCAACATTTTTTGACCTTGACCTTTCATTTGACCTTGACCTCACTTTTCTTAAATTAGTGTTTAGCTCAGTTTTAAAGATACCATTCAAGATAGTGTAATCAAACTTCATATGTTGATACATACTGATGTAAGCTATTCAACTGTATCAACATTTTTTGACCTTAACCTTTCTTTTGACCTTGACCTCATTTTTCTTAAATTAGTGTTTAGCTCAGTTTTAAAGATACCATTCAAGATAGTGTTATCAAACTTCATATGCTGATACATACTGATGAGAGCTATTCAACTGCATCAACATTTTTTGACCTTGACCTCACTTTTTTTTAAATTAGTGTTTAGCTCAGTTTTATTGATACCATTCAAGATAGTGTAATCTTCATATATTGATACAAACTGATGTAAGCTATTCAACTGCATCAACATTTTTTGACCTTGACCTTGACCTCACTTTTCTTAAATTAGTGTTTAGCTCAGTTTTAAAGATACCATTCAAGATAGTGTTATCAAACTTCATATGCTGATACATACTGATGAGAGCTATTCAACTGCATCAACATTTTTTGACCTTGACCTTTCCTTTGACCTTGACCTCACTTTTCTTAAATTACTGTCAAACTTCATATGCTGATACATACTGATGAGAGCTAATCCACTGCATCACTATTTTTTGACCTTGACCTTTCCTTTGACCTTAACCTCACTTTTCTTAAATTAGTGTCAAACTTCATATGCTGATACATACTGATGTAAGCTATTCAACTGCATCAATATTTTTTCACCTTGACCTTTCCTTTGACCTTGACCTCACTTTTCTCAATTTGTGTTAAAATGTTGCATTACTAATATACCCTCGGCAGGGCATTCATGTCCTATGGACATATTTCTAGTTCAAATCTGAAAAAAATAGAAATCCCAACAGAATTATTGTATTGAAAGTTGTTCCATTTCCACATTTTTTTTGCCCCCATAATCAAAGATTTGGGGACATAGTTTTTGCTCTGTCTGTCCACCTTTCTGTTTGTCTGTTAATCTGTTTGTCCGTAACTTTATTCCTGCCGATTGGTTAGAGCTATGGTTTTCACATTTCACATGCATATTCCTTGTGACAAGACCTTTATTTGAGTACCAACTCATTTGACATCTTTACCTTAGAGTTTGACCCACTTTTGGAAATTTTACCAAACTTGAACATAGACCATGACATTTGAACAATGTGTTAGGGCTTTTATACTTCACGTACAAGACCTTTCCTTGGTACAAATATTTTTGACCTTCACCTTGGAGTTTGACCTACTTTTGAAAAACATTCACCTTGGCATAAGTTTTGAATGGTTGGAGCTAGGGCTTTCATATTAAACATGTGTATTCCCAGTGTCAAGACCTTCCCTAGGGTACCAATTTTGACCCTTTGACCTTTGAGTTGACCTAATTTTGAAAAAACATTAACCATGGTCATAAATTTTGAATAGTTGGTGCTAGGGCTTTCATATTTCACAAGCACATGTATCTTCCTTGTGACATGACCTTCCCTTGGGTACCAATAAATTTGACCCTTTGACCTTAGAGTTTGACTTACTTTTGAAAAACTTTAACCTTCCTTGTGATTAGATGCCTTGGGTACAAATATTTTTGACCTTCCCCTTGGAGTTTCACTTTCTTTTGAAAAACTTTAGCCCTGGCCATAAATTTTGAATGGCTAGTGCTAGGGCTTTCATATTTCACAGGTGTATTCCTTGTGACAAGACCTTTTGTGCACCATTTATTTGACCCTTTGACCTTGATCTTGGAATTTGAACTACCTTTCAAAAACTTAAACCTTGGCTATATCTTTCTAATGGTTTGTGCTAGGGCTTTTATACAAGACCTTTCCTTCAGTACCAATATTTTTTATCTCTTGACCTTCAGCTTGGTGTTTGACTTACATTTGTGAAACGTTAACCTTCACCTTGACCTGCCATACAGGTGCATCAGTGTTTAACAAAGACATCTTGTTTATCCTGCTTTCAGAAAAAGGTGTGATTTTTATGCATATTACCAAAGATAATTCCCTTCCAGGACATCATTAAAGCATCCCCCCTTCTTCATCCCTTGTTGTCTAAATGCTCAGAGCACTCGCTAGGGTAAATATACAAAATGTGGTGTAAAAAAGCATCAAAGAAGAATTTACTATAACAGTGAGGAATGTGACTTTTCTGTTTATTTCAAGTACTGAATCACTTTCACGTTTCCAGATTCTAACCCCACCCATATCCTTCCCTCAGTATCCAAGCTCAGCCCTCCAGGAGCAACTAGTCCACAGTCATCAATGCAGCGAAGAAAATATCCATTCTGATCTAAAATATGTAGACAATCATTGAATACATCTGACATGATGATCTGACTTGATAAGTCAGTCACAATCTGTACTGGACCAAAGGAATTTCTCCTCTTGGCTGAATCTCCATTATATCTGAATCGGACTTTTCCCGTCTTGCTGACGACAACCACGACTGTAGCATTACAATCTGAGGCACAGATGTCACCATTGTTGTTCTCTGCCAGAAACAATGGACTTGAACCTCCTTTGTAGATTGGAATGCCGTATTCATCATCAATTATTTCTTGTTTCACCCACTGTCCCTGATATCGGACAGTCTTGTGTTGGTCTCTGTTTTTAGTAGCCATGTTCACCAGGATGTCACCTGATCTGGTGCAGCACAGTCCTAATGGCAGCCAATCCTGTGGTGCTGAGATCAGTATTTCTGACTTCCCATTTCTGACAATGTTTACAGTTTTATTGTCAAAATCACTGTAAATCAACTCTCCCTTTAAAGACATGGTTATGTCTCCAGGACATTCTATACAAATGGTTTTGACGACATCCTTTATAGTCTTATGTTTATCTACCCGCCTTATAGTTGGATCATTACTACACAGCCAAGCTTCATCTTTCCCATCACAGGCGACTGAATACAGGGGTTTGATTCCAGTAGGTAGATCTGCAATAACTCGGGCTTTATGTAAAAACTTCATAGATGGAGAAGATGTGTCCTCTCTTGTATTGGATATAGATGTCTGTGTCAGGGTAGCCTTGTGCTCTTCTAACTGTACGCTTAACTTTACCCCAGGGACGGTAATGGACTCCCATTCTGGCAGCAGAACATCACTGTCGGTGAAAATTTCCCTGTATTCTACCAGTTTTGATTTGTACTTTGTGATTTCTAACACCTTGTTGGACTTTAAAATATATTTCTTTTGTTTAAGAGTTTCATTGAGACTTGGCAAGGCTTTCTTCATTTTGGACTGGTGTATCTTCAGGGCTGATTCACAGCTCTCTTTCTTTGACTTAAGTGTGGACTGGATTTTGTTGAATATATCATCCACAACCTGATGCCACAGCGTCCTAGTTTTCTCTGCATCTTCCTCCATTTTGACAAATTTGGTTCTACATTTGGCTATCTTTTTATCTGAATCTTCATCATCTTGTCCGTATTTGGGAATAAGAATGTCTGCAATTTCTTCTGTGTCTTTTTTGATTTCTTCTTTTGTCATTGCAACAATATCAGCCATGTCTGTGACGTCATGCTTATTGTGAGGTCCAGTGAGACATTTGAAGCAGACTGGGACGTCACACTGTTGGCAGTGCCCCTCGCATCTCTGGTGTGGATGAGAGGTGCACTCAGGGAAAACAAGCTGTATCTTTCGTTTCATGAAGGGAACGATGTCATGCGTAGAAGACTTGAGTATGTCTACATGTTTACTGACACAGTCTACACACAGATTGACTTGACAGTTATTACAATATTGCTGGGTAGGGTTATCACATAGATCACATGTGATGACATCTTGTGCTGTGGATCCTGGGCCTGCCATCTCAAAGCCTGTAATTATATATTGAAAATAATGCTCAGCTGGGTTACATAGATCACATTTTCACAATACCACAAATCAATAAAAAGAATCTGGAAAAAAAAAATCAAATTTTACATGAATATGTAAAGAGTCTTAAGCACAAGAAAAATTCATGAGAAAATATGAGCTTGTGAATATCAAAAAAATATAGCTATTAGTATTAATTTGCCAAATGGTTTTGCAGTGATAGCAGGCACCTTTATCAGAAGGGGACAAGCCCCTTTTATATTTCTGACCATGTTTAGTATGAAAACGCCGATAGGCTGGTTGCCCCTCCTGACCCTCTTCTCTTTTCTAACGCAGCATTGTCAAATCCTCCAAACAAAATTGCTTCTCAAAAAAGTTTGTTCTACCCCCCCCCCCCAAAAAAAAATAGTGTTCCCCTAACCGTTTGAAATGTGGATTTTATTTGTTCCAAAACCAGCTGGTCACTTAGTTCTCCCTGCTTTATGCAATATCTATTTGTTACATATAAGATGTCTAATGTCTACTCTAAAGATAAAAATCCTCTCAAAATAACTACACTACCCCCCCCCCTCCCCCCACTCCTACAAGCAAGAGCCTTGACTAATTTTTTTTAACGTCCCTTTGCTCCTTAGATATTTCGTTATGCGGCACCAAGTCAAAAGTATCTCGCCGTGAACCTCTAGCATGCTGGACTGGAGTCCCCCCCCCACCTCCTTCCCTTGTATTTATATAGGGAAGGAAATATGCGATCTTTTTGTCATTGACAGATATTTAAGTGTCTCTTGTGATTCACCTTACTGTAGCTGCAATAATGTAGCCCTCTCCGATTTTTTTTTTTTTTTTTTTTTGGGAGAGGGCTACAACTCCTTAGGATCTCCGTAATGGTGCAAGTGCGGGAGTGATTCACTACCGCACAGATTTCGGCTCAAATTATCAGTAAGTGGGTATTTTATTAACATATCTTACCTGAACTCATAAAATGTAGTTATGCAAGACATGAACTGATCCAAAAATATACAGAACAATCCGTATATCGGTTATTTTTCGTGTATGTCAACATCACAACTTGAATTTATCCGCCATGTTTACTGACCTTGATCGATTTTATTTTGGGACAACCAATGAGAATACGGGATCTAGGGGAGCGGATAGTTGAGGATTTCCCTTATTTTAAGCATAAATATCACTGTTTATGAAAAAATATCCCATGGAATGCTATTATTTATCGATGTTTAGTGATATCATACAACACAAACATTTATCAACACCGACATTTACTTTATCAAGTGATTCTAAATTTCAAGCGCAAGTCTCAGTGCATCACGCGAGAACTGTCATGGCTGCTGAGGAGAACGACTGGTAAACACGCAGATTTATTTTACTTGGTTTTCGCGTATAAAGGGCTATGATGTTGATAGTGAATAAAAATTCCGTCTCATTGGAAGTAAGTTGAATGCAAAAACAATTTATTTTGCCTGCAGTCGCCCGTATCTAAAAAATATATTTGCACCATTACGGAGATGCAGTGGAATTGTAGCCCTCTCCTGAAAATATCAGATTAAAAAAAATCGGAGAGGGCTACATTATTGCAGCTAACCTTACTGCTGCTTGAGAAAAAGAATCATTTGATTTTAAATCCATTTCATGTGACTGATAAAGTGAAAGCGCTCACCACACCTCCCTTTCCCTCCCCCATTTTTCAGCCTTTTTTTTTTTTTTTTTTTTTTTTTTTTTTTTTTTGACCCTTTTTACATACACACGTAATGCAAAACAGTTCATCGTTAGTCAAGAGTTAATTTGTTTTAGACATTGATTTCAATCGACTGACCCTCTCACCTCGTGCCTCCCTTATGACTTCAATTTGTCGCTGTGCAGATTGGACGCAGTCATAGCTACCCGTCATTTGCGGAAGTGTGCGGATATTTAAGATTTAATCCCCTTCCCTTTAATGGCACTGGACAGTGAAGTATTGTAGTGGTATTATTGTTGCAGGGGTGGTTTATACTAAATGTAAATAGCTCAACTCCTGGCTAAGGGTTCATCATTATGTTTATTACTGATGTTCATGGAAAGTATTTATATAAACAAAATGGCCCTATAAAATAAAATAATAACAATGAATATCACATGAGATAACAAATGTATATAATATATATTACTTATTCTTACTGATGTACAATAAATAGACTTAACTGTTAAGAGTTATCTTCCTTTACTTTGAATATTTAGCATATACATAAATCACTGTACAAATATTCTTTACACAAATAATTTACTGCCACATTTCAATAAATGTAACAATATGTAATTATAACTTAAAATATACAGAAGGTAACATATATTCAAATTACCTCTCTATGGGACAAGGCCCATTCCATAAAACATAGTAAATAGCCTGGATGCGTCATACAGGTCTACATATCTAATAACAAATACTGTACACTATACTATACATACTATAATACTCTTAATTCAAATAAATTTATACTCTGAGGTAAAATGCTTTAAATTTAGTTTTATTCATATTTAAACTTTCACTCTTCTTTCAAACAGTGATATTAGCTAAATAGACATATTATAAAGATATAGAATGTTAAACTTTATACTTACTGTCAGGTCTGGTCTTAAAGGTCTCAAAGTCTTTGTCTTTGTCTAGAAATTCTCTTGTTACAAAAACCACAACTATCCTGACCAAATTCTCTGAGTAGTCCATCTGAGAACAACTCAGAACCACCAAAACTTACAACCAATAAAATTACAGAACCCTAATGTCATAACCTTTGAACTCTATCGCTCACCAAGTAAATAAAGGGGTGGATCTGGGTTTTGTATTAAATCATAAAATCTTATTTAATTTCATTTATATCAATAATATTTATTCAAATATTATGTGATATACATTATATACAGTTAAAACACACTGCTACATTATTTTTCCCATTACAAATTGAAATTAACCCGAAGGGTCCCCCATGTCTTTTATGTATTAGAGTTCATGGTATATAAAAAGTAGGACGTACTCCCGGTGAATGTTTTCACAGGCCTTTGAATTTCTATCAATAAGCCGTTATATATGATTGATCAGAATAATATATATACCCCCTCTCTATATAAATACATGTATATTATATTATACATGTATTTATATATAGAGGGGGTATATATATTATTCTGATCAATCATATATAACGGCTTATTGATAGAAATTCAGAGGTTGTGATGTTTTCCTAAGATTTTGCTGTGCCCCCATCCCTGTGTACCCTTTTGAATTTCATCACTAAAGGTAATTCGCGAATATAGAGTAAGCAAAACAAGTAGTCCGAACATACAGTATACTTGAGTCATGCAATATCCTTTTTCTCCCCCCCCCCCCTTTTAATTTCCTTTTTTCTACATTTTATGATGTTATAATATTTTTCCCCCAAAAAGTCTAGCTGTATGTTGCTTGGCGGGGCGGGGCTTGCAGAAAATTCTTTTTATTGAATATTTTTTTTAATTGAATAAAGGACCAGGTAAAAAATATATATGTAAGGAAAAACTGTCTTTTTTGTGATGATGATCAATCATTTTGCTCGCGTGATAATTTTTTTGCATAAACAGCGTTATGCAAATTATCACGCGAGCAAATGTAACAGAGACATGTATGTGCCTCTGCTGGGGATTGAACCCGGGGCCTCTGGCTTGCCAGTCCAGTGCTCTACCAATTGAGCTAAAGGGTTAACCCACTAGCCCAAGCTAGTAGGATGCCATGTATCTTACACTACCACATTGTCCCCCTCCAGAGAATGAGATGTCCTCATCTCTTTTGGAGTGCCAATGCCTGTGGGGCAAAGTTCTGGGGGCAATCACTTTCACCCGCCAGAGAACACCCGGGCCCCATGTTGGGCTCCAAATGTAACAGAGACATGTATGTGCCTCTGCTGGGGATTGAACCCGGGGCCTCTGGCTTGCCAGTCCAGTGCTCTACCAATTGAGCTAAAGGGTTAACCCACTAGCCCAAGCTAGTAGGATGCCATGTATCTTACACTACCACACAAACAGATAACTTCAAAATTAAAAAAAAAAAAAAAAAAAAACTAGACAGTTATTCCTTAATTTTAATCACAGACATTAATATATCTTTTAATCCGACTGTATTACCCCAGTATGTCTCAGGCCCGTAGGAGGCAGTTTCACTTTAAGGGGGCACAACCATACATTTCATGATGGTTGGGGGGGGGGGGGGGGGAGGGGCACTATCAACTCAGTACCAAAATTCCTTGACAAGCTAAAAAAAAATGGGTCACCAGACGTTAATATTGAGGGGGCACAAGCACATAGTAGCTATGTTTTCTATAGTATTCTATATATCGGCAAAATTATTGGGGGCACGCCCTCCCCCCCCCCAGTTCCTACGGCCATGTGCCTGCATCTGGACAGGACCTCTATCGACACCTGAACTGCTGAAGTTAAACCAGGTCCAGAACATCGATTTCTGATATTATAATTCAGTTTAACCACTTCCACTGGTGGATTTATGTTACCATTGAAAATTATTTCAGCTACGCTGTATTTAAAGAGAAGTAGTTTTAATTAGTTTAAAGCATGCGTAGGAGATTTCAATATTTCCCACCCTTTACATTGAAAACTGAAGGTAAACCCAGATGCGTTCCCATACCCGTCAACCTTGTCACGTGACAAAGCTTTACAGTTGTCAAGTTCGTACCATAGAGCACATGTACACTGGTTCGTTATGGATAATCATAAAAGAATAATTATTTCAATATTGTTTTTGGAATGACTTAAAACTCCTCACTGAATATAGTATAGAACATAACTTTATAAAGGTAAGTTGTTTTTTTTTTTGTGAACTTTTGTGACGCTCGCACCTGTTTGACCAAAACATGGATCCGTCAAAACACACTGCTTGTACAAGTTGAACTTGTTTTTGTTTTGTTTGTTTGTTTGTTAATAGAAAACTTTTTAAATAAATTTGGAGTGGATACAGGCCTGTAGCAGTAGCTGTGACGGTACCAAATATGCGTAAAGGTCAATTAATAGACCAGACCTGGATTCCAATCGTGAAGGAAAATGGGGATGGGGACTGTAAAAAGAGCTATCTGGCCTTGAGTGAATGATTGTATTTGACCACTAAACAAGATTTGGGCTATATAGTCTGACTGTAATCTATGGATTGCATGTCTATAGAGAGTTGTTCGTACCACCTGGTCAAAAGGTGCCAAACTTCAGGTCACTGCTACTCCTTTGCAAAAACAAATCAAACATTGTCTGAATGTCTGCTTGTCTAAAATTAATTTGATCATTTGGTTTAATTTGAATTTAATTAAGGAATGAAAAACAATAATTACTATCAGGATTTTTTTTTTACTAAATATAAACATCAACTCTCGCTAGAAAATCATAATCAAACAAGAACTGATTTCTCAATGCCAGAGTAATGTTCAGTCCATACCCATGCCTTGATTTCATGCTTTTCAAATGCTTTTCAAATATTTTTAAGTTATATGCAAATTGCTATACAATTAGAGTATTCAAAGCAGTTATAGGCTTCTGCAAAATTGTTCATTAGTAAAGATTCGTGCCTGAATGTTATTAAATAGGTACAATAAAAATATGGTTTAGTAAAAGAATAAAATGTAAAAAAAATTGTAAAATAATTACAGTAATCACTTAAAATGATGTAGAGGGCAATAATATGTTTTTTCATTCTTGTTTGCTTTTGTTTACATGTATATTTATCTCTATTTTATTATATAAAGCACTAAAAATGACCAACGACACGAACAATAATAATTGTCAAATTTTCGGGACAACCTGTCCCTTCCTCAGGACAAAGAAAAAAGTTAAGAAGTCATAAAAACAAAGGAAATAGAGAAGCAAAAACAACTAGCACTACAACTAAACTACCAAACACTAAATATTTACAATGTTACATGTTTAATTTTGAGTTTATAAACAGTTGTGAACAAAGAAATCCGGAGCGCTATGAATTGCGTCCGGTCTATCGGGTGTAATCTGGTGAAGTGTGATTTACATAATTGGACGAATTAATTATCGCTAATTAATTACGGCCAACAGTAAATCGCCATTTATCTCTATTTTATTATATATATATATATATATATATATATATATATATATATATATATATATATATATATATTATACATATAGTTTAACTTTGTTGTCTCGAACACTGATATCTCGAATACCATGGATATGTCAAAGTGATCTGATATCTCAAACACTGATATATCTCAAATACCATGGATATGTCAAAGTGATTATAAAGTCCCAACCACTTATTCTTTAAGTATTTTACCCCTGATATCTGGAATCCTTTTTTCTTGGTCCCATGGAGTTCGAGATAACGAGGTTTGGCTGTATTATATATATTGCTAAGGTAACAATTTGTTGAAACCTTCAATACAAAATTTTGTCATTTGAACCAGTTCAGCAACTCTATTTACCATAGATTACATGCAAGATATTTATAAATGTTTATAGGCATGTCAGATATCTTTAAAAATGTTGCCACTTGTACATTTTCTGTGATTATTAATTACACTTTGAACTGAATATAATGAAGAGTTGTTACGATTGTGATGTTTTGGGGGGTGGGGGTGTTAAACTGAAGGGTAAAATTATAACACCCGGAGTCCAATGTATAAACAACTGAGAACTAGGAAATAACTACACATAGAAATTTTCATCTGGGGACCTCCACATTTAAATTGGTATTGATTGAACAAATAGATTTTAACAGCATTTGTTGACTGGATAAATTTTTTTAGGGTATCTTCATTGTCACTTCAGATATGGGTACGCTGGTACTGAGAAATGAACTTGGAAGCTTGGAAACAGGACTGAAGGACCTGAAAAGGTCACGGGTAAGCTAAAAATAAAATTCATATTTTGATACTGAAGTAACATATGTTAAATTTTTAGGAAATTAAGAAGTACATACAACCATGAACTTATACTTTGAATTAAGGAATAACTGTCTAATTTTTTGGTTTCATGATGTGATCAGTCGATTGGCTTGCGTGATAATTTGCATAAACGCCGAAGGTGTTTATGCATAAAATTATCACGCAAGCCAATCAATTGATCATCGTCATGAAACCAAAAAATCTGACAGTTATATTTACATGCTCTTGATTCTGCAAATTCACGTGCTACAAGTTCGGCTTCTCTATTTGTCCTGCCCCGCACAAGATTTTTTTTTCACCACACCTATCGATGAACCAGTAGATTTATGTAGATATAAAGTATTTTTACTCTTTGAAATTTTATCTCAGACAAAGACATTGGAAATGTAAATATATACTCTTAGACTAGTCTGTGTACATGTGTACATGCAAATATTCAATAATTGTCAGAGATATGGGATTATCACGACCAAAAACAAATAAAAATATCAATACACTTCCAGTCAGATTAGCTGGCATAGAGCTGGCAAGTAAAATACAGGTTTACAAATGTCTTGAGAGGTTTTAAAACCTTTCACTGTCAAAGGCAAAAGCATTTTATCAAGGAATTCAGTTTGAGTTTTATTATCACTTATGATATCTATGAAATTTATTTTCCGTTGTTTGAGAAATTTATGTGTTCGTAGTGGAAAAGTTTTTAGTCATCAAGCTCAAATGTTTCTCCTGTATATATAATGTTTGTTTTAGTAAACATTCTATGGAAGGTAGATATTATGGCATTTGAATTGAAAAAGGTGATTTAACTTTTTAATTGATTTTGTGTCACTCTAAGGAAATTTAATTTGCGAGGAAGTTTTGTGAAAAACATCAAATAGGGACCACAATAGAAATCTTTCTCAATACCTGCCTTGAAATATAAATGGTTTAGTATAAAGGATGGTATTATGTGAAATGATTAATGTTTACCTCTTATTTAAGGTATTTGACAGCCTTTATGTTTCTTGTACATTTTTGTTATTACTAAACATATGGTCATCTGGTGGCATGGTGATTATAGAGTTTTTCATCTGGAGTAGCAGAGTAAGAATTTAATTGATCCTTATTAGTTGCTGGTTCAAATCCCACTGTAGGATGTGAAGACCATTTCTTCAGATATTACCATATAAATTTGCAGTACCATATGTCGCAGAAGTTGCTGGCTCAAAAAAAGATCCATCGAGTACATGCTTCCTGTGACATCACATGATTGAAAAAGTCACAAAGGGACAGAAAACAAACAGTGCAAAAATTGTTCACCTGCTGTAAACTAATATTTTTTAATGTCAAATGTAAAACATCTATCAAGTAAAATAAACATACTACCATATATACTTGCCTATAAGTCGGTCTGCATATAAGTCGGTTGTATTTTTTGATTTTTTTTTTTAAGGGATTTGCCATTGACCCGCTTAGAAGTTGGTACATCTTTTTACCAGAATCAGTTGACAATTTCAAATCAATGCTCTGATGTTTTAACTGGTTTCAATTAATATTTTTATGCCCCCCTTCGAAGAAGGGAGGGCATATTGCTTTGCTGCTGTCTGTCGGTCGGTCGGTCCACCAATAGTTTCCATTCATTTTCTTTGCAGAGGTTGCACATACTGAAATGAAATTTGGTATACAGATTTATCATAAGAATATATAGGTCAAGTTCTGTTTTTGGTACGATCAAGCAATTTCGGACAGAGTTATGCCCCTTGGACTTAGAAAAATGCCAATGATTTGGGGGAGGGGGGCATAAGTGTTTCGCAAACATCTCTTGTTAGAAATGATGCTGATATTTAATTTTAAATCATTAAGAAAAATACATAATGCACACTTAAGATGAAGTTATTAAAATATGTAATTACTTGTACTTTATGTATAATTTTAGAATACATAAATGATAAAATATATCCAGACTTTGTTCAACAATAATCGTAGGAAATGTTTATAAAATACATGTACTACATTTCGCCATCCAGAAAAATACTTAATTTTTTATGACTCACCTATAAGTCGGACATAGAATTTTGGACCAAAATTTAACTCCCAAAAAAACGACTTATAGGCAAGTATATATGTAAATGAGATTGCTGTATGCTCTCATGCAGATAACTGACTCAGAGGTTTATGATAAGCAATGATTTAATAAGAATGCTTATTTCAAGTTTACTGCCCAGTGTTGTAAAAACTCCTTAAATGCTAACATCAGAAGGGGTTTCATGTAAGAAATGATGGGACTTCCAATATAATGGACTCCGAGGCTTTTATGTAAGGCCAAAGTTTTTTTTTTTTTTGGTTTACGATTTTCTGTCTCAAAAAAATGCATTGGGTGGTCGAAAAATAAAAATAAAAATAATTTAGGATTCAACAGTTTCATTTTAAAATACCAGCAATGTTTATTTTAATAAAAAATAATACACGTCAATAGTACTTTTAAGTTTTATTGTCTAGATCACATAACTCTTTTTATTAAATTTTGATTCATTTCTAACTTTAGACTGAATGTCATTTTCATTTACATATAGTTCTGATTTTTGTTTGTCAATCAGTGCTTGGTTCATGATGTTCAACTTCTTTTTGTGCTCTTCAGTGATATGTGATGTGTTATAAACCTCGGTATCCCCACAAACTAAAAATAAGGATCCAAATTTAAGTTAAATTTAGATTGATGAAAAATACGATTTAATTGTTTAACAATATCAAAAGTAATTGACACTGTTGAAATAAAGGTTATAATAATTTGATCATGCAGCTATCAAATTTAAAGTTCAACCTGCGGCACAATAGCCTAATAATTTCTCCATCAAGTCCTTCTTAAAATTTTTGTTATGTACATGCACAGTAGGCAATGCTCATTATTTACTTAGTAATTCAAAGGGCTTTGATCTCAATTGAGTATGAAATTTGCAAAGATTTGTATATTGAATTTACTTCTATATAAGAATAACAAATGTTTTATACACATTTGAATTTATCCAGTGAAATACCAGTCAGCGTTACTTCAACTAAGATGTATCTCTCAACACTAAATTGGCCTAACTATTATCAATGGATTTATCAGCCTATTTTGGGAAACACCATTTTTGGGGAATTGGGAATAAATTATCGGCTATTTGATGAAAATGGAAAAAATTTAAATCCTGTATTCAGGGGTAATTCATTTAACATTTCAGCATGAACTCTAATTTGGGCAACCAAACGACAATTAAATATGATCCATCTTCATCATACAAGATCAATTATGAATAAAAGACTAATAAAAGTAAATTGGACTTCAATGAGTGTAAAGCATTTATACAACTTAGGGTAGTACATGTGTGTATGAGATTTCAATTTAGGTCATGTAGTATCTGTTTCTGGAGATTATAAACCTCCTGCAAAAAATTATACCAAGTACACATTTTCTAAAAGTCCTCTTTTAATATGTATCAATGCATTGAAAATATATTTTTCTATCTGAAATAATGCCTAAAGTCCTTACCATTCACTCGCAGGTCAATTGAGTAGGTGGAAATAACTTAATAAATCTATATAATTACATAGTATCATCTTTTTTAGAAAAACGGAGGAAATTCGGATTAAAAGTTGGCGATGGGCATAAACTCTCCAATATTACGGTATGAATTTAGCCAATTGAGACATTGCAATTGGAGAAAGGGATCATGCATCCAATATTTTATTCACTTTTTCATGCAGAAAAAGTTCTTTAAGTGTGTGTCATTGCTTTCAGTGAGGAATTACCTTGTTACATGACAGAACCGCCATTTTTGCTTTGCACATGTGTTTATTTACGGTCAACTAAATGTTTGTAAAGGTCTCATATATTTATAAGCGCTTATTCGACTAAGATGCATTCTAAAATTTAAAACCCACCAGTTCAGCTGAGAAAAATCCGGAAAAATATGTCGGAAAAAGTCATTATTTTTATTTTCATGATTGGTGAAAATTAGGGTCGGCGGAATCGTAAACCAATGGAAAAAAAAACTTTGGCCTAAATGAAGAAAAGAATAGTTAATTCTGGGACACTGAAATTCTCCTGTATTTATCCTTGTGTAATCTTATGTGTTTTGTTCAGAGGTAAAACTTAGGTTCAGTATGTAAGCTGCTTAACGATGTGATTTTTAGAGCAGGTTACTTAATAGTTTTTCCTATTGAGAGGCTTAGCGAGTTCTTATGCAGTCAGCTTAATATTGCAGTCTTACACAGAATACTGAATAGAAATAAACACTGCACATACAAATCATAAGTATACACTAAACCTTTAACATTAACACCTGGAGTTAATAGCATTTGAAGTGAAAAAAATCAGAATTTTTACCCATCATGACTGTATAAGAGGATATTCAATGTTTTTTAGTTGAATATGGAATTTATTTCATGAGTGGGACAGGATTTTTTATATTTTCACTTGTGAAGCACAAGTAAAAATATTTTTAAAAAATCCTGTCTCACATGTGAAATAAATTACATATTAAACTACAAAATATCAAATTTTCTGTTGATTACATTTTCTTTGATTTTCCCTTTGCTTCTTTTTGTAACACAGGATCATAGGCTGTGATGTCATAGTTGAGCTGTTGAGACATCATACTAAGTGATTGAAAACATTGTAAACATGGATTTCAACAACATATATTTTATTACTTGGGGAAATTTTGGCATTTTTAGTCTCTGTCGGGATGGTTTATTTAATCTCCTGTCTTATAACAGGCTAGGGAGTATTTTTTCAACAATCTTATGAAGTGAAGGAAATTCTTGAATTATGCACTTCTGATATTCTTTCACACTGTTACAAAATATCAGTTTGATATTCTTTCACACTGTACATGACAAAATATCAGTTTGATATCCTGTACATGACAAAATATCAGTGTGATATTCTTTCACACTGTACGTGACAAAATATCGCTTTGATATTCTTTCACACAGTGACAAAATATCTGACTTTTTTTTCAATAAATAACTAAAATTACAGTACATGTATAATTTCACTTTTGAAAATGTTATACATTCCTACTTTTAAACATTGGTTGATTTTTTATTAAAAAAAAAAAAAGTTATGATATTTACCTCTATTCAAACCAAATTATTTGTGTGTGGGGGTGGGTGGGGGTCTTATTGTCTGCCTGTAATTGGTTTTAACTATTGGAGATAGACATTCACATTTAGTAGTTATGCATGGGGAATTGATTTAAAATCACAGACCTATTTGATAACTGATTGCTCTTTTTATAATTTGAAAGAATATCATTGATTTTTAATTACAGATTTGATGAAAATTTATGATAGGCATTTATAATTGATAGTACCTGTATATTTAAAGTATTTATTTATTCATTGCAATCCTCATTGAAAACCATTATTGAATTTTCTTTATGTTTTCTCACAACTGGGCAAATTATTTCTAGAAAAGAATTAAAACACCTACAGTGTATTCTATTACAAAGTTCTGTAACATCAACAAAGTGCTTTTGCTTGCATGTAGTTCTGAATTGTTTTTTTTTTGTTTGTTTGTTTTTTGTTGTTGTTCACACTACAGTTCAACTTGTTTTTTTGAAATGCATTATCAGCATTTGGTTTTATTTTGTTCAGATCTTATATTATTATCATCTCTAAAAATCTTTGTACTCAAGGCAGGATTTTTTAAACAAAAAACTTGCGAAAGAAACCATTATGCATTTTGAACGACATGAGCTACGAACATGATTTAAATGTACCACATTGAGGCCGTATTCATCTTGTTCTGACAGACAACAATACTTCCATTTATTATTGCTGTCATTCTTCTGTAAGGTAATACCCTTCAAATCTACACACTTATATAGTGTGATCAAGCAGCTGTTGTTCACACTAATGTGTGCAGTACATGCATCTCACTTACTGCTTCAGTAACGGTCTGCGGATGGGGAGGAACCTAAACAATAGTTATGACTTAAAACAGGAATAGTCTCGCTTTCCCCAGACTCTCGCTCTAGAGACTTTGCACATGCAAAGTCTCAAGAGCAAGAGTCTGGGGAAAGCGAGACTAAAACAGGAAAGGAGAAAATGTATGGCTGGACCGGGAATCCAACCCCGGACCCCTGCATCACTAATCAGGTGCTCTACCGACTGAGCTACCCAGGCTGATATCCATGGCCCAAACCATTACATGACTTATATTCACATAATGTCATGAACAGTTCATATTTGTTAGTAACAACTGCTTCTCAAAATTTTATAAAGCAGTTAACAATAGAAAGTCCAGTGATGAAAATCTTAATTAACTGTCCTTTGAACCTGGTACATGATTTTCACATTACATGCTGTTTTTTCAGTTGATGGGTATACAGGAATACAAGGACATGTATTTGGCAATAGAGAAGCATCATAGAAATTTAAAGCTAGCCCATCTTACCGGTCAAGCCAAGGATCTGCAGTAAGTACATCTCATAAAACTAGCCAGGGGATATCAGTGAGTATAAATTGTCAAGTAAAGCATTAACAGAAGAACATCGGACTAATAAGGTCGAAAGGTTGAAAGAATGAACATCTCTGATCAATTCAGTGTTTCCAGCAAGAACACCTCACTGGTCAAGTCAAATATTTAATAAAGTGAGAACTTCTCAATGATTTACAGTAATCTCATTATATCTCATTGGTCAAATAGATAGTTTACTGTAAAATCTCACTGGCCAACTCAATTGTTAAAGTAAGATCTTGCTAGTGGAAATCAATAGTGTACAGTAAGATCTCACTAGCCAAGTCATTGGTATACAGTTAACATCACACTGGTCAAATCAATAGTTTAACATCTCACTGGTCAAGTCATTGATTTACAGTGAAATCTTACTGGTCAGTTGGATGATTTACAGTGAAATCTCAGTGGTCAAGTTGATGGTTAACATTAATATCTCACTGGTTTTATTGTTCAAACAGATATACACACCCAGTAAGATTATTTCAGTTTATTAGCTTTAATTTATGTTACATGAATTTTTCTAGAGTCCAAGCTGAACAGGACACTAAATTTTACCAGATTTTGCTGAAGATGATGAATGAGGTCAAATTGTAAGTACAAAGGTCAGATCTTTAAGTAAAGAGTTCAAATCTAAAACAAAATTGCATTCCAGCTTGTTTTATCATTTTCAATAACAAACAAATAAACATGCTCTTCTTCATCACCACATATCCCTTCATGTTTTTTCTTTAGAAAAAGAATACAGATATAAAACAATTCTTTTTTTTGTAGCTTAATATGATTGATTTTCTGTTTCAGACTAAGGACAGGGCAACAGAAGGACTCATTAATGAAGGTCTTCACATGGTTCAAGGCCAACAAACACACACTTCACACTGGGCCGGTAAGTTCTCATATAGCGAACACACACTTCATACAGGGCCAGTAAGTTCTCATATACCACACACACAATTCACACTGGACCTGTAAGTTCTTATATAACAAACACAAAAACTTCCCATGGAACCTGTAAGTTGTCACTCAAACAGAGTACCTGTTAGTTGTCACTCAAACACAGAACCTGTAAGTTGTCAATCAAACACAGAACCTGTAAGTTGTCACTCAAACATGGAACTTGTAAGTTGTCACTCAAACACGGAACCTGTAAGTTGTCACTTAAACACAGAACCTGTAAGTTGTCACTCAAACACAGAACCTGTAAGTTGTCACTCAAACATAGTACCTGTAAGTTGTCACTCAAACACAGAACCTGTAAGTTGTCACTCAAACATGGAACCTGTAAGTTGTCACTCAAACATGGAACTTGTAAGTTGTCACTCAAACAAGGAACTTGTAAATTGTCACTCAAACACGGAACCTGTAAGTTTTCACTCAAACACGGAACCTGTAAGTTGTCAATCAAACACAGAACCTGTAAGTTGTCACTCAAACATAGTACCTGTAAGTTGTCACTCAAACACACACTGCACATGGAACCTATAGGTTGTAACTCCACCAAACACACACTTCACATGGAACCTATTGGTTGTAACTCCACCAAACACACACTTTACTTGGAACCTATAGGTTGTAACTCCACCAGACACACAGTACTTCACATGGAACTTATAGGTTGTAACTCCACCAAACACACTTCACGTGGAACCTATAGGTTGTAACTCCACCAAACACACTTCACGTGGAACCTATAGGTTGTAACTCCATCAAACACACTTCATGTGGAACCTATAGGTTGTAACTCCACCAAATACACTTCACATGGAACCTATAGGTTGTAAGTCCACCAAACACACACTTTACATCTTGCCATAGGTATTTGCCACTCAAACATACACTTGACACCAGGAATGCAAGTTTTCAGAACGGCATGGCAGAAATATCAGTATTTTTATTCACACTTTTTAATTTTGACAAAATATTTTTTGCCATGAATTTATGTCAAATAGTTTTATCCCATCCTGCAAAGTTTTCTCTGGAATGACTTCTTCAGTTTATGATGTAGTTGGTTTTATTTCTTGGCAGCATTTTGGGAAGTCCTACCAGTTGAAAGAAGCTTCAGAGGTTGTCAAGAAAGCCAAGGGGTCCACACAGCAATCCTCACCCAAGAAGAGCAAGGTCGTCACCACAGAGATGGCAAAAGAAGAAGAGGAGAAAAAGCCTATCACTCGCCTTGAATCTGCAGAGGGGATGAGAAGATTTTTTCAGAGTGTGACACCCTCTACCCAGCCTAATGACCCAGAAACTCCTAAAAATTTCTTCAATTTTGACCTTCCGTCTAATAAGGATTATGTCAATGAATACCTAACCAGTCGGTTTTTCCAAGCGGGAGAGATTTCAGGAATAGGTAGGCCTTCAACCCTGGAAACTCCTTCACACCGGGCATACATGAATGACCAAGTTCCCTCAGACAGAACAACAGCCATGGAGAGATTTATTAACAGCCCAAGTCTGTATGATGGCCCAGACCTGGAGGTGAGTTCAAATAAAAATTTCCTTGAAATAACAAAAAATGGGAGGAAGGAGAATTTAGTTTTAGGAGAGGAGTATAAGATGAATTTTGTAGATAACTCTGAAGTTGTATAGAACTCTCTATTTTAATTGATATCTTAAGTATTTTTTTTTTTGAAATGCTAGAAGGGCATAATGATAACAAAATCTCCAGAATATATTTGTGAAAATTTCATAGCTACAAGGGGAGTAACTCTAGTTTCCCAATCAGCAGTTTTAAATTCCAGAGTGGATAGATTTAAGGTGATCAATACTTTATTGTTTAAATGACTGGTTCACAATGTAACATTTAATTCAGAAAAGTGAACTTCTTGCCAAGCAGTGAACTGTTCAATAAATGAATTGGGTTTTCAGACAGATCATTTTTCTTAACGTTAATATTCATGAAGTGAAGTGGGGTAGAAAATTTAAAAGTGCTATGTGTATTGTAAGAAAGACAATGATTCATTTTATCATCAGATCTAATTTGTCTCTTTGGAGTCTACATTGGACTCCCAGGAGGGGCTTTCTCTCTAGTGACTAGTGTTAACTAGGGACAAGAGATGGCTTCGTTTTATTCTGTTTGATGGATTATGGGATTGTGTGTGCTGCTTTTAAGCGAACAGTGACTAAATCAGACTTTAATCTGCTCCATTGTTCAAGATTGATTTGGCTGTGCAGACTGAAGACTTTATTGGAGTGCACACAGAATTGTTAATGTACAGCTATACAAACAGAAGAAATTTAAACTTGGGCTGATAATGCCTTATTTAAACACATTTATTTTTCTCTAAATGAACATACAGACAATCTGAAAGGTCTTGATTATAAAAGAAACTGTAAAGCAATTGCCAATGGAGAGCTTGTCATGATTGGTGTTGCAAAATTTAAGAACATTTTGTCAATAATATGTATTTACTTACCTTAAGTAGCAAGGAATTGTTGGGAAAGTGAATATCAAACATTTAATGGACTGTTTGCTGTAGCTCTATTGGATTACTTTGAGGATATATTTGTTGCATTTAGGTGAACTATATGTCCTGAACATTTTAGCTACTAATTCTTTAAACACATCTCCTTCATTGAAGAATTTTGGGTTACTTATCAGAAATTAGCTGATTTTTAGGTAAGTAAAATTAATTATTTGATTAAATTTGGGAATTAATTTTGTCCCCCCTTCCCTCCCTCAACACATTATCCTTTAGTTGACCAAACATAGTAGTACAAGTTGAACATAGTTAAAATATGAATGACATTGTATGATAATTAAACTGTTTATAATGATTCAACATATCTGTATCAAACAGCACCAGTTTTCTTCTGGTTTTGTACTGTAGATCACCAGATTTTCGTGACACTTTATTCTATCATGGTAGTCACTTACTCTTCATTAGCGAGACAAAATTCTCATGAATTTGATTACTGCTCTATATGATATTTAAAAATGCAAATATACACGAGAATGTTGCGTAATTATCTTGCGTAATTACTCGAAAATAAAGTTCTCGCCAATAAAAAGTGATTTACAGTAGTTTTATGATTTACTGGTCATATTCTGGTGTTGTAGTTTTATGATTTACTGGGGTTTTTTTTTGCATTGTTGTAGTTTTATGATTTACTGGTTTTTTTTGCGTTGTTGTAGTTTTATGATTTACTGGGTTTTTTTTGCGTTGTTGTAGTTTTATGATATATAAATATCTCGATATCTCCTATGCAGAATTTTATATTTTGTTGTTAAGTTAGTATGAGAGTGGTCAGTTTTTCTTTAAAATTGGTTTTACATTTTACTTTTAAGTTGAATCCAGAACATTGTTTACAGGAGCTTCTGTCCATTATAATTGACAGTCTCTATCTGAAAATTGGCTACCCTTTATAAAGAGATTCAATATTGCATTTTATCTTTTAGCAATGAATCGATCATTAAACATATTTTTTTGAAAACATTCCATATTCCTGATCGATTCATTGATGCTGAGGTGTTTAATGTGTTGCTGCTATCTTGCTGATAATGGCATTTTTCAAGTATGATATTTACTTGGGACTTATTTTATGTGGACAGGGAATGTTTAATAGAGTAACCATTTGTTAAAGTATTGGAGATCAATTCTGCTTTCTATAATATTTTATGATGAAAGTTTATGCATTATGTTTTGAAAGTGATTTTTTATTATTTTTTTTTTACTGATATGAGTGTTACACAGAATTGATTCTATCAAATTTTTCCTGGTTGGGCATTTTCAGTTATCTCTGTCCAGACTGTAACTTGTTTTTACGACAACCACAGATATGGGAATCATTTTTCAGGTTTGATACGTTAGTTTCTCTATTTTTAGCTTCAGAGGCTCGCTAGTTCCCTTGGTGATCTTGATGACGTTCCTCCAGAGTTACCTTCTCATCATCAGGAGGAGGAGGAACATGATTCCTTAGACAGTCAGCGATACATCGAGAGCGTCACTGTCGACAGCCGTTATCAGGACGAAGAAGACGGATTTGAAGTGGATGAATCTGGGCCAGCAGATATTGACATGGAACTGCCCGAGATGCGTAGGAAGTTATCAAGAGAACAGACTATGTCGGCTAGTTTTAGGGCAGCTGTGTCTGCTCCAACACATGAGGATCAGGTTAGAGTTCTTTTTAACCTTAACAGGGAGAGAAATTGTATCTGGGAAATAGCATTTTGTACTAAAGATTGGTTTAGATGTTTTTTTAGCTCCACCTAGTCAACAAAGATGATATGAACTTATGCTCTAACACCTCCCCCCCCCCCCCCCCCCCACACACACACACACATTGGCATTGGCGTCCAGGATACATTTTTGGGAACAAGTCCATTCCAAAGTAACTGTAGGCCCTATCTGAACCACATTTACAAGGATGATGCACTTATATAGGGATGCACATTGCACAATACTAGATATGCTTTGAATACTGGATCTGACCTATATTTTCTGGATGAGTGACCAGGTTCAAGTTTTTGGAGCAGATACATTTCCAAGTAAATAAGTCCTACCATGACCAAACTTGCATGGATAGTATAGATCTAAAAATACATACACCAGACTTGCTTCAGATGCTGGATCTGACCTACATTATATATACAAAAAACGAAAATAGAATAAAAACTTCTAAATAAGTTTTTTTGAGCAACTTCATTCCAGAGGAATTATAAGCCCTATCTTGATCAAACTTGTATGGACCATGCATCTAGTGGTAGACAGATGCTACCAGATGTAATTTGGATGCTGGATTAGACTTATATTTTTGGATGATTGAACGAGTTGAAGTCTTTGGAGTTGGTCCATATCCAAGTAATTAAAAGCCCTCTTAGGACCTAACTTGTATGTATATATGTATATATCTAGGGATTCACACTAACAAGAACATACTGATGGTGCACGACTCTGTTTTACAACATTCATCAAAGAGAGCTTCATAATCTTTGATTACCTATATTTACCAGTTATAATTCAGATATATTACATTTTCTTAAAAAAAGTTTTTATTCTATTTTCGTTTTTCGTATATATATTTTTTTGAATCCTTGGATTACTGATCAGAATTCAGTAATTGACTTGCTTGATTTGTTCTAATCAAGGAGGTATCTACACTTTCCAGTGAAAGTTTAGCAATTCATGTGCTTGTAAGAAATTAACCAATAAAAATTCTCTTTTTCAAACATCTTTTTATAAAGTATTCCTTAAACTCTTTCATCTTTATTTCATCTTAAGGAATTTGAATAAACAATCTCGTCTCTTAAGGGAAGACAGAAGTTTATGTTTTATGGTAGAAAGGGGATAAAAATAGGGATGGAACATTTACATTGGAAGCCATTCAATTGGCAATAGCAATAGGAAATGCAGTGTTTGAGTTAAACAATTAGTTCTATAATTTTTAGTTTTCCAATTTATCAACATACATCCCCAAAAAGATGGTTCACCCTATTGCAAGTTTAGTGAACCCTCATGCTCAGCTGGCAGCAATGGAGGCGAGACGAGCTGAAGAGGAATATCAGGCATCGAGAGAAAATACTGGTCTGTCCCAGCGGATACTAAGCAGGTCTGCCTCAGGTATGTAATATAGACATGTCTAGTCTGTCACAGTGGATACTAAGCAGGTCTGCCTCAGGTATATAATATAGACATGTCTAGTCTGTCACAGTGGATCCTCTGTAGGTCTGCCTTACATACCTAATACACTCAACCAAAGGTCATTTGATAAGTATACATATGGTTCTGTCTGGAAAATTGATCAGTATAATTTTTGTGAGCTAGCTTACTCAGTACTGTTGATTTATTCATTGTGATTATGTGTGGGACTAAATTTTAATGAAGATAATTTATGCAGTGTATTAACTTTTGTAGCTGTCCCGAAGTCTTCCTCCACTCCTCAGACGTCTACTACATACAGACCAATGACAGCTGTCCCCTCCCACCCAGGCAGTATGAACCAGTGGAATACATACACCAAGGACAGGTCCTATGGCCAGGAAATATTAAGTACGTTATCTGGGGATCAGGAAAACTTAATTTCTTCACAAAATGAAAAATGTTTGCTATTTTTTCTTTATTAAAATATATGTCTGTCAGTATTGAAGAAGAAATGAATAAATTGACATAATAACAAAAACAGGGCGATCACCTAGAATTGTCCGGAGGGGGTCTAAACGTTACCAAGGTAATAGGGTTTTATAAATAACTTGTTTTTACCTATCCCAGGAGGAAATAACCTACCCCCGTCACTGAACTTAACTGCTCCCCCTACTGGTAAAAATGAGTCTGCCGAGTCACGTTTTGTGTTAATGTTTGATCTTGCCACCACTTACCTTCATTAAAACCATCTTCATCCAAAATTGAAATCATGCTGAAAAATGAAGTTGTAAATTCCAATTATAATGTGAAAATTTTCAGATTAAAAAAAAAAAGGACTAAAAATTTTGTCTTTAAAGATATATATGACTGTAAAACTGGAGTTAGGTGGGAACTTTATTGATATTTGATTGATATTAAAGAAAGGGTAAAAAAAAATGCATACTTTAATGTAAAATGCATGTATTATCTATTAGTATTAATATTAAATCTTCAGCATTAGTTTATTATTCTAGACCAGCTTAAGCTTTGACATTCAGTTAGTTATCATGATATAAATCCAGTAGCATCTGTCAATTTTTCATCTGTGTCTTTTTTGATCATCTTTTCATTTCTGCATCATCACTAGTTTGATTTTAATGACTCTTTTCTTTTTAATTTGCATGAATGCTGTCCTAGTAACCATTGTTTGCTTGCATTTTTTTTTCTAACCTAAAAAGGAGACTTGAGTTTCGTTGGTCGCAGTGGTACAGCCATGGATGTACGTTACACTGCCCACGACTTCGGAGAAATGCCAGAGGAGATGACAAAACATGTCGTAGCATTCTTTTCTCAGAATTCAAAGTCGGTACCAATCGCCAAGGGTATATATATAAATATAACATTTACAGCTGATGATAATTGCACATGCTATATTTTTTCCTCTCCAAATTATTGTCCCACCATTGTTAATTATTTAAAATCTTTATTGGCACTTTTGCAGGATAAATTAGACTTGCATGATACAACTACATCATTTATATTCATTGCAATTATCTTATCTGACTTTCTGCTTGAGGAACATTTACAATAACTATTTTATTTTATCAGTATACCAAAAAGAGATAAACATGCATAATTAGAGAGCTGAAAAATTAAGATAATTAGAAAACTGAAGTCTACTTTGTGCAAATTCGTTGTATATTGTTAGTGCAATCTGACAAACTTGTATCTGATATTACCAATTTCTTTGCCTAAATGTTTTTAAGAACAAGTATATTGCCTTACCAGGGCAAGTTATTTGTCTAAATTTCAGTATTATTGTGTTTTTTCTCTAAAACAATCAATTTCTACTTCTAACAGTTGACTTTTTCTTTTGACTTTTTACTTACTTCATGAATGAATTGCTATATATGTAGAAATTGCATGTATCGATCTTGTAGCTCTCTCTCTCTCTGATATATATGTATAATATATAAGTATCACTAAAGTAAAAACAAATCTAACTTTTAACACAAAATTTAATCTGTATGCATGATGCATGATAAAGCATTTATTTCTAAATTGCTAAATACAGTTGAACTTCGGTATCTTGAACACTGATTTCTCGAATACCATGGATATATCAAAGTGATTTGGCAGTCCCAACCCCCATATTCTTTAAGTACCATATTTTACCCTGGATATCTTAAATCCTTGGATATCTCAAAGTTTTTTAGCTCACCTGAGCTGAAACCTCAAGTGTGCCTTTCTGATCACCCCTTGTCCGTCGTCCGTCCGTCTAGCTGTCCGTCCGTCTGTAAACTTTTCACATTTTCAACTTCTTCTCAAGAACCACTGGGCCAATTTTAACCAAACTTGGTACAAAGCATCCTTGGGTAAAGGGGAGATTAAATTGTTAAAATGAAGGGCCAAGCCTTTTTCAAAGGGGAGATAATCAAGAAAAGACAAAAATTGGGTGGGGTCATTAAAAAATCTTCTTCTCAAGAACCACTGGGCCAGAAAAGCTGAAACTTATGTGGAAGCATCGTGGGGTAGTGTAGATTCTAAATTGTTCAAATCATGACCCCCGAGGGTAGGGCGGGGCCATAATAGGGAATCCAAGTTTTACATTGAAATATGTAGTAAAAATCTTCTTCTCAAGAACCACTGAGCCAGAAAAGCTGAAACTTATGTGGAAGCATTCTGAGGTAGTGTAGATTCTAAATTGTTCAAATCATGAACCCCGGGGATAAGGCGGGGCCACAATAGGGAATCCAAGTTTTACATTGAAATATGTAGTAAAAATCTTTAAAAATATTCTTCTCAAGAACCACTGAGCCAGAAAAGCTGAAACTTATGTGGACGCATTCTGAGGTAGTGTAGATTCTAAATTTTTCAAATCATGACCCCCGGGGTAGGGCGGGGCCACAATAGGGAATCCAAGTTTTACATTGAAATATGTAGTAAAAATCTTCTTCTCAAGAAATACTGAGCCAGAAAAGCTGAAACTTATGTGGAAGCATTCTGAGGTAGTGTAGATTCTAAATTGTTCAAATAATGACCCCCGGGGGTAGGGCGGGGCCACAATAGGGAATCCAAGTTTTACATTGAAATATGTAGTAAAAATCTTTAAAAATCTTCTTCTCAAGAACCACTAAGCCAGAAAAGCTGAAACTTATGTGGAAGCATCCTGGGGTAGTGTAGATTCTAAATTGTTCAAATCATGACCCCCCGGAATAGGGCGGGGCCACAATAGGGAATCCAAGTTTTACATTGAAATATGTAGTAAAAATCTTTAAAAATCTTCTTCTCAAGAACCACTGAGCCAGGAAGGCTGAAACTTATGTGGAAGCATTCTGGGGTAGTGTAGATTCTAATTGTTCAAATCATGACCCCTGTTATAGGGTGGGCCACAATAAGTACTACGGGGGAGAGGGGGAATCAGGTGAAAAACAGCAAGGCCAAAGTTACTCAGGTCAGCGTTGTGGCCCATGGTCCTCTTGTTCTCAGTCTTATTGAGTTCGCGATAACGAGGTTTGACTGTATTACCATGATTATATCCATACTGGGATATTTGAGGATTTTATTTTGCTGTTTATGATTGGTTAGTTTTGACACCACGACCTGTGGAAGTCCAGGAGCTATACACACAGAATTCATTGGAGGAGTTCTATGTTATGGCAGACAACCTTTATCCCAGACTACCAAAATATCGCAGACCTGTGTACTCAAAGCCAAAATCAGCAGCATCTACTCGCATGTCAGAAACTCCAGAGAGAGCACCACGAACCACAGAAAAAACAAAATTCCATCCACTAGGGAAACAGCTCCTAGATGCTGCGTGAGTCTTTATTTTCTAATTGTTAAGGGGTATGGCCTTTACTAAGGGATGTATAATCTACAAACAGTCCTCCATTGTCACATTTTATTTTTTAAATTGCCCATTTTTGAAGTAATATGTATGATTAATTATAAGCAACTGCTTAATATAAGAATATGACTACAGTAGCAGAGAATAAGTGTACAATTCACCAAAAATATGAATCCATTTCTGACAGTGAAGCTGAATTACGTGAAAAAGAAAACAAACCTCCCCCAGAACCGACATCATCGGTCAAGCTGGACACAGTGGTACAGTTAGTGGACGATGTGTCAGAGAACATGACCTACTTCAAAGAAAGGGTAAACTCAGATACATCTTACATTGACACCAAAATATTGAATTAATCATTGGTTATCAATATTTAAAGGAATTTGACTGTCTTTTTTCAAGGTAACAAATAAATTCAACAGTTATCTAAGAATAATAAAATAATGTACAAGATGTTAGCATATCAAACTCTCTCTTAAAAATCTAGTTTCAAATATGCTTCTTAAAGCTACTGTACAGTAGAAAGTGTTGAAAATCAAATTTCCCTAACTGTTGTTAATTGGCTGCAGTGTATACTGTAAACGTGGTTATTTTGACGAGTTGAAAAATTGACGATTTTTTGTTTACGGAAATTGACGAGTGTTAATTTTGACGAAATATTGAATCAAGAGTTATGTATATCTTTGATTTCACAAGATTAAAACAAAAAATGAATACAAAGAACTCCTAAAACAACAAGTTTCAAAACTAGTATTCAGAGTAATGTCGCCAGAAGCTAGAGGACCAAAAACTTGATGGAAACATTGGCTTAATTAGTTGACTTGAGAACGTCTACGATTAAGCCGCTCTGTGCGAGTTCACGATGTTATAAGCAAGGACCACGACTTCCTCGGGAACTCATTTACAAGCGTTCTCATCAATAAAATTTAATTTTGCTTGTAAAAACCATCTACAGTGTATAAGATTTGATTGAATTAATGGCTCTATTGTATTTTGTTTTTAGGTCACCTGAGTCACTCAGGTGACCTATTGCTATCCGTTTTCGTCCGTCGGCGTGCGTCGTGCGTTGTGCGTTAACATTTGAACATTTTCAGCTTCTTCTCTGAAACCGCTCAACCAATTTCAACCAAATTTGGCATATAACATCTATGGGTGAAGGGGGACAAAATTTGTGAATTTCATGGTCCCTGCCCCCCTGGGGCCTGAGGGGTGGGGCAAAAACCACTAAAATTAATGCAATCTTTAAAAATCTTCTTCTTTACTCCTGGACGTCAAGCAGTCAAACTGATAGCATGATTGTAATAAGCATTGAGCCCTCTACCAAAATTGTGAAATTCATGGCCCCAGGGTAAGGGGTTCTGGGGCTAGGGCGGGGCTATATAGATCATATAGTAAAAGTGCATTATTTCTTCAAAAATCTTCTTCTCTGCTCCTGGGTATAAAATAAACTAACTAAGTACACAGTTATGATAAGCAAGAATGCCCGTTCCAAAATTGTGAATTTCATGGCCCCTGGGTCAGGGGTTCTGGTGAAAAGGGGGGGGGGGGGCTCTATTGATTATATAGTGAAAATGCATTATTTCTTTGAAAATCTTCTTCTCTGCTTATGGGTATTAAATAAACTAACTAAGTACATAGTTATGATGAACAAAAGTGCCTCTTCCAAAATTGTGAATTTCATGGCCCCAGGGTCAGGGGTTCTGGTGTTAGGGTGGGGCTTTATTAATTATATAGTGAAAACACATTATTTCTTTGAAAATCTTCTTTGTTGCTCCTGGGTATTAAACAAACTAATTAAGTACATAGTTTTGATGAGCAAGAGTGCCTCTTCCAAAATTATGAATTTCATGGCCTTGGGTGAGGGGTTCTGGTGAAGGGGGGGGGGGGCTCTATTGATTATGTAGTGAAAATGTATTATTTCTTTGAAAATCTTCTTCTCTGCTCATAAGTATCAAAGAAACTAACTAAGAACATAGTTATGATGAGCAAGAGTGCCTCTTCAGAAATTTTGAATTTTATTGCCCCTGGGTCAGGGGTTCTGGTGAAGGGGGGGGGGGGCTCTATTGATTATGTAGTGAAAATGTATTATTTCTTTGAAAATCTTCTTCTCTGCTCATAAGTATCAAAGAAACTAACTAAGAACATAGTTATGATGAGCAAGAGTGCCTCTTCAGAAATTATGAATTTCATGGCCTTGGGTGAGGGGTTCTGGTGAAGGGGGGGGGGGGGGGGCTCTATTGATTATGTAGTGAAAATGCATTATTTCTTTGAATATCTTCTTCTCTGCTTATGGGTATTAAAGAAATTAACTAAAAACATAGTTATGATGAGCAAGAGTGCCTCTTCAGAAATTGTGAATTTCATGGCCCCTGAATCAGGGGTTCTGCTGTTAGGGTGGGGCTCTATTGATTATATAGTGAAAATGCATCAATTCTTTGAAAATCTTCTCTGCTCCTGGGTATTATTTAAAAAAAGGAATTGCATGGTTATGATGAGCAAAAATGCCTCTTCCAAAATTGTGAAATTCATGGCCCCAGGGTCAGGGGTTCTTGTGAAAGGGGGGGGGGGGTGGCTCTACTGATTATATAGTGAAAATTCATAATTTCTTTCAAAATATTTTTTCTACTCCTGGTTATAAAGCAAAGAAACAATTGTATAGTTATGATGAACAAGGATGCTTTTACAAAATTTTTAAACTTGTGGTCCCAGGGGTTCTGCTGTTTTTCTGAGGGGGTGGGGGGGGGGGGGGCTCTATTGATAATATAGTGAAAATGTGTGAATTCTTTGAAAATCTTCAACTAATTGCATAGTTATGATGATGAGGGTACCTCTTCTAAATTTGTAAATTTCATGACCCTCGGTCATGGTTCTGGTGTTAGGGTAGGGCTGTGTTAAATAGTAAAAGTGCATTATTTCTTTGAAAATCTTCTCTGCTCCTGGGCATATTGGAGGCAAACAGAGTAAAAGTTTTAATAAGCAAGGGTATTTTTACCAGAATTTTAAACATCTGGACCATTTGGTCAAGTGTTCTGGTCCTGGCCAGGGCTCTATTAATTTGTATTCTACTGAGTGAAGTTATTCCCCTTTGCCATTCACCTTTGATAATTAATCAGTGTAGATAATGTATTTGAAAGGTTAATAGAATAAGAGAATTATGCAAGAACATTGATTGTATAATACAAAAAGTACTTTCCTAGTTTTAATGATCAGGTAGACCTGGAAGTAATAGATGAATAAAAGTGAAACAAAAATAACTTATCTTTTTTAATGTTCTTCAAAGGCCAAGTGAGGCCAGTTTGAGATATTTTGTAAAAAGTTTGTATGGTAATAGCGATAAATGGGGGACAGATAGATAAATCTTACTATTTTCCTTGCTTTTGGAAAAAAAAAAGCTTTATTAGGTCACCTGAGTCACTCAGGTTACCTATTGCTATCCGTTCTCGTCCGTCGGCGTGCGTCGTGTGTTAACATTTGAACATTTTTAGCTTCTTCTCTGAAAGCGCTTAACCAATTTCAACCAAATTTGGCATATAGCATCTATGGGTGAAGGGGAACAAAAATTGTGAATTTCATGGTCCCTGCCCCCCTAGGGCCTGAGGGGTGGGGCTAAAACCACCAAAAATAATGCAATCTTTAAAAATCTTCTTCTTTACTCCAGGACATCAAGCAGTCAAACTGTTGGCATCATTGTAATAAGCAGTGAGCCCTCTACCAAAATTGTGAAATTCATGGCCCCAGGGTCAGGGGTTCTGGCCCCAGGGTGGGGCTATATAGATCATATAGTGAAAGTGCATTATTTCTTTGAAAATCTTCTTCTCTGCTCCTGGGTATTAAATAAAGTAACTAAGTACATAGTTATGAATAGCAAGAGTGCCTCTTCCAAAATTGTGAAATTCATGGCCCCAGGGTCAGGGGTTCTGGTGTTAGGGTGGGGCTCTATTGATTATATAGTGAAAATGCATTAATTCTTTGAAAATCTTCTTCTCTGCTCCTGGGTATTAAATAAAGTAACTAAGTACATAGTTATGATGAGCAAGAGTGCCTCTTCCGAAATTGTGAAATTCATGGCCCCAGGGTCAGGGGTTCTGGCCCCAGGGTGGGTCTATATAGATCATATAGTGAAAGTGCATTAATTCTTTGAAAATCTTCTTCTCTGCTCCTGGGTATTAAATAAAGTAACTAAGTACATAGTTATGAAGAGCAAGAGTGCCTCTTCCAAAATTGTGAAATTCATGGCCCCAGGGTCAGGGGTTCTGGTGTTAGGGCGGGGCTTTATTGATTATATAATGAAAATGCATTAATTCTTTGAAAATCTTCTTCTCTGCTCCTGGGTATTAAATAAAGTAACTAAGTACATAGTTATGATGAGCAAGAGTGCCTCTTCAAAAATTGTGAAATTCATGGCCCCAGGGTCAGGGGTTCTGGTGTAAGGGTGGGGCTCTGTTGATCATATAGTGAAATTGCATTAATTTTTTGAAAATCTTCTTCTCTGCTCCTGGGTATTAAATAAAGTAACTAAGTACATAGTTATGAATAGCAAGAGTGCCTCTTCCAAAAGTGTGAAATTCATGGCCCCAGGGTCAGGGGTTCTGGTGTAAGGGCAGGGCTCTATTGATTATATAATGAAAATGCATTAATTCTTTGAAAATCTTCTTCTCTGCTCCTGGGTATTGAATAAAGTAACTAAGTACATAGTTATGAAGAGCAAGAGTGCCTCTTCCAAAGTTTGAAATTCATGGCCCCAGGGTCAGGGGTTCTGGTGTAAGGGTGGGGCTCTATTGATTATGTAGTGAAAATGCATTAATTCTTTGAAAATCTTCTTCTCTGCTCCTTGGTATTGAATAAAGTAACTAGGTACATAGTTATGATGAGCAAGAGTGCTTCTTCAAAAATTGTGAAATTCATGGCCCCTGGGTCAGGGGTTCTGGTGTTAGGGTGGGGCTCTATTGATTATCTAGTGAAAATGCATTAATTCTTTGAAAATCTTCTTCTCTGCTCCTGGGTATTAAATAAAGTAACTAAGTACATAGTTATGAGGAGCAAAAGTGCCTTTTGGAAAATTGTGAATTTCATGGCCCCAGGGTCAGGGGTTCTGGTGTTAGGGCGGGGCTCTATTGATTATATAGTGAAAAGGCATTAATTCTTTGAAAATCTTCTTCTCTGCTCCTGGGTATTAAATAAAGTAACTAAGTACATAGTTATGATGAGCAGGAGTATCTCTTCTAAAATTGTGAATTTCATGGCCCCATGGTCAGGGGTTCTGGTGTTAGGGCGGGGCTCTATCGACTATATAATGAAAATGCATTAATTCTTTGAAAATCTTCTTCTCTGCTCCTGGGCATTAAGGTGATAAACTAAGTACATAGTTATGAAGAGCAAGAGTGCCTCTTCCAAAATTTGAAATTCATGGCCCCAGGGTCAGGGGTTCTGGTGTAAGGGTGGGGCTCTATTGATTATGTAGTGAAAATGCATTAATTCTTTGAAAATCTTCTTCTCTGCTCCTTGGTATTGAATAAAGTAACTAGGTACATAGTTATGATGAGCAAGAGTGCTTCTACAAAAATTGTGAAATTCATGGCCCCTGGGTCAGGGGTTCTGGTGTTAGGGTGGGGCTCTATTGATTATCTAGTGAAAATGCATTAATTCTTTGAAAATCTTCTTCTCTGCTCCTGGGTATTAAATAAAGTAACTAAGTACATAGTTATGAGGAGCAAAAGTGCCTTTTGGAAAATTGTGAATTTCATGGCCCCAGGGTCAGGGGTTCTGGTGTTAGGGCGGGGCTCTTTTGATTATATAGTGAAAATGCATTAATTCTTTGAAAATCTTCTTCTCTGCTCCTGGGTATTAAAGTAACTAAGTACATAGTTATGATGAGCAGGAGTATCTCTTCTAAAATTGTGAATTTCATGGCCCCATGGTCAGGGGTTCTGGTGTTAGGGCGGGGCTCTATCGACTATATAGTGAAAATGCATTAATTCTTTGAAAATCTTCTTCTCTGCTCCTGGGCATTAAGGTGATAAACTAAGTACATAGTTATGATGAGGAGGTAGGCCTCTTCCAGAATTATGAAAGCCATGGCCCCTGGGTGAGGGGTTCTGATGTTAGGGCGGGGCTCTATTGATTATATAGTGAAAATGCATTAATTCTTTGAAAGTCTTCTTCTCTGCTCCAGGGTATTATTTAAACAAACTAAGTACATGGTTATGATGCATAAGGATGCCTTTTCAAAAATTGTGAATTTCATGGCCCCAGGGTCAGCGGTTCTGGTGTTAGGGCGGTGCTCTATTGATTATATAGTGAAAATGCATTGATTCTTTGAAAATCGTCTTCTCTGCTACTGGAGATTATTTAAACAAACTAAGTGCATGATTATGATGGGCAAGGATGCCTCTTCCAAAATTTTTAAATATATGGCCTCAGTTTTTGGGGTTCTTGAGGAAGGGGGGGGGGGGGCTCTATTGATTATATACTGAAAAAGCATTAATTCTATTAATTAATCATTAATTAATCCTGTCTGCTCCTTAGCGTTGAGCTGATAAATAAATTGCTTAGCTATGATGAAAATGTGAGCTTCGAACAGAATTTTTAAATCTTGTGGTCCTAGGGTCAGGGGTTCTGGCATAACTGGGGGGGGGGGGGGGGGGGCTTTTGATAATATAGTGCAAAAGTGTTAATTTTTTGAAGTCCATAGGTATGATGATGAGGGTAACTCTTCCAAATTTGTAAATTTCTTGACCCTTGGTCTTGGGTTCTGGTGTTAGGGTAAGGCTTTGTTGAAGCATTGTACCTGTGAAATTCTTCTCTGCTTCTGGGCATATCGGAAGAAAACTGAGTAAAAGTTTAAATGATATAAGTAAGCATATTTCTACCAGATTTTTGAACATCTGGACCATTTGTCTAAGCATTCTAGTCCTGGGCAGGGCTCTATTAATTTGTATTCTACTGAGAGAAGTTATTCCCCTTTTCCATTCACCTTTAATCACTGTAAATAATGTATTTGAAAGGTTAATAGAATAAGATAATTATGCAAGAATGTTTATCATATAATTCAAAAAGTATTTTCTTAGTTTTAAAATCAGGTTGACCTGTAAGTAATAGATAAATAAAAATGAGACAAAAATAACTTATCTTATTAAAAGTTCTTCAAAGACCATAAGAGAGGTCAATGCTAGAGCTCTTAATATGGGATTAAAAATAGTACTGAAGCACTAATAGTTTGTTAATAGTCTGCATGGTGATAGTGTTAAGTGGGGGACAGATTAGAACTTAATTTATGAGTTGATACTGAATACTAGACTAATTATTTTGTTGATCCTAATCTTCCTACTTCTCTTGCTTTAGGGCAACAAAGCTTCATCTATCAGTGTATTTAACTTCTAAATTGTTGTATTATACTCAGGTGACCGTTAAGGCCCTTGGGCCTCTTGTCATTATACGAGACCGATTGCCTGAGGTGACAAAGTAGGTCAAACACGGCATGATAATTACGCAAAATTAGAATGTTATGACCATGGGTAATAATTGTATATGACATACTCAATTGTTTTTAAAACTATGATTATATGTTTTCATAACTACCGTATTTACAAAAAAAATTAAACAGTAACTTTGATCTAAAGGGGGAAGCCGAGAAAATTAAGCGGTAAAGTTGTACGACGATCAATGACTATTGTGACGCTATATATATGATATGAAGTTTGACGAGTGGAAATTTTGACGAGAAAAGAAAAATCGTCAATATAGTCAAAATTAGCATGTCGTCAAAATTTCCACGTTTACAGTACCTGGGATTAGACCTTTAATGGTTGATAGGAACATTGATTTATAAAGATAATAAATTATTTAATTATTAATATTTAATTGATTAATTAATAAAGATACATATGAACAAGGATCTAGTATTAAGAATAAAGAGACTTGTTATTTTGGTCTTTTGAAGATCTGCTATCTAATGTGTTATGCTAATTTTTTCACACTTACCTTCCTTAGCTTGCCCCAGCGCCTAGTCCGGGATTCAGAAAACCGGCCAGTAACACGGTATCCAGGCGACCACTGTCACGCCCAGCAACAGCTACAGGTCATAGGTCACCCAGCCCAATACAAAGATCAAATTCACCAGAAATTGCGTAAGTTTAGTGAAAACTTTACTGTTCTATGTAACAGTTCCTTCATTTATACTGTAAATCCCTTTTTCTTCGCGAGAACTTTTTTTTTTCAAGTAATTACCCAAGACTATTTGCTTGCGAAAATTTCATTCTCGCATGTATTTGTTTTGTAAAAGATAATGTACAGCAGTAGCCAAAATTCATGAAAATTTTGTCTTGTTTATAAAAATTAAATCACTTTACTGCGAAAATAAAGTTTAGTTTAAGTGGGGTTTGGAGAGTATTACTCTGCTCCAGATTTATTTGTATATTATTGTTGATAACTACAGTAAAACATGAGTATAGCTAGTACTGTTGTATTTGCTGATGATGAAGGCAGCTTTTCCACCCAGTTCTACAGAATTAGTATGAATGTCAGGCATAACAGAGCAGTGTTACCTGTTCACAGGAGTTAATGTCACTAATTGTCACTACTCATTTGATGATTTTGCTTTGTATTTTCCCTAACTTTCCAATTACCTTTGTCAATCTAGAACTGACAGACCAAGACCACATACATCATTCTCTCCCCACAACCCTCCCCATGGTGTTGAATTTCTGGAGCCCCACCCCCCAAAATCTGCAAGGTCAGGCACACCCAGTAGGACTGCAGAGGCCATTGACTGGAGAGGGAAGATCATTCCAGACACAGAACGTGCTAAGTATGTAGTCATATGTAATTAAAAATGGTCTAAAAGATGAGTTAATGGTCTTTTTATTTGTTTTATGATAAGCATTCAATCAGTCATACAGTACTTAAACTTAAGAGAAATCATTTCATAACTGACGTGAAATCATTAAAGTTTAAACAAAATATAAATACTGTATTTGCTCTCTTTTTTTCTTTTTTTGTATATGTAGAAATCCATATTTGGGTCGCTTTTGATATAGAATTAGTATGTTAATTCATGGAAACATATAATTCTTTTGACATAAATGTAAAACCTTAAGATTTTTATGATGCTAACTTAATGTATGATTAAGTAAGTACGAATCTGTGACTTTCTGGCAAATCATTAATGTCATTAAATGAATACAATTTTAAGGATTTTCTTTTTCTTTCAGGTGGCAAAAGTCAAAGTTTGGAGACCATACATATGTCAAGAAAATGAAAGGGAAACGTCCAGTTGGTGCGACACATGCTGGTAAAAGGCCAAAAACTGCTCCCGTTTCTGTTCAGGAACGCTGGAAAATAGAGAAGGTTATTACTTCTGGACAACTTTTAACAGGAAAATGTTATTATGAACAAAATAACAGAGCAGAACATATTCTCAGAAAAGAAAAAAGTGTAACTGAGCAAAAACATTAACTCCAGCAGTATATTTTAGTTAGTAATGAGATAAGGGAGATAAATCTGAGTGTAAAATTGGTTACAGGAGAGTGACTCTAACACCAGAGTGGAGTCTCAGGCGGCGACAAACACAATGACGGAGATGGACCCTAAAGCTGTGGACTCATTGATGAGAGTACAACCTATAGAGAACTGGAACACAGGGTACTGTTTTATAATTTATTTTTAATGAATGACAAAGAATTGCACTTCAGAAAATAATTGAGTTTCTGTTTTTTCAGAATGGGATCCATGAGTTCTATATTACTGGATGAGGTGAGCCATTACATTGAACCATAATGATTTATTTTTAACTGTTCATTGTTTTATTTCTGCTAGTTAAAGCTTTTGTTGATGACCTGCTCTTCTGTAGGATTTCCTTCGTTCTCTGAGTGGTAGCAGGCACACTGGTCACCCAACTACAGACACCACCACCCCTGTACCCATGGAGTATGTTCCTATTGTGTCATCAGCACCGCGCTCACTGGCAGGTAAGAGAAAATAATATATAGGTCAATCAGAGTTCAAGACAGAGTTATATTAAGATTCCTTATAGGTAAAATAAGGTAACGACGGGTAAGACAAATTACTAGTATAACATAAAAGATAGAAGCCAGGATATTCTATGTGTGTTCACCTTAAAAGACACCAATATTATCACAGGTAGTCCAATTATGTATTCAATTTCTATGAGTGTTGATATGCATCTTCTGCAGAGTATGATGGGTAATCTATTTTTTTATTTGCATGAGATAATGGATACTTGCCCAAGACAAAAAAATACTATAATTTTAAAATCCAAAAAATAACTCTCCTTTTATAAAAGTTTAAAATAAATTCTTGTAACTGATATATATATCTGGAATGTATATTAAAGAAAAGTCTACTTCTTTAAGTATGTTTTTTTTTATGTAACTTACTGTGGAATCATTAAAATTTGTTGGTGCCAATTTTCGTGGATTGCTTAAATTTTACAGGTTTTTGGGAATGAAATTCCGTGTATTCTCTTATACCTACTAACAAATATGACTTGGCAACTATACTTTATTAATTTGTGAAGGATGTTCATTCATGGATGAAAGGTACCCATGAATTCCATGAAATTGAGCAACCACGAAAACTAATAATAGTAATAATTCCACAGTAATTACTTTGTAGAGAAAATAGAATACTTTGCCGTATTTTTATTAACTGTACTGAAGTAAAAGCTTTGTAGTCAAATTGATATAATTCTTCTATGGGAAGCCATAAACTTGACACATAAAGTTTACTTGATCCTAGCTTATTTTATCCCAAGGTCGACAAAAAGAAGTTCAAGGTCAGACATTTTCAAATTCTAGGTGTGATCTACTTCAGTCTGAAGCTATCTGTCTCAAGGACAAAGTCTATATTGCTTTCACTGTGGTATTTACTTCTTTGTATGTTTTTGTGATTTTTAAATCACAAAAAGAAGTTCAAGGTCAGACATTTTCAAATTCTAGGTGTGATCTACTTCAATCTGAAGCTATCTGTCTCAAGGACAAAGTCTATATTGCTTTCACTGTGGTATTTACTTCTTTGTATGTTAGTCTGTTATCAGAAAGGTATTATTTATACGTTGTATTCTTTAAATAACGTAAGTCACGAAAACAAGAGTTTTATGTAGTTGTCCTCACAGAAAAAAAAGTTGCACCAATAAAAATAGCAGGTAACACTAATTACAATGTATCTTTTGTGTAGGTAATATGCAAAAGTTGTGTCTTGCAAATAAATGCAGCGATATTGGTCGCAAAAATAAAATATCAAAAAAATGATGTACATGTACCTTATATTTCTAATTTCAGTCTGAGACCTTGTAAAATGTAGCTATGTCAGCTAGTTCTAGATATTAAACTATGTGAAATATACACATTATTTAATAAAAACAGGAGGTTGCATTTATTTTTTGATAGGAAAAGTTTATGAAAATATTTGCCCCACCAAGCAACTAAATCCTAGAGGATAACATTACTTCTATAAGTAAAACAAACAGTCATATTAGAGCATATTTATTCCTATTTACCTTGAGAGTTTAGGAGCCAGTTGAATTAAACTTTGTTGGTATGTAAACCTACTTACAAATAATGACGTAACAAAAAAATTAAACGAATATGAAGGAGCTCTTATCTTCATTTAAAAAAATAAAACTGCCTCACTCTCCTTCCAAATTTAAGCATGCTGTCTGGAATTTGAAAGTTCCCTTAATTTGTTGGGAACCTTGAATGTGTGTGTGTGTGTTTGTTTTTTTTTTTAAATTTTTTTGCAGTGTTTGGGGGTAATTGGACTTCGGAACGTTGCTTTATTTGGCTGTAACTTTTTTAAGTTGGGTTGAATTACATTTTAAGCCCACTATCAGTACTGGACCCCCAAATACCCTGCAATATTACCCCGTCTGTTGAAGAAAGACATCCTATGTGATTCTCAAGGATTATCAATGAAACTTTAAAATGAGATAAATATTTGCCCATTTTGTTAAATTTTTTTTTCAATGACTTGACAAATTTGAGATATTCCTCTGTAACTTATGAACAAAGAGGAACTTGTTAAAACATTTTTGTTTAGTTTGTGAGTTGGATATTTGACTCAGTATAGTAAGTACCTTATGACCAAAAGAAGGGAAATTTTAAAAAAATATCTTGGATTTCAAATTGCTTTATACAGCATTGTAAGTAGCAACTTAATGCCAACTTTATTGCCCTCACCTCTCTATCCATTAAGCATTGGGGGGGGGGGGGATGTTATTGAAGCATTTCCTTTTTGTTTTGGTCTGCCTCTAAGCTTGACTATATGGGTCACAGATTTCTTATCTAGGTGTGTCAAGGTCAAAGCCTCAGATCAAGGCCATACATTGAATTCTATAATGTTATATTGAACAAGCACCATTTGATTTAGTCCCCAGAAATAGCATTTTATAACCATATTTGTAATAACATTTTACTAACTCACTGATACATGCATAGACAAATTTTATTTTAGACTTATTGTCCAGATAAAATATGAACAAATCCTCCATTTACAAATCAATGTTTCTGTTTGGACTTGATTAAAGGAATCATTCTTATGGTAAGTTGTGGTCAATCACCATAGCCCTCCTCTCTTACATCTGTATAACTCTAAATAAGTTTTGTCAAAACTTGGAATATATAAACATGTATGTAGGATATAAATAGCTATAGAAATAGGTTACATGAACTATATATATCAATGGGGGCTCTAAATACTTGACTCTGATATAGTACCGTGTTTCCACTGATTGAAATTGCCCTGGCCTTTAATAATCCAAGGGATTATCACTAACTCTTAATCTCTTTAATCTTCCTCTGACTTTATCAGAAAGGTCTAGTTAGTGTTTGTCCTCCTGGAAACCTATTTAGAATAAGACAGGTAGGCACAGTTTTCATAGAGGTATCTGAATTTCTTTTTAATGAGAATGTTCTATAACACCCAGCATTTATTGTGGGGTCAGAGTTTGACAGAAATTGAGTGGAATGTAAGAGTCAGCTGGCATTTTGAAATTCTTGTTAACAGGTTCCATTAAAATACAGACTCCCAGTTAAAATTAAGTAAAAATCATCAAAAGAAGTTGTAAAATTTTACAAAATTTAGTCTCTCAGTTAACACCCAGAATGTGAAGGGTTTTTTTTTTCATGATATTGCTGTGATTTTTCAGTGAATAAAAAACACATTCGCTTTGGAAAAGGTAGGTTAGAATGATTTTAGTTTGGCTATACAGGATGATTTTCTAATTTTTGCTTTATAAGATGTAGTATTGTGACCAACATTGTCGGTGTCCATTTTAAATGTCAGAGATCATAATAATCATGTATTTGAATTTGAAGGATTGACGTTAGTAACACTATCAGTATTCTTTTTTGTTTTCATTGTAATACAGTGGCGCCTCCTTTATCCGGACGCCTCTGTCCCCAACGAAATCGTCCGGATAAATGAATCGTCCGGATAAGTGAATCACTTCTCAAAAAACACTCTCCAAGCATAAATACAAGCCATCTTCATGATTATCAATATTTTTTCTGCAGACGCTAAGTTTGAATTTCGATCATTAAAAAATACCTTGAAAAACGTAATCAACTTCTATACCTAACGCCAGTTTAATATTATTTTTCTAAAGTAATATACGTTTATGGACTGTAGTACATTAAATAGAAAGATATTTCTTCAATCATGTACCATTCTAAACTATCTTGTGGGAAAAAAGGTGTTTTTAATGCATTTACGTTTTTAGAAATGGAATATCGTATTTTAAACTAATGCAATCAACATGATAAAGAGCATTACGAAATCGCTCATAATTCATTGTTCATTTTATTTACAACTCTTCAAAATTCTCATGAATTCACTGATGAATATACGGTTAGCAATATGATTTTAAACGGATTTTTATTTAATTAATTCACAGTGTAAGCGTAATTCTTCGAGCTTCAAAATAAACGTTGATTTAATTGGGATAAACACACGCTAATTATACACGCTATTGTTTGTAGGTCACAGGTAACCGCCTTCAATCCGACTGCATGGCCAGTGTTTTTACAACAATTACCACTAGTCGTGATAAGTGTGAAAAAGTTTGTTTTGAAAAATTACCGTCAGGATAAACGAGTCATTTTTCAATGAAGTATTACATTTGTAGTAGAAATCGACCGTCCAGATACGGAACGCGAATTTCCGGATAAATGAGACAAAATAACGTGGGAAAAATCGGTTCCCAAAAAATATCGTCCAGATGGTGAAGCGTCCGGATAAATGGCGTCCAGATAAACGCGGCGCCACTGTAATTAATTGTTCTTTTTAAGAGAGATCGCTTATTAGTGTGACTGCTTTAAATATTTACTTCTCTGGTGGTGGATTTCAATTAGGTAGCTTTTTGCCAGTTTTCATTTCTGAAAATTCATTTGATGTTTTCCCTAAACACATTTATGTCAAAAATGTCAGAATTTTAATAATAAAATTACACCTTTGTGTCATGATAGCCTAGTTGGAATCATATAACTTACAGGTATTTCAAATTTAGACATAAAGTCCTTTAAATGTTACAGTCAGATTCTGTTTGTATGTGATTGTATGGCATATTTAAAAAATAGCACAACTTTTTGAACTATAGAAAATCAAGAATTATATTATTGTTGGTTAAAATTTTGGCACAATTTTGACAATGAACAAACATACTAAGGACTGTGCTAGAAGGAGCAAGATATGGACCCTTTTAATAGAGAGTATATAAGATCTACTACACATGTAGTTTGTGATTGGATTGGAATTTTATCCAACTTGTTTTCTATCGAGTATCACTTTTATAAAAATAGTAGAACTTTGTTATCTTAAACTCCATATCTAGAATGCCATGGATATGTCAAAGTGAGTTGAAAGTCCCACTTACATATTCTTTATGTAATTTACCCTAAATATATCAAACCATTGGATATATATAGGATCTTCTATGATTTTTTGTTGGATATGATTTTTATTCAATGAGTAATCAGTACTGTTGTGTGTTTTTTTTTATCCACGAGCCTTAGCAAGGGGATAAAAAACACACAAGTTGGATAAAATTCATATCTAACCACAAATCATGGAAGATTTTTTTATCACATGTTTTATAATACATTATTAACAATGTTTTACACAGTTTTTGCATGATTCCACATTATTTTTACTTCATCACTTTCACGCAAAACCCATTGTGACATCACTGCAGTGGGATATGAAAAGAAAAAAATCCATGAGTGATATCCACGGGATAAAGGAGTAAATATATGATAAATCAGAGTTTGAGATAATGAGGTTTTACTGTATTTTTAATAGAATTTAAGTGCACATAAATGAAAGAATTTTTTTTTCAACCAGTGTATTTTCAATATTTAAGCTTTTATTATATATGCATTTGCATTATCACTTTTATAGACATTTTAAATATATTGAAAATTTATTTTTGCCAAAGTTGAGTTAAACAAAAAAAAATTCAGCAGAATTATGACAACCATGACAAAGATCTTCTTCAGTCTCAAAATATAGGGAAAATGTACATTAAATAACAGATTTTCAATTCATTTTATCTGAAATGCATTTCCAGGTTTCATTCATCTCATGCAAAATCTTCACATGGGGAGATTTTTCTTTATTTCGATCAGCATTATTGATAAATTGCAAGAATCAATGCAAGAATTATTCAAGCTAGATTTTAAAATATAATATCAGTATGATATGAGAACTTGGATTTTAGGAACCTCAGATAACAGTCCAAAGACAGCAGTGTTGTTCAGAGTTTATGTACTAAAATTTTACAAAATAATGAACATGTATAAACAAGACTTAGAAGCTACAAATTTAACAAAATTGAAGTTAGATTCAATTAACTGATACAAAGTGATATTTTTCTATTACTTAAAATTTGCAAAACTTTGAGTGAAGGTAAATCTATTTTACAACTGTCAGATAGTAAATGTAAATATATGAGAGATGTGGTACCCAAACACTCTCTGTGTACTTAAGTCTCTCCTGAGTTTACTTTTGTTTGGACACTAAATTTCAGAATATTGACTTTTATATTTAGAGACAAGGTTTAACATATAGTTCTGGAAAGTTAACAAAATATTGGTTATTGAAAATTTTTAATTTCTTTTGTAAAAATCAGCAGGCATTACATCAGTGTTTGATGATGTGAGTGTTGAACTGTTAACTCAAAGTTGTGATGGTTTGTTGAAATGTTAAATGTGGGAGAATGTCAAGTTACTCATTTCTTACTATTCATTAAAAACTAGGTGAAGGAAGTTTTTAATTTTTATAAACAAATATTTTTAAATGACTGTCTCTTGATATTTGAAGAAAGTGATTGTCTTTGGTTTCAGAAAGAACTTTTTCTGGTTTCTTATCTAAGCATACAGAAAATAGCCATGCAAAGAACACGTGTATTACATTATGTACATAACAATTGAAAATAACAGAAAACTTGTATATCATGTTGTTGAAGTGGATTAGAGAGCGTCTGAACCCATCATTATAATTTACACGCTATAACAGATAAACGGGCTCTAGAACTGGCCGCGGAGATGAGAGGGCTTTGTAAGGACCCACTGTTTGTATACCTGGTTCTGATTGTTTTATTTTTACGCAGGTAGTCGAGCCCAAAGTCGTCAGACACGATCCCGATCAGAAACAAGGGCCGAGAGTCGAGTTGACGAGTAAGTCACAAAATTTTATCTCTCATTACTTGCACTAGAATTTTTACAGACAAATTTATTTCTCTATCAATGCATGAATTTCTTTTACTCCTGAATCAGTTATTATAGAATTTGTCTTCTTTTTTTTTCTTTCAACCTTTTTATTTTTAATTTTCAAAATTATTCAACCAATTAAAAATATTTTTATGTCACTAAAATTTTTTTTTCTTAGATCTTACAAATTTTTCTTGATAAAGTTTTGGTTAAAGGCAAAGTAACTAGTACCTGGATGATTTGATGTAAACAAAGGGAATTTTCAGTGTTGAACATCATTTAAATGTACCGGATTTCTAGTTCCCAGTGTTGTAAAGAAATAATATGTTGAAGAGCAGGAATTTCTACTTTGCTTAAGTTTAAGAATTATCAATTGGAAATTGGGCTAATCTGGGTAAGGTTTAATTTTTCACAGATTAAATGTGATTTGTTATAGTTCAATACAGCTAAGTGCTGTTTTAAATGCGACTAGTATGTTTTTTTTTAATATGAATTAAACAGGTTACAGAATTAGTGATATTTTATTAATAATTATGTAATGTCTTGTTTCATCTGCACTAAATATTAAATATAATTCTGCATAGAACAGACAAGGAAGGCTTATAAGGAAAATTTGTAGAAATTTAGTAACTGCAGTGTCAACTCTAAAAATTTTTGTTACTGTAAATACAATGTTGCTTAATTACCTGCAAAAATTTAGAGCACCGTCTTTGGCTGAATAGATACAATATTTATCTATATGTGACCCTTGGCACCATAAAGGTGACTTAGCTCTACACCTTTAGTTGTGTGACTTTTGACCAGTTTAAGCCCTACTAATCCTCTGTGCATTTTACCTCAATCTAACGCCTAACAGCCAGCGCCAGAATTCAAACAGAGTATTTCTGAGAGCAGATTAACATAACAGAGCACCAAGAAAAGAGGAATAAGAGCCCAACTCCTGTATTTAAACCTTTAATTTGTCACAGCCAGAGGTGATAAAACTGGTTCATTGTAGAGTTATGTTTAATTGATTACAGGTAAATAGTCAGGCACTTCCGACCACTGATAACCTTGTATACAAGTAGCACAATAAAAACCAAAGTTCTTGGCTCGGAGTTTGTGGATGATTTTCTTCTACTGTTTTATCAGATTTTCCCTAAACAGGATATATTCACTTTAGATATTCTAATGTTTATCACATTTAAATCTTGTTGAAGCAAAAGGAAGTTTCAAATAAAACACTCTGTTATCAGTCACTTTAAAAGCCTGCCAAGGATGTGTTCACTAATATTTATTTATTTGAAGCCAAAAGTTGTTAATGGTTGTTCTTTGACTTTGTGTGGTCACAATCATTACAGTTCATTCTTTTTCTGTAGAATACCAGAGGACCAGCCAACATGTGATGGTCAAGAACCAGTCAAAGGAGAATTGGAAGAACAAGTTTCTGAGGACCACCATCTCCACGGAAACCAACCAGAACCTGACCAAGCTCAGCAACCAACTGTTCATTTTCAAACACCAGATTTACAGGTACATATTTTAAACAGTGGGCATGTAAAGCAGCTTATTGAAAATATAACAGTCTGATTTAAGAAAATATCTTTTATTTAAAGCTAAAGCAATAGTACATGATTAAATTTGATTTAATTGCATCAAAATAATATTTTAGAGAATACGGAGAGGATTTTTGAGATTAAAAATAAAATCCAAATGTTCTCCCTACAAATGTAAAAGTTGTAATATTTATTACCAGGACGAGGATTTAGAGGGTAAGCAGGATTTAGGAGATGTTCCTGGTGTGGGGACTGTTAGCATCGATGATCAGGGGCGAATAATTGGTATCATCAAGGAAGATGACAATGTTTCTGTGACAACCACCACAACACTTGAGGAAGATCAGATAGCACCACGACAACCAATTCGGTTCCACACCGAGGATTTACACAATGGACAGGTCCACATAGAAGTCACATCAGTGCCATCTGCAGGCCGGGCACCAACACCGCAGGAGTTTAGACAGCGCCCCCTACAGGTCCTTAGTCGATCAGAGACCTGGAATTTTACTCCTGATGTAGAGCTACAGGAAGTGGATTCTGAGAAGTATCTCCCCGATCAGAAGACACCAAAATCAACAGGTCTCTTCCAGAAGGGAGATATTTGGTATAAGACAATTGTTAAACCGGAGAACTATTGCTTTGAGTGCCTCCCTAACAGTATGTCCACTAAAGTGGGCAGGAGTGCCGGCAGGATGCCAGGCCGTCCACAAAGTGTGTCTGCCCAGGTGCTACGAATGGCTCGTAAACAGAATGATTATTTTAGGAGAGCCCCTCCTGTTAGAACCCCACCCTCTATCCCTAGTCCCTACCATCAGCCTGGTGTGTCACCGAGACATGGAGAAACTTACAACTCAGGACTTGAGCACCATGCAAGGAGAGTAAAAAGTCCACGACACTTCATGGAGCATGGTAAGATTGTAATTTATCATTATATAGAGACATGATTGAATTTAATGCAAAGTTTCAAAGTATGATGACCTGTGTTAAATGAGACCATATGATTATGGAAAAGTAAACAGAATTTGTGTATATACACTCAAAGTTCTTATTTGTTTTGTAATATTTGAAGGTTCCAATATTGCTGAATTTGTAACGGGTAATTAGAGTGATAAATTAACTTTAATAATTGGTATCAAAATTACCACCAGAAAATGAAAAGATAGTTACTTTCCTTTAATAAAGTAGCAGATTTGAGTAGATTCAGTGTTGCTTTGTAATGACAGTGCAGTTTTCACTACAAAATTTGTCTGTGCAGAAGTGCACGCTGTTTAATTTTATTTGTGTTAGCTCCGTGCAGCTTGTGTCAATAGATACCTTGGCATGAACAATTTGTCTGTTGATTTTTAAAAGCCATTAAAAGGTAAAAAGAAGTGGTTCACATTGTTTTATTAAAGACTATGATGGGAAACGATAATTAAATGTTTGATAGTAGGGCGGGTCTACCTAGAGAAAATCATTTTCTCTGAGTATGTTTGATACCAGTTTATCATAATGGAAATAGTTCTGTATATGTGTTAGTAAATGTGTTTCAATCAATTGTTGAGTAGCAGGTGTAGTTTTTTACCATGTACAGTTATATTTTGTTCTGATGCATACAGGTTCAATGTAAAGGAAATTGTGCTTACCTTAAAAATCATTTAAACTGATACAGATTTTTAATGCCAATTAAAGAAAATATAAAATCCTCAAAAATTTCACTTAACAATTGCAGGCTTGAAAAAATAAAAATGCAATCTGTAAATTATTTTCAAAATAAAAATGCCAGAATCCTAGTTTAAGCAAGTGATACAATCATGTAATGTAATTCATATAACAATAATATCTTACAAACAGCTATCATGGTGTAATACAAGTAACTCTTGTAATAGCTTGTATAGTTTTAGGTAATGGGAATGTGTTAGAGTTACATGTGTTGGCTAATGAAGGTAGCTTAATTGTTTTCTCAGTTTTGAATTGTATATCATGTGAAACTTAATATTCACTTACTAAATATTATGTGAAAAATAATTTGTTGATAGTTTTAAATCAAATGTTACTACAAGATAATTTAATAATTTTTTGTCTTTAGTAGCTATCTGGAATTCAATTCTTGGTTGTTAAATTCCAAATTACAAAAAAAAAGGCAAAAAATTTATTGTTGGTCTCTCATACTTGACTGTCAAAATAAACATATTTTTTGTCTTTTATGGAATTTTAAAGCTGCTCAAATACTATTTGTAAAATAGCCAGAAGTTTATTTCAATCTTCATAAATAATTAACTGTGAATTGTAGTTAGTTTGACCCAGTAGAAGTACATTTTTATGTTTCAATTGATTTTTATGCCCCGCCATGAATATGGCCGGGGCATATAGTGTTTGTCATGTCCGTCTTCCGTCCTTCCGTCCTTCCGTCTGTCCTTCCGTCACACTTTGCGTTTAGCTCTGTTCAAAGCTCAGTTTCAAAGAAACTATCCAAGATATTTTTATCAAACTTCATATGCTGATAGATATTGATGAGGGCTATGCAACTGCATCAACATTTTTTGACCTTGACCTTTCCTTTGACCTTGACCTCACTTTTCTTAAATTAGTGTTAAGCTCAGTTTTAAAGATACCATTCAAGATAGTGTAATGAAACTTCATATGTTGATACCTACTGACGTAAGCTATTCAACTGCATCAACATATTTTGACCTTGACCTTTCTTTTGACCTTGACCTCACTTTTCTTAAATTAGTGTTTAGCTCAGTTTTAAAGATACCATTCAAGAAAGTGTAATCAAACTTCATATGTTGATACCTACTGATGTAAGCTATTCAACTGCATCAACATTTTTTGACCTTGACCTTACTTTTGACCTTGACCTCACTTTTCTTAAATTGGTGTTTAGCTCAGTTTTAAAGATACCATTCAAGATAGTGTAATCAAACTTCATATGTTGATACATACTGATGTATGCTATTCAATTGCATCAACATTTTTTGACCTTGACCTTTCCTTTGACCTTGACCTCACTTTCCTTAAATTAGTGTTAAGCTCAGTTTTAATGAAACCATTCAAGATATTTTTAACAAACTTCATATCCTGATACATACTGATGTAACCTTTTCAACTGCATCAACATTTTTTGACCTTGACCTTTCCTCTGACCTTGACCTCACTTTTCTTAAATTAGTGTCAAACTTCATATGCTGATACATACCAATAAGAGCTATTCAACTGCATCAATATATTTTGACCTTGACCTTTTCTTTGACCTTGACCTCACTTTTCTTAAATTAGTGTTTAGCTCATTTTTAAAGAAACCATTCATAATATTTTCATCAAACTTCATATGCTTATACATACTGATGTAACCTTTTCAACTGCATCAACATTTTTTGACCTTGACCTTTCCTCTGACCTTGACCTCACTTTTCTTAAATTAGTGTTAAACTTCATATGCTGATACATACCGATGAGAGCTATTCAACTGCATCAATGTTTTTTGACCTTTACCTTTCCTTTGACCTTGACCTCACTTTTCTCAATTTGTGTTAAAATGTTGCATTACTAATATACCCTCGGCGGGGCATTCATGTCCTATGGACATATTTCTAGTTTTATTTAGTACCAATATTGACAAGTAATGTCTCAATTTCTTTACTTGACTTAAAGATGTCTTTACAATTTATACAATTCTTTTTCTCCAGTGGTGGATCTAAGGAAGGACACTGTGTCTGCTCCCCCTGGATCCCAGTTCAGCAGGGAAGACAGTCTGATGGATTCCCTCCAGGTGTGTCGGCTGTCCACCAGAGGGAGTCTTATAGAGGGGCTGGAGGGTAAGTCACCAAATCACAGAACGACCACCAGAGGGAACCCTATAGAGGGACTGGAGGGTAAGTCATTAAATCCCAGAACAGCCAACAGAGGGAGCCTCATATAGGGGCTGGAGGGTAAGTCAGCTACTCCCAGAATGACCACCAGAGGGAGCCTTATAGAGGGACTGGAGGGTAAGTCACCAACTCACAGAATGACCACCAGAGGGAGCCTTATAGAGGGATTGTAGGGTAAGTCACCGACTCCCAGAATGACCACCAGAGGGAGCCTTAAATAGGGTTGGAGGGTAAGTCAGTGACTCCCAGAACAGCCTCACAGAGGGCTGCAGATATTGTCAAATTGTAAACACAGACACTACAGAACATTGTACATTGATATAAGAACACACATAAAAGCTATGTTATACACTGATTCAAGAATAATAGCCTCTCTGCTTCGCAGAGGAATCACAAACACATCAAAATATGTTATTTTTAAAGAACATTTTGATTGAAGAAAGTTGATACAAAAATGTTAAAATAAATCCCTAATAAAGGTAAGCATTCATGTTAAGCCCACAAAATGACTGATTATGATTTACCTTTCCAAAATTTGTAGAGAAACCAAGTGAAGAACAAGAGGGAAATGAAACCAAGAAGGTGGCTTTTCTTGATGAACATGAGCCATCCATGGAGGAAAAGAAAAGTCTCATCTCTACAACCTCCAAGTTTTCCAACTCTTCACTGCAGTCAATAGCTCACATAGGTCGACCTATCGCTCAGGTGTCCCGGATACCAGACCCGGTAAGGAACAGTGTGGGGGGGAGGGGGGGTGTTAGATCTTTAAAATTAAAATTTTCATTTAAAAAAGGATTTTTTTTTACATGACACACAACTGTCTGCAAAGTGATTAAATGCTTTACTTAAAGAAAAACTAAATTTTATGGTAATATTTTAATTTTACATCTTGACTGATGAGTTTATGGAAATCCTATTAACTACAAAATGGTCTTTCCTGCAAATTTATCATATATTACTTACATAGAGATCTTTTATAATCTGTGACAGGATGAAGAAGCAGCTGCTGCTCGGACACAGTTTGAGGCCAAGGCAGCAGTAGACATCCAGAGGTCTGTATAAATCTTCCTCCTTTGACTGGAGAGCTATATTACTTAAAAAAAATTTTTGTGTCATGCAACCAGCGCAAATGTTTTTATATACATTTAAGTTTTGTATAACTAGGCTAGGTGTTCTTTTATTTTTCATTCATTGGTTTTTTTTAGCTCACCTGAGCTGAAAGCTCAAGTGAGCTTTTCTGATCACATTTTGTCCGGCGTCCGTCTGTCTGTCCGTCTGTCTGTCTGTCCGTCTGTCTGTCTGTCTGTCTGTCTGTCTGTAAACTTTTCACATTTTCGACATCTTCTCAAGAACCACTGGGCCAATTTCAACCAAACTTGCCACAAAGTATCCTTGGGTAAAAGGGATTCAAGTTTGTTCAAATGAAGGCCACGCCCTCTTTCAAGGGGAGATAATTAGGAATTAGTGAAAAAATAATGGCAACATTTAAAAATCTTCTTCTCAAGAACCATAGGGTCAGGAAAGATGAAACTCATGTGGAAGTTTGTTCAAATCATGACCCCCGGGGCTAGGGCGGGGCCACAATGGAGGATCAAAGTTTTACATAGAAATATATAGGAAAAATCTTTAAAAATCTTCTTCTCAAGAACAGCAAAGCCATGATGAGTCATATTTATGTGGAAGCATCCTCAGGTAGTGTAGATTCAAGTTTGTTCAAACCATAACCCCCGGGGTAGGGCGTGACCACAATGGAGGATCAAAGTTTTACATAGAAATATATAGGAAACATTTTTAAAAATCTTCTCCTCAAGAACAGCAAAGTCATGATGAGTCATATTTATATGGAAGCATCTTCCGGTAGTGTAGATTCAAGTTTGTTAAAATCATGACCCCTGGGGGTAGGGCGGGGCCACAATGGAGGATCAAAGATTTACATAGAAATATATAGGAAAAATCTTTAAAAATCTTTTTCTCAAGAACAGCAAAGCCATGATGGGTCATATTTATATGGAAGCATCCTCAGGTAGTGTAGATTCAAGTTTGTACAAACCATGACCCCTGGGGGTAGGGCATGACCACAATGGAGGATCAAAGTTTTACATAGAAATATATAGGAAAAATCTTTAAAAATCTTCTTCTCAAGAACAACAAAGTCATGATGAGTCATATTTATATGGAAGCGTCCTCAGGTAGTGTAGATTCAAGTTTGTTCAAATCATGACCCCCAGGGGTAGGGTGGGGCCACAATGGAGGATCAAAGTTTTATATAGAAATAATTTATATAGGAAAAATCTTTAAAAATCTTCTTCTCAAGAACAGCAAAGCCATGATGTGTTTTATATATATGGAAGCGTCCTCAGGTAGTGTAGATTCAAGTTTGTTCAAATCATGACCACTGGGGGTAGGGCAGGGCTGCAATGGACTATCAAAGTTGTACATAGAAATATATAGGAAAAATCTTCTTCTCAGGAACAGCAAAGCCCAGATTGTTCATATTTATATGGAAACATCCACAGGTAGTGTAGATTCAAATTTATTCAAATCATGACCCCTAGGGGTAGGGTGGGGCCACAATGGAGGATCAAAGTTTTACATAGAAATGTATAGGAAAAATTTTAAAAATCTTCTTCTCAGGAACAGCAAAGCCCTGATTGATCATATTTATATGGAAGCATCTTCAGGTAGTGTAGATTCTATTTTGTTCAAATCATGACCCCCGTGGGTAGGATGGGGCCACAATGGAGGATCAAAGTCTTAAGTAGAAATATATAGGGAAATATCTTCTTCTGAAGAACTGCAAACCATGATTAGTCATATTTATATGGAAGCGTCCTCAGGTAGTGTAGATTCAAGTTTGTTCAAATCATGACCCCCAGGGGTAGGGTGGGGCCACAATGGAGGATCAAAGTTTTATATAGAAATAATTTATATAGGAAAAATCTTTAAAAATCTTCTTCTCAAGAACAGCAAAGCCATGATGTGTTTTATATATATGGAAGCGTCCTCAGGTAGTGTAGATTCAAGTTTGTTCAAATCATGACCACTGGGGGTAGGGCAGGGCTGCAATGGACTATCAAAGTTGTACATAGAAATATATAGGAAAAATCTTCTTCTCAGGAACAGCAAAGCCCAGATTGTTCATATTTATATGGAAACATCCACAGGTAGTGTAGATTCAAATTTATTCAAATCATGACCCCTAGGGGTAGGGTGGGGCCACAATGGAGGATCAAAGTTTTACATAGAAATGTATAGGAAAAATTTTAAAAATCTTCTTCTCAGGAACAGCAAAGCCCTGATTGATCATATTTATATGGAAGCATCTTCAGGTAGTGTAGATTCTATTTTGTTCAAATCATGACCCCCGTGGGTAGGATGGGGCCACAATGGAGGATCAAAGTCTTAAGTAGAAATATATAGGGAAATATCTTCTTCTGAAGAACTGCAAACCATGATTAGTCATTTTGATATGGAAGCATCCTCAGGTAGTGTAGATTCAGTTTTGTTCAAATGATGACCCCCAGGGGTTGGATGGGGCCCATTGGGGGATCAAAAGTTTTACATAAGAACATATAGAAAAAATATTTCTTCTCAAGTACAGGAAAGCTATGTTTAGTCATATTGATATGGAAGCATCTTCATGTAGTGTAGATTCAAGTTCAAATGATGACCCCTGGGATAGGGAGGAGCCACAATGGAGGATCAAATTTTTACAAAGGAATATATGGGAAAATTATTTTAAAATCTTCTCAAGTATAATAAAGCCATTTGTTATATTGACATGGAAGCATCATCAGGTAGTTTAAAATTCAAGCCACCCCCCCCCCCCCCCCCCCCACCCCCAGGTAATCTTTTCAATACTGAACTGATTTGTGCTTTTGCCTAGCCAATGTGCTCAGGTGAGCGATGTGGCCCATGGGCCTCTTGTTTTTTTTATAATTGCAGAATTTTCCGAGGTTATGTTGCAAGAAATGTTTACAAAAAACTAATGAAAGAAGAAAGAGAAAGACTTGAAGATGAACGAAAGGCGGCAGTAGAAATTCAGAGGTATTCAAAGCGTTAAAACAAGGAATATTTATTCTGTTATGTTCAGGTAAAAGTAAGTTTGTCCACAAAGTAATATAAAATACTCAGGACCAATAACAAATTTTCCTAATAAGGAAGGGTTGTGATCATTTCATATTTGCTGATTGTTACATTTTGTCAGTTTATTGAGCACAGTGATCAGTTACAACTTATTTGAGCAAAATTTCCACTACACATGTAAAAAAAAAATCCATTGAAATTGCAACAAACTGCTTTGAAGGGAGACAACTTGAACACACATTTATTTTTTTAATATAACAGGCGATACAGAGGTCACATGATCAGGAAATCTCAGATTTACAAACAAACGGGATTAAAAAAGGAGCACTTAGAGTGGGCAGCAAACTTCAAACGAATTCAGAATGAAAATAGCGACAGGAGGCAGAGGAAAATGGAGGCACTGGTTGAGAAGTAAGAACACGGCAAAATATCAGAAACTCGGTCATATGTCATAATGTAAAAAAAACTGTCAGAGCAAATAAATAGTTGATTTTCAATGTTCTTTTCATTGACAGGAAAAAATACACTAATTGAGCAAGCAACTATAAGGCAGATAAAATGAATCGGAAAATGGATTTTTTTTTCAAATTAATCACCTTTTTTCATCTGCTGTAATTCTTTCATTAACTAATTACAAATAGCATACAGTTTTGAATGTATTAATATATATATATATATGTATATACTTTTATTTTGGCATTATGAATATTCATTAAAGCTTGCAACAGTAACTGCAGTTTTAATAAAAAAGAATTATGAACTAAACATTTTGGGTTGGTAATTTTTTTCTTAATTATTTTATTTGAAATTAAAACTGTAACAATTTTAGTTTAGCTTAATTTTGAATGTTTTTGTGTATTAATGCTTTCCTTTGGTATGTATGATATGTAACACATTTGGGCTGTGGTGTTAACGCTTCACTTGACTTTGTGCTTGATTGACAGTAATACGCTCAATTACCAGAGAAGTGCCTCGAAACTCTCCTCCATTGGACCCCATGTTGACATTTATCAGTAAGTGTCCAGAGTTATCCTTCTTGGGTCTATGTCAGTGAAAATCTTCATGTTCAAATAACATTCAGATTCACCTCTACAATGATTTTCAGAATTTATCATCCGAAACAGACTGGTCCTACAAAACGTGACATGTTTAATGCTGCGACTCACATTCAAAGATATATACGAGGTTTCCTGGTCAGAAAGAGGTTTGAAAGGCTTAGGAGAAAGGTGAGTATCTTTTAATGCCTGTAGAACTCACTTGAACTTTATTTGGAGATTTGATGAAACTCAGATATGAAAAAAATAATGACTTCGTTTTATCTTGTGGGTTGAACATTAAATTTGTGTTTATATTGACATACGGAATTGTTAAAAAAAATCATTTTTTCCCCCTTGTTTGTAATCATTGTCAAATTGTTTTTAATTAACATTTCTATATTTCTCTGTTTAGCTTTTATTTCAATGTTTTTATGTTGATGTTCTGTAGTACGGGGTCCTTATGCTGAGCTACGAGGGCTGTTCGGAAATCATTGAGACATTTATGTTTACTCCATACAGAAAAGAGATAAATTCATGAAAATTTGTCAACATTTTATCGAGAACAAATAAATGAAATATGTAAAATTTCGAAATGAATAGGATAATTAGATAAGTCCCGGTGAAGATATATAGTTGCATTTGTCTATTGACCTGGAGCAGCTTCGCTACATTATTTTAACACATGCCAGCCTCAGATCTTTCTCATGTTGAAACGATTGGGAAGCATTAACTCTTCTTTCTTTGTCATCACATATAACATTCTATTAATTCAACTCTCTCTTTTCTTAAACGATCCTTTAAAAAAATAAAACCTGTGTTGTTCCTACCCCGATGTTAAATTACATGACAGTTGTAGTATATCATATACAGATTGACTTAGCATATGCAGTACGGATTTTTGCACCGCGAGTCAACGTTAATAAGTCCGTGAAAATTGATGGTTTTCCGGAGACCTTTTTTTTTGATTCTGGTTGAATTCTTTGTAAAAAAAAAATAATAATAATAACCAAGTGAATTATCAAACCTTTAGACATGTTTTTTCACATTGTTATTGTTTTAGCCTGTCATATAGTCTCGACAAGAGTTCTCCATAGTGCTACACAAATTTTAGGTATGCATGCTGCACCGCCTTGACATCAAAATCCATTTTGTTTTCATAATCAGATTTTTATACCATGCTAAAAGAAATTTTTTTTCAATGATTTTCTTATTTCTGATAGAAATTCTAACCAACTTGCACAAAATGAAGTCAAAAAAAATTTTAAAAATACACATATAACTTAAAATATTTTCGCTCTTACTATGGGTCCTCCGGGAGTTTGAACGTATGCATTACATATTTTCTGATGGAAATTCTAATAAACTTGCAGAAAATGAAGTCAAAATAAAATTCAAAAAATATATATATAACTTGAAATACTTTTTGCTCTTACTATGGGTACACAGGGAGTTTGAAGGTAGGCATTACATATTTTCAGTTATATAATTTTGTGACTGTGCCGGGTACCAATATCATGACACATTAGTATACCACTGAAAAGAAGAAATAAAAAAAATTATGAAATATTTCATGTTTTTATTAATTCTTAGTGATTGTTAAATGTATATATGCCAATTTTTAACAAAAGGCGTTCAGTAGAAAGAAGAATAAACACAATGTCTCAATAATTTCCAAACGTCTCTCGTACAAAGAATTGGTCCGACTCTGATTTACATACAACATAGGAGACATATTTTATGTTATTTTTTGGTGCATTGGTTCCACTAGAGATAGAGGACATCAAGTCATTTTGACACGTCCAGTGAAACGTTGATGTCAATCAGTAATTTATTACATAAAATATAAAGAGAGAGAGCCGCATGCAGTCGTTAGTGTCTCTTTCCTATATTCATTAGCAATTAGACAGATGGTTAAAAAAAAACAAATGTTTTATGCGCTGATGACATTTTTAGTAATATTCAAGTTTTTTGCAAATTGGATAACGATTTCTGATCATTTGTTTGTTACATGGTCTGAGGAAATAACAGTAATTCCCAGTGGGGCAGTAATTAGTTCTCTGTGAGGAATTTATAATGATGATCTCTGTCATGTCGCAGCATTCTTCAGAAATTGTTCATTTATGTTTAACATTAAGAGATTTTCTCCACTCTGCCAGACTATTATGTAATATCAAAAAAAGCTCTTTTACCCCCTGTCTTTTCTGGTACTATTTGATGAGTAGGCATTGTGTCATAATTGTTAATACATGTTCACATATTAGCTTAATAAGTATACCAAGTTCTATTCTTTTGCCACCTATTTTGATGATCTTATGTTGACATGTTCAAACTCACAATATCAAATATTGTATGTGTACTAATTTTTGAGTATCTATTTAAAATGAGTAAACAACAATAATTTGTGACTACTTTGACTCGCCATTCTGTTGTTTATATGTGTAATGTAGCTAAGACATAAGAGCACTGGGGACTAATGAATGTTAAGACTTTCTTCTACCAAAACTTCCTTCCTAGAGGTTACAATGGATCTATAAAGGTTCAGTCATGCAAAAGCTGTTGTCAGTATTGTGTCGGTCAAAGTTAGAAAAACCTCCATGCAACTTATTGACTGTGTTTGGTATATTATTTCAAAGGTAATTTTTTTCTCTAAAGGAAAAAATGGTTTGCCCAATGACTTGGTTCAGAATACTGGTCAATTTTTTTTGCATGACTTAGTAAAGACCTTCAGATTTACCTATGACTTTGTAAAAACTTGCACACAAATTTCTGGTTAGGCAAAGACTTGCAGATTTACCTAGGACTTTGTAAAGACTTCCACACAAAATTGTGACTTGATGAAGACTTGCAGACTAACCTGTGACTTTGTAAAGACTTCCACACAAACTTGTGACTGGATGAAGACTTGCAGACTTATCTGTGTCTTTGTAAAGACTTACATGCAGACTTACCTGTGACTTGATGAAGACATGCATACATGCCTTTGAATTGGTGAGGACTTGCAGACTGACCTGGTATTCCTCTTTTCTTTCAGTGTGTCTGGCTTGGGTCAGCTTATCCTAAAATGGTGAAAGAATACAAAAGCATGCTCAGGAAATGTCAGCTCAGGCATGGAGTTGACCGACCAAAGACCCCGTTCAGTCTCAGCGAAATGAATGAGTACCTTGATATGAGAAGGCGTAAGATTATTTTTGTCAAGCAAAGTCCCACAAAATATTTCTAATTTACAATTTTTGATGTCCATGATGAAAAACAAAGAGATTTTAAACCTGTTGAGATAATATTCTTTTGTAGGGTATGAGAGTGTGTTTGATAAGAAAGCCTTTGGTTCTGAGTTGGAGATTGGGGACTTGGAGTCGTTCTTCAAGGAGTGTGACATGTACCCATCTGCTTCCGAGATTGATGAAGCCATAGATGTTGTGTTCAATGGTAGGAAGTGATTGGAGAGAAATTAACACAGAATCACAATTTTATGCTACACTGTACTTTTTAGGAAAAAACTTTGTATCTTATGTTACAGTTGAACTGTAAAAACAAATATGTCTTTTCCAATGTTCAGGTCAGCAGATCAGGCGTGGGTTGTTAAAGCCTGAGGTTATGGAATTGGTGTTCTATATATACACACCACGGGCTACAGGGCTACCTAACTTACGACAGTCTACGTGGCTTAACCCCATCATTGACGGAGTGGAGGCCAGGAAACTCATAGGTCAGTGATCCTCAGCTCAACCAAATAAAAATAGCTGCTGGAATTTAAAAAGTAACCAAAGAAGCATATAACAGAGTGTACCAAAGCTATACTTAGAAAAACATTTATTCTGATGCAGTTAGAGGAATTTATTATTAGTATTTCGAAAATTCTAACATTTATGTAGGTTGAGTCATTATTTTTGTTTGGTGTACTATATAAGATGTATTCACTAAAATGTTTGATTGAATGCTTACAGCAAATGCATCTAACAAGAAAGGACAAACAAAGAGTAAGGCTTCAGTTCCCAAACCTTAAATAGTCAAACTGTAGAATTCTGTGAATCTTTTCACAAAAAATCTTACGATATATTTTTATCTTAAGTTAAAACTTATGATAAAAATCGTTTTCACAAAAATTCTTAAGAAAGTCGTAAGTGCAAAATCTGTCGTAACTTTACGAGAGCCCCAACCCTCTCTTAAGTATTTTAAAACCGATTTTATTGTAAAAATAAAACGGCAAAAATCAAAATACACGTTAAATTGAACTTTTAAAAGCAACTTCCAATTATATTTTATATTATTTCACAATCATTGTTGAAAAATTAAATGAAATACACTCGAAATATTTACGATGTAAGTTTCACTTAAGATTTTCATATGACCTACTTTTACGTCAGACTTGTGATTGTGACGTCAGATTTTAACTTCCTTGCTTCACAAACGATTGCATTCGATGTTTGTTGTCAATAATGTTTGTTATGCTGACAAATGTTGAAAACTAAGTTGTATTTTTATTTTCACCCACTTTTTTAAGGATTATAAAGCATATTGAAGTCGTTGCTAGGGATGAAGTCTGTCGTAAGTAAAATCTTAAGTTCAATCTGCTACGAATGCGTTCGTGGAACACACTTAAGATTTGTCGTAAGAGATTCTTAAGTTAAAATCTTACGTAAAAACTTAAGATTTTTTGTGAAAAGGGCAACTGTATTATATATATCCCAACAATGCATGATTATTTTCTGTCTTTCGTTTGCATTTTTATTTTCCTGGTAGACTTTTCTCTATTTTCCCTTCTCTTATATTTAATGATGCAATAATTATCTAAGTAAGCTATGATTAGGATGTATGAATTAGCCCTATACCTTATGTTTTATCCAGCAGGTGTTGAGCTGGTCTACATATCCAGTAGGCTATAGTGCTCTGTATTCCATATATTCTCTTTGATCTATCATATCTCTTTCTCTACCAACATTATATAGTATAAGTGTGTTGCATGCAGTATTTTTCTAATCTGGTAATCTTTAAATTTGTTTTTGAGAATCCTGCTTCCTCAAATATTATACAGTTAATTCTCATTAAATCACTAATTCTATACAGTTAATTCTCAATAAACCACAAATACTATACAGTTGATACTCAGTTAACTGCAAATACTATACAGTTAGTTCTCAATAAACCACCATTACTATACAGTTAATTCTCATTAAACCACCAATACTATACAGTTAATTCTCGATAAACCACCAATACTTTACAGTTAATTCTCAGTTAATCACAAATACTATACAGTTAATTCTTAATAAACCACCAACACTATAATGTAAATTCTCAGTTAACCACAAATACTATACATTTAATTCTCATTAAACCACCAATACTATACATTTAATTCTCATTAAACCACCAATACTATACACTGTCAGTTAATTCTTGATAAACCACGAATACTATACTGTAACAGTTAATTCTCAATAAACCACCAATATTGTATAGTTAATCATCAGTTAACCACAAATACTATACAGTTAATTCTTAATAACCACCACCTTTTGTTAATAAGAAATGTGGGTCAAAAGCTCTACAGAATTTGTGTTTGTTGTATTGAAATAAAATTTTCTGATTCTGGAATTTTTGCCCCAATGCATTTTGGATGTTTTCCGAGATAGTCAACTCATGAAGCCATAACTAAAAGTAAAATCATTTTTACAGTAAAATTAAAACCATATATCAGAAAAATGAATAAGAGTTCATGTTATAAGAAAATTATTTTATTTAATTCTTAAATTTCCCGGCTTAATTATTATACCTGGTAGGTTATCAGTTGGGTTATAAATAAAATTTTTCATTGCAGGAAAAAAGTGTTCCTAAAAAATGTAGTATTATTATTGCGAGAATGGCAATGAATCAAATGGCTTTAATTTGAGAATTAACTGTACTTTGCTTCTGAAGGTTATGCCAAAACTGAGGACAATGCTAGCAAAACCTTTTAGTAACGGATTTTATTTTATTGATCTTTTAATAGGAAGTGAATTTGTTGAAAAAGCACCACTAGAAGTTTGCGCCAAACTAGTGATAGAATCTCGTCGTGAGAGACGAGAGAAAGAACGAAAAGAAAAGGAGCAGAAACTGACGGAAGACCTCGCTCAGATGAAGGCAATCCGTGAAGAAGAGGCCTCGGAGAAGGAAAAGAAGAAGGTCATCGTTGTGACACCAGAGGAAGCCAAACAAGCCGCGTCCATAAAGCGATGATGACCGACATGTTTACTAGAGATATATATTGCTCAAAGGCATTGACAAAGAATATCCATGTTCTAAAACATTATTTAATGCATTGTTACAATCGCTGATGAATGATATCCAGTGTTTTCTTTATCTAGTCTAAAAAGAGAGTAGAAGTCATTTATACGTCCATCATTTGTAATACATGTACAGCTGTAGAAGTGGATATTTTTGCATATTTATTAAGTATACAAATTAGAAAAAAATCTGAAGGCATGGAGGTTACTTATTCATAACTTTTGTTAATGCCAGTAAAATGTTTATATTTATGGGAAAGTTTTTCTCTAGTTTGTAGTGTAAATTATGCCTGCATGTTGCTATGGTATGGTTTTATGTCCTTGAACTTGACAAAATGGCAATGTTGAATGGCAACACTTTGTTAGTTTGTGGTTATTAGTACAAGCCATATGGTAGAGAGGATTTTCTGTGGTTATTAGTACCAGCCATATGGTAGAGAGGGTTTTCTCTACAGTAAAACACATTTATAGTGGACACGTATTTTAAACTGAATATCTGTGTAAAATGAAGCAATTTGGCTGTCCCAGCAGTTTTTTTTTATCACTGTTTTTCTTTATTGTTTTATGTTATTACCATAAATGAGAGGAATACAGCATACAAACTATTTTGTGCATTTACTGTGATACATGGGAATCAGTATTATTGTTTTTATTTTACATATATTTTAACTATAAGGTGGTGTTTGCTACCACTTTGTGTCAAATTCTTATTACTTTTGCTATGTGTGCTATATATATCTACATCTACTGGACATATATACCTTATACCTGGCACTGGTCTCTTATTCAAATACTTTCATTATTCAAATGCTTTCATTATTTATCTGAACTTTGACTTCTCATGACTTTTCATTCTATTTTTACATGTTTTGATGTTATAATTTATTATAAGACACATTTTTTCCTGTTGAGAACAAAATGAAAGTTAACCTCTTAAGAGGATCTGAATTTCTTTGATGTTCAGAATGTTTATATAATTTTTCTGCATTTTGACATTATATTATACACCTATTTACTGGCTAATATGACAATAGCAAGATTGTTCCCCAAGCCAGTAACTATTTCCTATAGCAAAGCCGAGGGAACCTGCGGAACAGCCGAGGGAAATAGTTGCTGTCAAGGGGGACAATAAACTTGCTATTGTCCTCATAGCCAGTAAATAGGAGTTTTATTATACCGAAGCAGATTTACTTGTGTCGCGTCATGATCTGGATAAAACCAGAAAAGTTCCAAGAGGAAACTCAAGAGAAATCAAATGCTGCCGGTGAATAGTTCATTAACAATTAATAGCTCAAAAACTATTTCATGGTAGAGGCTTTTAAAAAAAAAAAAAGCAGGTTTATTCATCATACTTTTACATAGAAAAAAAATACACAGAGGTATAATAAATATATAAGTAGATTCTTTGTTACTGAAGTTGTTCTCAGGTTTTAAGATTCCCCAAGAAGTGACTTGGTAACAGATTGTACTTTAATTAGAAGTAAATTTGACAGCAAACATTTCATGGTCTTGACTATATAAGTCATCTATTTATTTTCATATTTATCTAATGATATATTTGATTCATTTTGTACATTTATTTATAAGGACATCTGTCTGTATGTTGAAAATTTAGAAAACTTTATGCTTCATATGTATTATTAAGAAAATGATATACATTGACATACAGAGAATGGTCTTGGGATTTTTAGACTTTACATATTTATGTGCACACAGATACATGAGACTTTTATGTCAGTATGTTTCATCAGACATATTTTTAGATCGTTTGTCTGTTTACTTTGTATTCAGATTGAGACTGTGATATTTTTTAATAAAAAGGAAATATTATTAGTTTAAAACTGTCATCATTATTTCACATTTCAGAGTCCTATAAATGCCTTACCTTAGAAGGTGGGCTATACTTCAAAATCCTTATTTTTTTTGTTGGAGGTTTAATTTTCATTGTTTGGTGACATAAAGAGAGCCAGAAATTCATGTTCTTCATGAAATACAGTATCATGTTTACTGTCTTCCACAAAGACCCAATATTTTTTTTCCTTGAAAACAAAAAATTGACCCCACAAAAATAAGTTATTTTACAGTGTAGGATTGTGTTATATACAGTTTCAGTGTTTCTGTATTTGTTGTTGCATTTATCTGGCCTGTTATTTATCCATGCCTCCCCAATACTTCTTTTATACTTGCAACCCTGACTGAAGGTTGAAAATCACACTAAAGTTTGCAAAAAAGATTTGCACATCTCATTAAACAATTACTGAAAAGAACAAAATGTGTTTGTGAAACACTGATGCCCCCGTATGACAACTTATAGCAAATGTTAAACTTTCTCAAATGCAAATCAAATATGTTGGTACCTAAAGTAAGGTCTTGCCTGTGAAATATGAAAGCCCTAGCAGCAACCATTGAATAGATATGGAAAAGCTTAACGTTTTTTTCAAGAGTATGTCAAACATCAAGGTCAAGGTCAAATTATCAAAATTAATGGTGCCCAAGGAAAGGCTTTCTCCCAAGAAATACACAGGTGAAATATGAAAACCGAAGCACCAATCGTTCAACAGTTATGACCAAGGTTAAAGTTTTCCAAAAGTAGGTCAAACTTCAAGGTCAAAGGGTCAAAGTTGTTGTTATCCAAAGAAAGGTCCTGTCACAAGGATTACATATGTGAAGTATGAAAGCAATAGCACCAACCGTTCAAAAGTTATGGCCAAAGTTAGTTTCCAAAAGTAGGTCAAACTCCAAGGTCAAAGGATCAAATTTGTTGATATCCAAAAAAAGGTCCTGTCACAAGGATTACATATGTGAAGTATGAAAGCCACAGCACCAACCTTCAAACGTTATGGCTAACGTTAAAGTTTCCCAAAAGTAGGTCAAACTCCAAGGTCAAAGGGTCAAAGTTTTTGGTATCAAAAGAAAGGTCTTGTCACAAGGATTATATATGTGAAGTATGAAAGCAATAGCACCAACCGTTCAAAAGTTATGGCCAAAGTTAAAGTTTCCCAAAAGTAGGTCAAACTCCAAGGTCAAAGGGTCAAATTTGTTGATATCCAAAAAAGGTCTTGTCACAAGGATTACATATGTAAAGTATGAAAGCCCTAGCACCAACCGTTCAAGTGGCCAAGGTTAAAGTTTTCCAAAAGTAGGTCAAACACCAAGGTCAAAGGGTCAAAGTTGTTAGTATCCAAAGGAAGGACTTGTCACATAAATTACACATGTGAAGTATGAAAGCCCTAGCACCAACCGTTCAAAAGTTATGGACAAGGTTTAAGTTTTTCAAAAGTAGGTCAAACTCCAAGGTCAAAAGGTCAAATATGGTGGTACCCAAAGAAAGGTCTTGCCACAAGGAATACACATGTGAAATATGAAAGCCATAGGTCCAACCGATCAAAAGGTATGGGCAGGGTTTAAGTTTTTGCGGACAGACAGACGGACGGACAGGGCAAAAACTATATACCCCCGAATCTTCGATACGGAGGGATAAAAATAACACATTCAGGTGTGGTCAATTACATACACTCCACTGAAGTTGCAGCTCAGACATTGTCTCAAACATCTCACTGTCCGGTGACCTTCACCTTTGAGGTACAGGCTTGAGTTAAGATGAGATGCATCTTTGGGCCAAGAAGGTTCCAGGGGGGAGGGGGGGGGTCTCAAGTCATAGAAGAGCACTGGGAGTAAGAGTAATGGCATTTTTTGATGGACACAAAATCCAAAAAGCAATCTAAACTGTTTTCAACGTTATAGCATGGAACAGATGTAATGCCATTTGACCCCATCATCCCCAAAACAAATTTCAATTTTTTTTTTCATCATTACGTGATACAAATATGCCACCTTTATCGTTTTCAAGTTGCATGGAAACCCTTCATGACAAAACAAGTACTAAGTAAAAGCGATGTTCATTGATTCTGTAACCTCGTTATGTAATTTTAAGCGAATATACAACAGATCTATAATAACACATATATACATGTGTATAACCATCCTCAGGATATACCAAATGTCCATTCTTAGCAACAAATGCCAAACCATTTAAACCCTGTGATGCAAAAAAATCACCTGTAGCCAAACTTGGCTTCAGACAACCCTATGGTACATAATATTCTAGTCAACCTGATTGACATGGGTGATGGGTATCGAAGGTATTTCAGAAAGTTACTCTTTAAATATGTAATCATCCTTTGAAATACACGAAATACACCTGGCAATGGAAAAACTTTTCGGTGATGATGATGACGATGACAGCGCCAGAGAATCAGCAACTAGTTCTTTTACAGTTATCCTAAGCAGTTATGCAAAAATCCGTAAAACTGTCTTCAAAGAGTCCAGGCAAGCTATAAATCAACATTGTAAATTATAATCCAGGCGAGCTATAAATCAAAACCATCCGCAAAATTGTTTGGGCAAGCTGTATCATGCGCAGATTTAGAGGGGGTGGGGGTCCGGAACCACCCCCCTCAGGAATTTGCAGAGTTATCAAAAGTATATACTGAAGCAAATAGAAAATGACTTTGGACCCCCCCCCCCCTTAGAAAACGTGAACCCCACCATCACAGTCACCACGAAAAAGGTGTTTTTCACGTTTGGGAAATGAATTTTACGTGTTTTTTTTTTTTTTGTTTTGTTTTTTTTTTTTTTTTTTGGTCAAGTAACTTTTGGGTTGGAATTTTTTTTTCACTGGGCTGAACCCCCCCCCCCCTTTGGAAAAAATTTCCTGGATCCACGCCTATGTATATCAACAACTATCAACAAAATATATACACAGTTGTTTAAGCGAACTATAAAATGAAAATTATCACTATCCTGCTTAAAATTCTAGAAATAATCGGCACAATTAGCTGTTCCGACTTTACGTCGCAGTATTGGGACCGAACATTAACTTACATGTACATGTTAATCTGGTGACTGTTGCCCTGCGAGTAATTGTACCTCTGCCTTTAACCACAGAAAGGTGTCTTTTAAACATCATTTGGTAGTACACTACTGCTACAGAAACCTGATGCAGAGAGTTGGATCATGTTGAGTTAACAGGCGTGGAGACACGAGTACATTGGACAAATGGTCGGTCATCCAAAGAAAGAGAGGGCATCTTGTTAAAAGCAAGAGGGAGGAAAACAAAGTTTCGTCAAAATCGTTGGTTTATTCCCTTTTTAAGAAGAGGGACGTGCTTTGGGTTGAATACTCAAGGAAAACATGGATTTTGCTAACAACAGTATTGGCACTGCAATCAAGAGAGAACAATAAATAAATAATATAACCAGAAACATGTCCAAAGGAAATGCATGTCCTGTCCAGGGTTCATTAGTAATGAAACATGAATATTTGTATTAGTGCATAAAGACTGATAAAAATATCTTGAATAGTTTCTTTGAAACGTAGTCAAACACAAATCTAAGAAAAGTGAAGTCAAGGTAGAGGAAAGATCAAAGTCAAAAAATGTTGATGAAGTTGAATCAGTATATATGTATTTTAAAAAAATCTTGAATAGTTTCTTTGAAACTGAGTTAAACACTTATCTACTTTAAGAAAAGTGGGGTCAAAGGGATGGTCAAGACCAAAAAAAGTTTATGCAGTTGAATACTTCTCGTCAATATGTATCAGTATATATAAAGTTTGATAAAAATATCTTGAATAGAATCTTTGAAACTGGGCTAAACGCAGAGTATGACGGAAGGACAGACAAAAGGAGGAACACTATTCCCCGAACATATTCATGGCGGGGCATAAAAATGAGCAAAATTTTGTATTGGCTTTCTGTCTTTCAACATAAAAATATCAGAGGATTTCATTGTCAACAACATACTAAACCAACAACAGAGATGAGAAAATGCAAAAAATGAAGTATGTTGTCAGTTCTTGGAAGTTTTATAGGGTAATAGGATGGCTTCCGGAAAGTCACTTGTATTGGTAGAGGGGATAATGTCT